TTGACCCAGTCACTTCATTCTTCCTGGCGCTACTAGTACTAGCCCTCTGCTCTTCCCAGGTAGCACATTGGACACCTTTCAACGTGAGAGGCTCATCTTCCAGTGTCATATCTCTTTGCCTGTTGGTACTGTCCATGGGGTTTTCATGGCAAAGATACTGGAGTGGGTTGCCATTTCCTTCTCCAGTGGATCACCTTTTGTCAGAGCTCTCTGCTATGACCTGTCCGTCTTGGGTGGCCCTGCATGGCATAGCTCATAGTTTCATTGATCTACACAAGCCCCTTCGCCACGACAAGGCAGTGATCCATGAAGGAAAGGGGGAATAGGCACTATGGGTATTTAAATCTTGACAGAACACACTTTTCTTATAATTAGAAAAAGATGATGGCTCTCTTTTTTCTGTCTATATTGGATTTGGTAGTTTTGTAAAGCAGCCAAACAGAAATCACTAGTTGCAAGGTTTGGAATCACAGCATTTCCTTTGTGGCACATGTCCTCATAATAAGCTCCAGTTAGACCAGGGAGAGGTACCATGTATCTAACTATGTGGAGGTAATTATATTTCTGGAGCCACAGAAATGGCATCTTGCCTAATGCAGGAACCTAGGAAGCCACATTATGCTGAGCCAGAGACCCATTTCCCAAACCAGTCAATGGAGTGGTGAAAATGATTGGATCAGAGGTTGGCAAACAGATGCCTTCCAAATGTTTCTGACTACAACTCCCTTAAATCTCAGCTGATCTAGCATCTGGTCAGGTATTCGGGAAATGGTCTCAGCTCACAGGCAACTGCTGTAGAACTGCTTCTTTGCAGCCTTCAAGGGATGGTTCCTGGCCCAATTAGCTTCTCGTCAAGGTCAGGGAAAGACATTGTTCCTTGGGGCAAGTGTGAAGGGTAGGCATGGTTGTGCGCATGCCCAGGAACCACATACCAGCTGGGGCCCAGTGACAAGAGCCTGCTAGGGCTGCTCCTCTCTCTGGCCAGACAATGGTGGTGATAAGAAGAAGCGTCAGCAGATGCCATGGCAGACTTGCCTCTTGGCTTTTTGCCTCCCAAGCAAGGCAGTGGGACAAATGATGAGAGAGGTGAGGAACAAGAGCAGTAAGTGCCAGGGAGAGTGAGAAGGGAGACTCACTGAGGGAGTGGGCCCATTGAAGGGATCTTGCCCAAAAGCCCTCAAAAACCTGGAGCCAGTGCTGATGGGCACTCACGGCACAGTTACTATAGCAGACAAGTGTTTTTAAAAGCAGTTGCAAAAAGAGACTTCAAGGGAATGGCGACTTGATGAAGCAGCAGTGAATAATATATAAAATATATTATTTTTATTATTTTCTTGACATAAATAGAATACAGAAAACAGAAAGGGGTGTGTATGTATAGAAGCAAAATAAAATTGCCAAGGGAGTTTGAACAAGTATAACCAGTACATTCAACCCAACACATTTCAAAGAGACCAACAATATCTATCTTTCTATCTTTCAGTACTCTATGGAAGTTGAGAAAAAGGAATTATTATTCTGTATACTGACAAATTTTTGAATCAGTTCAAATCAATTATAAATCATCAACTACTTTTAAAGAGCTTCCTTTTACATCCTTTTTATTGTACTGGGTACAGTAGAATTTCCATTTGTCATTAAATTCCTCAATTGGTCTTCTATTTACATTATTAGTTAATTTTGCCACCACTACATGCTCTGCCAATTTATTTTTCCAGTCTTCAGTTGTTGGGATTCGGGTATTTTCCATTTAAAGGCATTTGCAATTCTTGCTGCAGTTGCCATATATTTAAATAACTCTGACATATTCTTTGAAAAAGTATCTGGTATTATATTCAAAAGCATATTCTCAAATCTTCTAGAAAACTTAGTTTTAAAGGTTTTCTTTATAGCTCCCCATATTGTAGCTATAGAGACATCACTTGTAATATTTAGTTTAAAAAATTCTTCCAGTTCTTCTGACTTTTTCAAGAGATCCTCTTGCAACGAAAGGCTGTCATTAAGTCTCCGTCTCCTTCCTCCAGCTTGTTCTTCCCACCATATCATCTCCAACGGGTTGCGGTCAGAAAGTATCTTGGGTTTGATCTTCCCAACCTCTAGATTAATAATTAAGTTTTTAGATATCCAGCACATATCAGTCCTTGAGTATGTCTGTTGTCTATCAGAAAAAAGCATCTTCTAAATATAACATTTCCATATAATTAAAAAAAATAGGAAGTTTGTTCCCTTTTACTTTTTTAGATTTATTCTTGTTAGGGTCTGTAATTCCATTCATATCACCAATAATCAAAACTGTTCCTTCTTGCAACTCCAATAGTAATTGAAAAAAATCAGCAAACTTTTCTTTTGCATCATTAGGAGCATATATCATAGCCAATGTATTTGTCCTCCCATTTGGGAGTCTTCAAAACAATGCATCTTCCTTCTGGGTCTTTTAATTCTTCTACAACTTTAAAACCTTGATTATTGATATAAATGACAACTCCTTTTTGTATCAGCTGAGGCTTCATATACATGCCCAGCCTCTTAGTGGGCTCAACTTTATAGGTGCTGGTATTAACCTATAAAGCCCTAAACGGCTTGGGACCAGGATACCTGAAGGAGCGCCTCTTCCCTTACATGCCCTCACGCCCCTTAAGATCTGTGGGAGAGGCTCTGCTCTGGGAAGCCTCCCTGAAGGAAGTAAAGAGGATGTCTATTCGGAGTAGGGCCATCTGGCGCCGCAGGTGAAAACCTTTTTATTTGAACATCATTTTAAGAATAAATGGTTTTAGAGTTAAGCCAACAGTCACTTTTTTTTCCTTCTAATTTATTGATTCTGACTCTTACTGTATTCTTATTTTATTGATTGCATTTAATATTGCAAATGATTTATTATTATCATGATATTAGGAATTGTTTTATCATTGTTGTGGATTTTATGTCTGTAAGCCATCCTGAGACACTGTTGTAAAGGATGGGTTAGAAATGTTCTATTAAATTATTAAGTTAAATTCCCCCAGAAATCTGAATGGACCCCCACCCTCTTGCTTCTGCTCCCCTGCCACTGATTTGTCCTCTTCCTCATGGCAGGCTCTGGAAGAATGTAAAGATGCGGGGCTGGTAAAATCCATTGGTGTGTCGAACTTCAACCGTAGGCAACTGGAGATGATTCTGAACAAGCCAGGCCTTAAGCACAAACCTGTCAGCAACCAGGTAACAGGAGATAAGTGGTGACACGTGTGTAGATTTGGTTCTCACATCTGACATGCTGTTGTGGGCTCGAGCTTCCTATCAGAGTAACGAGGTGTCTTACCGGAAGCAGTGCAGTGCTGGAAGCAGCCAGTGATGGACTTGTTCCCTGAGCATCCTGGGTCTTCCATGGGCCTGGTGGGGACTCTTGCCTCAGGGATGGTGGATCCCATGCCCCACGTCCACCAACAGAAGGACCCCCTGCTTTGCCAGCCGCATTCCCTGGGTTGCCTGGGGTGCTGTACTGTACCTGCTGCTGCAGACCACCCACTGTGGGACACTGGCAGCAGGAAGCAGCCGGCAAATACCTCTGGAATGGGCGCCTGGTCCGGCACCTCGCTCTGGGGGGTTTTTCCTCAGAGCAAGGCATGTGAGGGCTGGGCAGTCATGGAGACTGTCTGTGTTGCTGAGGAAGGACACCTCAGAGTGAGGCTGCCCGCACTGCTGCTGCTGGGCTCAACAACAACTGGGGGAACATAGTGAAGGAGAGCGAACTGATTGAGCATGCCCCTGTGGCAGCCATTGTGTGCAAGCACCCACTGTACTTTCAAAATTCCAGATGTGCCCACTGACCCCAAAAGACTGCAAACCCCTCGCCTACTCAGAATAGCTGAATGGCAGTGGCCCTCCAGGGAGTGGGGAGGAGGCACGAGAGTTGCACGTCATCTGCTTCTTGGTCCTGTGAAGTGGGGATGTGAAGAACTGAACCCAGAAGCTTCAGCATGCAGAAGAGGTGTACTTCTGGGGGACACCTTCAGTTGGCTGCAGAGTTTGGGGCAAGCAATGGGGTCTGCTTTCCCCTCCTGAAAATGCTACACGGATAATTGGGAGATCCCAGCTGTATGGGGCGAACTGCAGGGCAGGGGGCAGGGGAACTCCCTGAGAGTCAGGAAGAGGCACAGTCTAGAATCAGAATCATTTTGTCCATGGAAAGCAGATCCTGGATCCAACCCCACATGTACCTTGAGCTCTGAGGTGGAGCGTAGAACAATATAGTGGTGGGGCTATATTAAAGCTAGCAAATAATACCATATTCTTAAAAGATAGTTGCATTCAGCATTATATTGCGGGAATGAAGAGGAGAGGCCCTGGCTTTGGCAGAATTTCTTTCCTCCTTGCACAGACCTTTGAAATAGTGCCACTACTATTTCTGAAGGTCTCCACATGGAGGACAGCCATGTTGAAAGGAACCCAGGACGCAATGTCCTGAGTCATAAATCTTGCAGTTCTTACAGGGGCCATGCACACAATATTGGGCAGGACACAAATGTGTCCAGCTCATTATTCTTCGTTGCAGACAATTGGCCTCATGCCTTGATTAATAATTCCTAGAAATGGAATGGCCTGAAGTTAAGAAGTCTGTGTCATCAGAAAACTCTATTAGCAGATCTGACAGTAGACTTTGTTGACAAAACCCACTGTGAGGGGACTGGAGCATGATTTTCTTGGCAACGAGAAAAGGCTGTGTGTTCCACCAGCTTAAACTTGTGTTCGAAGTGCATGGACTAGCCTAAGGAAGCCCTTCTCCCCACCACCCCTTCTGCAGACTGTTTGGGGTACTCCTGGACAGCTACGTAGCACTCGTGCTGCAATGAATCATGCACACCATTCCTCAGTTGTGTGATAAATTGGGGCAACTCCAGGTAATAAATTGTTGGCCTATGTAAATAGGTACCTGGGTCAAGGAAGGTATTCTGAGGCAGGGAGCAAATGAGTGTTCTTTTCTGCTTCATGGTTGCACTCCAAACCCATCCCATCTTTTAAGGAAGCTGCATTTATGATGAAATCATGGGAAGATGGCTTCATTCTATATACCAGTGAGCTCCATGCATGCAATAAACAATATCTTAAGCTGCCAACGTGGTTGTGTGAATTGAACATTTGGATGCATGTGCATGCAGTATTGATGCTGAAGCCAGCATTCTTGCTCTCGTGCCCGAGCGACTTCATCCTCCTTCACCTGAAGGCAGCAGACTAACATGGGGCGTGCAGAGCAACCTACATGGTACACAGGAAGATGGTGAGCATTCCACTGATTCCTCCCAGCATCTGAGTGAAGTCACTGCTTCACTCTGCCTAATGGTAGAGCCAGCCCTGCAGAGACCAAGAGCAGCAGAATACCAGTGGCTATGTTCATTTTAAAACCAGGAATGTTTTTTTCTCCTGCGTGCAAACTTTTTAAATTTCAAGTCCTTTCTCAGTCTGAACCACTTTATAAATTTTGATCAATTCTTATCAAACATTAACTGAGATGCAATTCTCACCCATCTGCAGCAACCACATTCTATAGGTATACCTATTCCTAGGGTGGAGAGAACCAGGATCCGCCTGCCTACCCTAGACCTGTTAGGAGGAGGAGCCCATCAGACAAAGGGGTGGCAACCCTAATTTAGCACTAGTTGTGAGGAATTTGTAGCCAGAGGTTTTATGAAGCTCCTTGGAGGTGAGTGAGTGCAAACTTCCAAGGAAATTTGTACAGGATCACATAGTTTAACCTGAAGTGCTGCTTGTAATAAAGGTGCCAGTTCCAGGTGCTTGAGTGCCCATGGGCTACATGCCCACCGTGGGCCCACTTCCACAGTGATACCTCCTCCCCACCATGATCCCCAGCTGCTTTTGCTCCTCATCTTCACCTTCTTCCTCACCATTGTGCCCACATGCTTGCATGGCAGGCAGCAAACCAGTGACCGAGTCGGCCACGGTCTCTGCTGTCCCTCTCACCACTGCAGCCGCTGTCCAGGCCGAGCAAGAGGAGTTGAATCCCCAGGCTGCAGTGGTGGAAAGGACGAGCCGCTGCAGCGGATTCTTGCCAGGGCTAAACTTCCTCCAGAGCAGTGCATGGAGACTCTTCACTTTGGTTAACATCCAGGGGAAGGGTGGCATTTTGTCTTGAAATAACCTGATTTGAAAACTAACAACCAAACTACACACGGCACTGAATGCAGCGGAGGTTTGCTTGCAAGGTGTTGTGTGGGTGCCATGCCAGTCTGCTTAGAGGATGAAATTGGGGGAGAACCTGTGCAGAGGGAGGGGTTTCTTCACATCTGGTTGCCTCTCCACTGAAAAGTAGACCTCCAACAGCATTTCATCTTGTTAAAGGTGCAATCCTACTGATTGCCCTTAATGCTTGTAAGTCTCTGAACTTGGAGGCTTACAAGGATCCAGCACTAAGTGGGTGGAGCAGTGGAGCTGATCTGTACCCCCTGCTCTTCCCTCTCTGCATTTTAGATTGATAGCCCTTGTAGGCCATTTAGCTGAGGTGCTTTTGAGGAAGGAAGGAGGCTGCAGGAGACCAGGAGACACCCTAGCCTAGCCTCCACAATCCCCTTCCCTCAGAACACCCCCTTTACCCTTTCTGCAAGGTCACCTTCCCCAGCTCAAAGAGAGAGCCAGTGGAGAAATAACCGTAAGTGCAGGGAGGGCCTTCAAGTGCAGAACTGACTTTGTGATTTTGGATCTAGGAATTTGGAATATCCTCTCTCTCTCTCTCTCTCTCTCTCTCTCTCTCTCTCTCTCTCTCTGTGTGTGTGTGTGTGTGTGTGTGTGTGTGTGTCCTGACCCAGGCCCAGAAAATGTCTAGAGGATCATAAGATTGCTCTCGCAGCTGCTGCTGCTGCTTTAGTAACCCACCCTTGCTCCTTCATTCCCTTCTGGATTCAGTCTCTTCTATTTGTTCTTGAGCTGGGGGTCAGACTAGATGGCCTGGGAGACCCCTTCTGACTCGCTCTCTTTCTATGTTTCTATCTCTGTAGGTTGAGTGCCACCCATATTTTACCCAACCCAAACTGTCAGAGTTTTGCAAAGAGCATGACATCATCCTTGTTGGGTACAGCCCACTAGGAACATCGAGGGATGAAATGTGGTAAGATTTTGTGTTTAGGAAGATTCGCTTCTTTAGCAGGATGACTTAGAAGGTTGCTAGGTCTCCCATAGCAATGTAGGAAGAAAATAATCAAGGGCTGGACTTGAGGTAAGAACAAATTCTTACTCTCACTGATGTAGCCTTGAGAAGGAATGGCACAGTGAAGCAGCAAACATGAAGAACTGGCTGATCTCCTTTGTGCAGTGCTTCATTCCATCATTTCTGTTCACGAGTGAGGCAAGCCTGGGGGGAAATGCAAGATGAAGGAACCACCAAATCCAAACTTAGAAGTGTAGTTTATTCCAACAATAATTACAAATTTTCTAATTCACTTTTGGTGGTGTTTTATTGTTCTATTATTTTTAAGTTTTTTAATTAAAACATAATTTCATCTCTGCAGCATCCAATTGCCAAAGCTCCCTGTGTGGTTTACAGCAGTTTTAAAAACTTTCAAAATATAATTCTAATTTCAAGAGCGACCCAACTTACACATGATGCAACTTTAATATGAAGGCTGCATCATGGTCTAGCAGTAGCCCTCCCCAGCCTGGTGCCTTCCAGATGTCTTGGACTGCAATGCACAACATTCCTGACCATCTGCCATTCGCGCTGGGGCTGATGGAACTGATGTCCAAAATATCTGGAGGGTACCAAGTTAGAGAAGGCTGTCCTAAAGCAACAAAGTAGCTTTAGATGTGTAAAGGACTTTGTGTTCCATTTCCCCTCAAATCCCCCCCCCCAAAAAAAAAACCTCAGGAAAAACTGTCCCCACCCCATGCCTTTAACACTCCTGTAAATTATACATCTCTACTAGAGCGTGAATCCAATTAAACTCCCTGATGCTTATTTCTGAGTAGACATGCATAGGATTTCATTGTTGCCAATTATAGCTGCAGTCCTAAGCATGCTTAGGCAGAAAATTGTCCTACAGTTTCCAACATGCCCCAAGAAGCATGAGTGATTGAGGGATGCTGAGAATTATAGTATTTATTTCTGTCTAAATATGCACAGAGTTGCACCTTAAAAGATTTAAAATCAATTAATCAACCAAACATTGCAGCTCTAGATTGGAGTGGGAATCTGTGGTCCTCCAGCTGTCGTTGGAGTGCAACTATCATCACCCCAACTATTGGCCATGCTAACTGGGGCTGATGGGACTTGGATCCAGCATCACATGCAGGGCCAGAAGCTTCCCACACCTTCCTAGGATGAAGCATTTGTCGTTGGCCATGGCATCTGAACCTGTACGTTTCAGGCCTGTGTTAATTATAATGCTGCATGGGCAAGAACACCATGCTATGTTTTCAGGTGGCTGAACTTCCTTCTGCTGCTATTACAGAGGAATAAATATCTTTGTTACCATATCCAGGGTCAGGAAGGCCAGCCTGAAATAGAAATAAGAAACACCCACAAAGCAATGCACAACTCTTGAAAGTGGATGCATTTACAATGGCAGGCTTCAAAACATAATGACAATTGAAGTGATCTTGCTTCAGTTCCTTCTGACCCCACCATGATGTTCTTTTGGTGATGCCGCTACCACTTAAAGACTCTCTGTTTCATTTTTGTCCCCATTACAACAAGGGTTAACCTGTCTTCCCCTCCACTACTGGATGACCCCTTGTTGAATGCCATTGGAAGAAAATACAACAAGACAGCAGCTCAGGTGGCCCTTCGCTTCAACATCCAGCGAGGGGTGGTGGTCATTCCAAAAAGCTTCAACTCAGAGCGCATTAAAGAAAACTTCCAGGTAATGTTGATCTGATCTGATAGCAGGAGTGGAACAACATGTAATCCCCAAGATGTTGTTAGACATCATCTCTCATCAGCCCTACCTTGGATGGTTCGTGGCTGGGGATGATAGGAGCTGCAGTCCAGCAATATTTATTTATTATTTATTTAAACATTTCTATGCCGCCCCTTGCCGAAGCCTCGGGCGGCTCACAACATCGAATAAAATACACAATAAATTAAAACAATAACAATTAAAATATATACAGTAGAATAAAATAAGCCGTCCTGGCCAAATAAAATTCAATAATATTAACATTTAAAATGCTGCTTAAATAAAAAGGTCTTCGCCTGGCGCCGAAAAACAAATAACGACGGCGCCAGGCGGACCTCTCTGGGGAGCGCGTTCCATAACTTAGGTGCCACCGCTGAGAAAGCCCTCCTCCGAGTAACCACCCTCCTAATTTCCTTCACTGAGGGCTCCCGGAGGAGGGCCTCTCCCGCTGATCTCAGGGGGCAGCTGGGCATATATGGACGTAAGCGCTCCTTCAGGTAACCAGGACCCAAGCCGTTTAGGGCTTTATAGGTCATCACCAACACCTTGAATTGGGCCCGGACTTCAATGCGATATCTACCGGGCCGCACGTTTGCCCACATCTCTTGTATCAAAACATCTACCATTCTTTCTTCCCATCCCACTGGAGAAAGTAGGGCTGCCTGCTAGTCTTGCTTATATAACCATCCTCCAAAGGGGCCTTGTCAGTGGGCCTCGTCTCATGAACTTCAGCCTTTTTAGACCTGGAATCCACATTGAACCAGCCATGCATTTGGAGCCCGTGGCCCTTTCCCATATATCTGTGTGGTGACAACGTTGCTGTAGTGCACCATCTCAATCCAGGCTGCCCTCCAATAGTGGAAGCCATGGTGAACATTCCCCTTAGGTTAGGCATCTCTTCTTCTCACCTGGGCAAATCTACAGTGCCTCTCCTCCATAAACAGTGGCTCAAACGACCACATTCTTGCTGTTAGTCTAAAACAGGGTGACCACTCTTCTGGTTCTACCGTCTTTTCCCAACCATCATTTATTTTTAATGGTTTCCTGGCCTTTGTGAACTTTTGAAAAATTGAAATGCTTCTCTCAAAGCTTGCATAACTGCAGTAAGAGCGTTTGACTAAGGTCTTATTGCTTTGGGCCCTGAGCATTGTTGGAATGTGCCATTCAGCTTTCCTGAAACAGAATTTGGCTGTTGAGCTAAAAGAGGCATGCATCCTTACTCTAAAAGAGTCAGGGTCCAGTATGATGTAGGAACTAGAGAATTGGACATGCTGTCTTTTCTTGCACATGAATCTCACTTGGTGATCTTGGGCTCAGTTCCCCCTTTATCAAGGCTGATGGGAATTAAAGCTCAAATTCCTGGTGTGCATCGGCTTTGGGAAGATTGCTTTCTAGCTTCAGTCATGAGATCTTGGCTTTAGAATTTCCTTTGAAGAAGGTTCACATTTTCTTTTTGACACCAGGTGGAAGCTATTTTGTTTTTACTTTCCCAGTTCTCTTATCTGTCCTTTTTAAAAAGTCTGCTCTTCGTGGGTGCCTGAAATCATTGTTTGGTTGTGCTTTTAATGTTTTTTCTGCACACCATTGTATGAGTTATGGTCGAAAAGTGTCCAACAAATACTGAGAAATGCAAGATACAGTGCAAGTAAACTTCCCCAAGGTTTTTGCTGGGTTACTGGTTAATGAATGTAATTTCTGTGTCCACTATAGAAAGACATGTTTCAACAGGATTTACGACAGGAGTCATACATGCAAGCAATCAAAACATAAACATAGAAGTGTGAATTTGGACATGCATTTATCACAGTCAGAGACTGGAAAATTAGATGTCAGAGTTAATCACACAACTGGCAGAGAATAATTGGTGCTTTTTCTCCCTCTTGTTTTTCCTAAGATCTTTGACTTTTCCCTCACTGATAAAGAAATGCAAGAAATTGCGGCTTTGAATAAAGATATCCGCTATGTGACCCTGAGCATGTAAGTACCAGCATGGTTCTGGACAGGGGTGGTGTGGAGAAATTAGCTGTTCTAATGCAAAGATGGGACAGGTGTGATGCATAGTGAAAAGGGGAGGGCCAAATGCACATCCCTTCAGTCTTGCCTTCCATTTCAGAATGATGAATTCACAGAAAGAAAAGGCGTTTGTCATTCAAAGTGGTTTACAATACTTTAATATGGTGGTGGTGGGAAATCAGGGCACTGGGATCCAACAGAGCCAACATCTCCCCCAACAGACCCTGGAGCATCCCATTTTTGGCATGAGCAATGATGCGGGAACTGTCCCAAGGAGACAGGTGGCCACTGGGACTGGACATCCTTCTTGCCCTCCCCCCGCAACTCCCAATTGAGCTCCCCTGGTGTTTTGGGTTGCTTCCTAAAATACTCAGAATTTTAAGATACTTGCCATAAAAATTCATAGCAGAATCACTGTGGAAAGAGCGATAAAAGATTTAAACCCCACATTTCAGGGACTGCATCTCTAAAATTGTGCTCCAGGAACTTTTAGGGCAGGGGTGGTCTGAAGATAATCTCAGAGGTTTGGGACTTCAACTCCCAGCCTTCCTGACCATTGGCCATTCTGGCAGAAGCTTCTGGAAGCAGAAGCCTGAAACATCTGGAGATCTACCTTCTACCCAGCTTGGTTTTAAATCTTGCCTTTTGTACTCTCTTCCTTCAGCTTATTTAAGACTTGAGTTGGTCATCTGAAGGGAGAACTGCTGTTTGAAGTCCTTTTGTGTTACACGAACGGACAGAGCACAAGCCATTTGGTATTTTTCTTCTTTGAGTCCCCTTGAAAATTGCTGTGCTCTTGCTTAGCTCTCAGTCACTTTGAGGGGTTCCTGGTGCAGACAAACATACCCACAGATGGTGCCTCCCACAAGCAGCATCTGTGGCTGGCTGGTTGTTCATGTGTGTTGTCCCTATTAATTTTGACTCTTAATTCCCCACAGGTGGAAAGACCATCCTGAGTACCCATTCAATGAGGAATACTGAAAATAAGGTGGACCCAAACATGGATTTTCAATCTTAGTGGTCATGACTTGTTTATTATCTTTTAATTTTGTATCTGATAGTAGTAAATTGTTGCTCTTTCTGCACTTATGTATCCTTCCCCAAACCTCAGTCATATGATCCATAATGTATATCAAAATTAAGGCCTTTCAGAAAGGCATTGCTCATACTGTGTTCAAATACAGCTAAAATTTAAAGGTCATGATGTAGATTTTGCTAGTGGAGGGTCCAATGTTGGAAACAGGATTTTAAAAGTAGAAAATCTTTCACTTTCATGGCACAAACTTGTCAGGTGTTGTTTGGGACTGACTCATGGTGACCCCATGAATGAAAGCCGTCCGAAATGCCTGTCCAGGCTGTGGCTTCCGTTATGGAGCCCACTGATCCCATATTTGGTCTTCCCTTTCTTTGGCCTTTGACTTTCCCTAGCATGACTGTCTTTTCCCGGGAGTCATTTCTGATAAACTTTAAAGGTTTCTGGCTAAACTTTTGTTAAACCACAAGTACTGGATGCAAACATTGATCGGGGATGGCAGTCATTTTAAGGAAACCTGATTAATGAAATCAACAACAACAAGAAGACAGTTGTCTTCTAGATCAGAATGTTACCTGATCTCAGGTGATCTTAGGTTTCCATGGCACCCCTGTTCTTCCTATGCTGCTTGTACAGCCTGGCCTCCCAGGTAAACATGGAAACCATCTGATTTCAAATGTGCTAATCAATGCTTGTGGCAGGAATTTCAACCCAATAAGCTGTTAACACTACCTGGTCATCAGAGGTGTAAAAGAAAACTCCACTTTGCTCTCAGGGTCAATTGCCCCTTTGCTTGTGATCAAACTTATTCTTGAGAATAAAAATACAGTTTTTCTTTTCTCTCCCTCCTGTCATGTTTAATTGGGCAAAGCACACCAGGGAAGTGTCCTTCAAAAGGTTTGGAATCTTTTTCTGGGGTTTAACATGCACTGCCAGAGAGCAAGCCCTGGTTTTGCATTCACACAGATACACACAATACTTAGAAAAGAAAGGTACATTTATTCAGCAGGAAATACAGAGTAGGTATTATCTTTTAACCTGACGTTATCTAGGCAACAAATATTATGGATGCATCGCTTATCTTACCCTATGAAGAACTTCCTGCTTAATAAAGTGAGAAGCTAGCAGGCAAGCAGGCAGGAAGACACACACAGACACACAGACACACAGACACACAGACACACAGACACACACACAGAGAAAGAGAGAGAGAGAGAGAGAGAGAGAGAGAGAGAGAGAGAGAGAGAGATCATTACCTGTCCTGCAGGTAAGCTCTAGATAGCAGTCCTAGGTATGTGGAGGACTGGGGTGCCAGGTGCGTGTTCCAGGCTGGCCTCTGCCTGTATTGCGTTCAGAACTTGTCCCTCCTCTTCCTGCCATGTTCAGAGCATGTCTGACTCCCTGACTATACAGTATCTCTCTGTACTTGTGACATTGCAAAGGATTAGTTTCCCAGACTTACGCTAATTGTTGGATAGGTGCTTGATTGCTTTTTGATGACCTTAGCTATTGTTTCTCTGCGCTAGACCTTGAGCATGTCCATTTTCTATGAGTCTTTGGCAGTGTTTGCTAGCTGCTGTCAATGGGGTAATTTCCTGGTGTTTCAGGACCATAAATGGGTCCCCCTCCTAGCAGGGTTGTTTTTCATGATCCTTCTCAGGGAAAAATGCCTGACCTTTTCCCCACCAGAATTCCAGCATTCACTGTTATCTCACACTGCTAGCCAGGATAAGTCCTTCGTCCTGAACTGACGCTTACCCCAGCAGGGCAACTGGCCTGAAAGCCCACTCTGTCATGAGAGCTTATTATCATGGCACTCATGTTGGTCTGTACATTCATTGCAGGCTTTCATCAGCCTTGCCACAGCCAAAGATTTGTTTCAGACAGATTTTACTGAAGAAGACTGTTGTAGTTAAATGCACAGGCAATCCACTGAAATTATATCATGGAAGGGATTACCTCTTCAATCAATCAAAAGAATATTTACAGTTTATTCGGACATACAGGAAATAAATGTGGCATGTAGGCAGTCCTGGAAAGGACTACAAAGATGGAGTTTGTACAAGATGCTTTTATAACCTATCAGTTACATAAAGAGTCTGGGGCAGGGTGGGGGATCAGGTGCACAGTACAGAAGCACAATTGAGTAAAACAGTAGAGTTAAACACATGGCAAAAGGAGAACATTAACATGTCTAAGTTGTGCCCCAGAAGAAGGCCTTTCAGGACCAAGACACTAACGTTTCTAAGGGAAGCGAGACTTGTAATGTGGATTCCTGATCAGGTCAGGAATCCCATCTAAAGTAGTTCTTGTAGTGTCAGGCTCTTAGCAGCCATATTATGCCAAAGCTTTTGCTCATTTTTCCCTGACACTCTCCATAAACAAAAGAGAATCTCTGATATGCAGAGCCTTCTCCTCTGTAGGAAACAGTTTTTGCCCACAGTAGTATCTGAGGAAGGAACCTGCCACGAGTCTAAGACTGCCAGCTGCTTCTCAGATTTTTCCAGCTGCTTCATTTCTAGTGTGCAATTCCATCCAAGCCTCCACCTATGCCCACTCCCAAGAGCTGAAGCACTAGGTTGAGCAGTCAGTCCTGAAAGCTTTTCATGGATGAAGTGAGAGTAAGAAGCCTCTCCCACATGGAAGCAGGGTCTCCAGGGTCTCCATGCACCTAAACAGATGGCCGCTTGACTTTTTGCTTCAGTCAAGTATTGCTCATGCCTCAACAGTAAGTAGACCATTCCCTAGTCTTTCCCAAGTGCCTTCCCACTTCTTGCCTTCTTTCTGCCCTTCTCTTCTTTCCTTCCTCCTCCATCACCCTTTCTCCTGCGCATCCTCTTCTCATACTCAGCTGCCACCTTCCTGGCTCCCCTGCCTTCCTTTCATCCTTGGTCCTTTTTCCTTGTCCCCATTCACTGTTGTCCCTCATCAGGTGCTGATCATGTTGACTAAAGGAGTGGGCAGCAAGCACACAAAGGCATAAGCTGTTGCCACCCCTAGTGCTCTGTCCTTGTCATCCGCCCTGGCCTGGTTGTTGGGCCATGTGCAGTGAAAACCAGCAATCCCATTTGTAACTTGCTGAGCTCTCAGTAAGAGGCAACAACCCTGCTGACCCCAGACACCAAGCTATTGAGGAATTTAGGAGCCATAGTTCTCAACTTGCTGATGAGAAGGGTATTCTGAGCCCCATGGAGTGCCTCGTTCCATGCCCCCAAAATTAAGCTCAACACCAGCTGCATATTCATGGAAGAAGTGAGGGTGGGTAGGCTACAGAGATCTTTCCCAGAGTATCTTCCCTGTCTATTAAGATCAATGTAAGCTGTGCTGACTTCAGCAGGAGTAGAATTATATCCTGTGATATAACAACATGGGTTCCTGTTTACTGTTGATAACCAGCCAACTGGAGTTCAGTGGGGAGAAAATAAAATATGTAAAAACTAAGGCCACCATACAGCCAAAATTATGTATGGATAAATCGTTAAAGCAATGAAACTTATTCATATAAGCACAATGCTTATTTTCATCCCAAAACCACACTGGAATGTGAAGGACGGCTTGATATGCTGATCATTTGGCTTGGAAAAACTCTCCTTGTAGATGACACATTTGCACCAAGGTGAAAGAGCCAAAATGTTATTAATTGAAATTAAAAATGGACCTCTCATTCTTTTCTTGGTGCCAAAAGCTTGATTGAATTCATGTCTGATCATAGGTTTAAAATGCAAAACAAAGTAGACAAAGAGATCCCATTGGCAAATGGATGGTGAATTCTCAATTATTTTTGGAAGAGTAGACATTTTCTTACTGAGAAACCTAGAAAGGAAACAGTGTTTTATTCTGTTCTCCACATGCCTTGCACTGGGTCAGAGCATGGGTCTATCTAGCCCAATATTGTCAACATGGACAGGCAGTGCCTCTTCAGAGTTTCAGGCAGAGTTGTCTTAGCAAAGTCACAAGCACCTCCACCACCCCTAAAAATACATACTCTTGCACTGACTGGGTTCAGACAAATTTACAGTCTGCACTCAAATCACCTATTGAATGTGGGTTGCCACTGCAATGTGAATTAATTGAATTGTCTGAATGCAGTGACAATGCAAACAATACAAACCCAGAGTTTACAAACCAGCAACAAACCATGGGTTCTTCTCATGGATTGTTTGTGGTTAACAAGCCATTCACTGTTAGCGTGGCTGGGCTTGGACGATGACAGCTCACATTTCAACCTCTGGTTGAACCCATGGTTCAGTGACAATCTGCACTCATGGGTTATCAAGTCTGAACCCAATCATGGTGTAGTCCAGTCTCTTTCAGAGCAGGTTGTTTGACATCATAAGTGTGTAACTGGTTCCATTGGAGGCCTAAATAATCACTAGAAGAGCCTAAATACAGGCATCAAAACAATCACAGAGGTTTTTCTTAAATATGAAACATGTAAAATTTTATACATACATATGTACATACATACATATACACAAAAGTTGAAATCCATGCTTTGTATAAACAAACAGAAGATTGCTGCCTTTACATGACCACACAATTGGTTTCTTGCTCATACTCTATTATATATGCTGGATAAATCTGATACTTTTCAAAGATGACAAAAATCGAAGGGTTCCAAAGGCAGTCCACGCAGCTGTCATAAAAGCGGTTTGATTGATTAGGTCTAGATGGTGGGCGAAGGTAGGCCGCCTTGCCTTGAACATAATCTCCAACCAGAACTCTAGCTACAAACATGATCTTGATGCGGGTGTCTGACCGGCAGTAAGTATGGGAATAACTGGCATCCCTTGCAAAATAGCTTCCTAAAAGAAAAGATTTTGTAAAAGCTAGATGTCCTATATTTGAGACAAAATGCCAACAGGAATGCATCAAAGTGGGTGGAAAACAGAACTCCAAACACTTGGACTTCAACTCCTGGAATTCCCAATAACTGGCAAGGCTGGTAGGGGCTACCAGGAGTTGAAATCCCAAACATCTGGACATCTACCTGATGCCCATGCCTATTAAATAATCCTCTTGTACATTTCTGATCAATCCCTCTATTTCCAGTGTTGAGGTCATGCAGATGCCTACATAGCCCAGACTTCACCATTCTCACCCAAGATGGGGGCCCAGGGAAACTACAAGGTTTACAGGAGATAAACTCTCCTAAGGGGAGGACCCCAAAGCAGATCCATGAGGACTATGCCTGCTTAGAAGCCACCCCATGTAGAATAGCAGAGAAAATGAATGGAAGAGCGGGCAGGAGAGTGAGTGGACTGGAGTCTCTTGACCCAAAAGGAATGACTGCACAGGGCCAGGTCACAAGGCAGCATTTTGTGGCATGTCCCACTCATGCATTTCAGATGGCCCTTTTAGGCAGCTGATCGCTAGCCACATATAACTGACAGCCACATAATATTGAAATTGCTCTGGCTCTCAGAGTTTGGCACGATCCTTTCAGAGATGCTATTTATAATTCAGATTGTGATGAGACGGCATCGTTTCCATGGAGGAATAGAGTGAGGCAAGGAAAAGCAAGGCACAGCTGTGCAGAAAACATTCTGCCATTGCAAAAGTGGATGCCAAAGGCAATTCATTAGGCTGCATATCTGCCTGGTTCCACATCTACCAGAGATTGCTCCACCAGAGGCTGGGGAGTTTGTCTTGCTCAGATCAACTCTTCCCTGCTTTTCATCTGCCTTCACTGCATGGGGCAACTCTGAAGTTTTGAAGGACGGGATTCCAAGGAAGAGAAACGAGAAGCAACCAGCTACAGGACTTGGCTCAATCGCCAATCTTTGCTTGGTTATTTATATTGCAGGGTGGGCAAAAATATTTTTTTTTCTTAGCTAGTTGTCATCTCCCTGGAGAACATTCATTACTGTACTCAATTTAAACAACAGTAGATCTCCAGATGTTTTGAACCACAACTCTCAAATACTCTTGCCAGCATGGGCAATGCTCAGGAAGTATGAGAGCTGAATTCCAAATTCCTGGAGGTATGCCTTCTGCTCACCCCTGCAATTTTGTACATTACTCTTACTTTTTTTTAAACAGTCAGTACCAGTGACCCAATTTCCAGTAACCTCCTAGTTTTTCATCCTATTCAACTTATCAGGGTTAATCGTTGGTATAGAATGAAAGACCCTGTTTGGGGGCAGTTGATATAGTGGGCACACACTCCATCTAAAAGGTAACTGTACTTCATGTTGTATAATCTCAAACAAGAAACTTTGCCATTTTGTGTTTTCCAGTATCAGTCAAGATAAGGGAAATTCAGCCCTGCAAAGGTCATTATGCGACCTGAAGAGGGCAAGTGTGCATGTAATTCCGTGCCCAGTACCTTTTCCGTACAGCGTTCCGTGGGTTCCACAGATCCTCCAGTCAAAGTTCTGCCCGCAGATGTGATGCAAATGGGATGCGCTAGTACCGTGGAACAGGAGCTTTTCCTCAATGTCCTTTCCTCCATTCCACTTCTTCATCTGCTCTCTCTGCCTAAAGCAGAAGGCTCAGCTCAACAAAAATAATACTGCAAGAAAAACTCAGTGCAGTCGTATATGGATTTTCCCTTTCTTTTCCCGCACTTGGTCATGGAATCAAAGGGGCTATGAAAATTCAGGAAGTTGTTTTATATCAGAGGTGCAGAACCTCATCACAGAGATCCAAAGCCAGTCCTCCGTGGATCTTCAGAGGGCTCCCATCCCCAGATGTAAAATCAAAATCCAATACCTACCACTGGAAGATTTGCCAGAGAGAAGGGTTCTGAATCCTTCGGAGTCTTTGGATAATATAACCTTCCATTGTCTTCTCGAATAGTTCCTTGACGTTCTTATACTCTTCAGAAGAACTGGAGATCTCCACCAACTAGGCATAAGTCCAGAACTATTGTGAATAATGGTATCTGATTCATGGTTATAACATTGTTTTTTCACATTTATGCATATCACCCTTCTGGCCTCAACAGGTTCAAGAGGGGAGCTTCACAAGAAAATCTATACAGAACAAATAAACCTGTTTAAACACACACACTATCAAAAATAGAGGAAAACCTGAATGAATCAATAGGATAGCACAAGGGACAAGCCACTCAGCCCTCAAATCACTCTTTCCTCACGTTTGGACGCCAACTGTCGTTGGGCTGCAGGTCCTGCCATTCCTGGTCATTGCTCGTGCTCTCAGGGGCGATGGGACTTAGAGCTCAGGGAAGTCTGGGGAGTTGCGGCTGAGAATTGTGGCCGATGTGACAATCTTGCTGCTTGTGACTGTATTCTGCATGTGTTGCATTCTGCACGTGCTTCTATTCTGCGGAATATCACTGGTGGCTGCAGCAGGGTTGTGGCTGCAAAGTTGTTTTCACATGGTTAAGTTCCATGTGGCTATAGTAGCATTTCCATGAGACCTACATGGAATCCAGAAATGCTTTTTAGAATTCCAAAGCTCCTAATACTAGAATTCCCAGTTCCAGAGAAAAGGGTCAGCTTAGCCTTTTAGGTCACAGAGCAAAAGTTATGAATACAGTGGTGGCAGTCTGTATGCTTGCAAGGGAAAGGGCATGGATAAAGTCTCAAAGAGAGCTGGCACTCAAAAGGGCTTTTCCCTTTGCTATGAGCTTTACTGAAATAATGAACACATTTGTTTTAAAGGGTAGAGCAAAAATCTAAGAGGGGGTGCTACACTAGGAGGAAGGAGCTTCTTCTCCCGAATTTTAAGGTGGCCTCCCCCAAACTGGTTCCCTTCAGATGTTCAGGACTTCATCTCTCATCTACCCCTCTGAGTATGGCCTATGATCTCATCCCAAAGCATGTGGGAGGCGACAGCTTGGGGGAAACTGTTCTGAGTGACCCAGTATGTCCATTCAGATCAATGGACATTAAGATGAATGCAGTTCACATGCGCAAAGAACTGATGATTTCTTAGAACACTTTGATAATGGTTACAACCTACCTTGCCCAGCTCTGGTCCCACTTAAAGAGGGTTTTAGATAGGAATTAAGGAAGCCCTGCACTGGGTCAAAACAAAGCATTCATCCAGTTCCACATCCTATTCTGCTGAAGGCCAGATAGGCCATGGCCCAGAGTATGGTCTGAAGGCACATAAGGCATCCACCATACTGAAGCTAAGCAGGTCTGGGGCTGGCCTGAGCTTGGAGGGGAGACCACTTGGGAACCACATATAGCCCCCTCAAGTTCCACAATGGGAGAAAGGACATATACACATAAAACAACATATAGGTTCTGGGTGGCCTGTTAATCATCCCAACAATACACCTTCCCTATGTTTACACACACAGCAACATGTGCATTTCACCTCAGGGTGGACATAAAAAATGGAGGCCACCACTGCAACAAGCAGCCACATGTTCACCCATGGTGGTGCCTTGCTACAGATGAACCAGGTCTGGGTTTTCCTCCTGCCCAAATCTCTGTTACTTCGAAGCACAGAGCTATTTCAGATGGAGGAACCATTTAGCTACCTCCCAGCTAATAGCAGTAGATGTTTTCAGAACCAGTTGCGACCTGCACAGTCCTGAGGTTCATCCAGGGCTGGGAAACCTAGAACCGCCCATTGTTTTTTGGACCACAACTCCTACAGTCCTCAACCTTTATTCATGCTAGCTGCAGATCAAGAGAGCTGTAGTCCAAAATCAGTTCTGCCCACACACCACTGAGTCAAAAGAACACTCCTATTTGCTTTAACCAGTGTGGTTAGAGCATTGGGCTGGGACTGAAGAGAGCTGGGTTCTAGTCCCCACTCAGCCATGAAATTCAGTGGGTGGCTTTGGGCTGGTCATTGAATCTCATCCTAACCTAGCTCAGAAGGTTGTTGTGAGGATAAAATGGAGAGGAAGAGGATAAGGAGTATATAAGGTGCCTTGAGTTCCTCACCAGAGGAAAAATCATGTAATGTATTAAAAATAAAAAATATTAATACCGCTACTGCAAACTACTAAGTTCTTGATTTCATCTGGCACCTGGTACTACCTTCACAGGAACTGGTACTTCATATTCACTCTGCCCTTTTGGAAGTGGCTATGATCAAGCACAGGCATATTTTGGCCAATATTACTGGCAATTTGGTACTCTACTTTCACCAAAGGACTAGGGGCAACTCTTCTCCCTTGTGCTTGGTGGCTAGAATTTGGATCGTCAGAGAAAGCAGCTATTCTCACTATGTAAAGTGGAAAAGAGAAACGTAATACCTCATAGCCTATGTCAGGCAGTGCTGATTTGTCCCAACTGGAAGGAAACAAGTGGGAGGGAAACGAAGATACGGAGTGACTTCTGCAAACAGGAGATAAAAAGCAAACAATGACTCAGTGCTAGTCAGAGTCTGCTCGTTCTCAAAATATCAGTGCTTTTCTAAAGCACCTTTCTCTTACCTGGTGCCCCCCAGATGTTTTAAGCTAGAGCTCCCAAGATTCAGTCTACTGGGTTTTCAGAGCTGATGTGGAGGGCAGCAGGTGGAGGAATTCTGTTCCAGGAGCTGTGTTAGAGCAGACTTGCCCAACCTTGTGCCATCCACTCCAGCTCCCATCAGTCCCTGGCAACATAGTCATTGGAGAGTCAGGTTCAGCTTCCAAGGAATGGCCAGTGTACTCATTCTTAAGCATGCATCCTTGCCCAGCTCAGGCTGTGACTAGCCTGGGAGGGTTCCCCATATCTCAGCATTCATTTTACTTCTTTTAACCTGGAAGTGGGGTGAAGAGATAAACGAATAGGAGCACCGCTGTCCCAAAGAGACAAGAATTCTGGCACATGCAGCTCATGGTGAAGAGATGACTAAAGTTTCACATTGTTGCCATACCCTCCCCATACAGGTATTAGCAGGCAGAGGAGTCTTGTCCTGCCTTGGATTTAATCAGCCTTGCAATGACAGTCCTCCATCCTCCAGGTTCCCCATCCTTAACTCTCAGGATCCTCTCTAGCCAAGGTCTACATCAAAGCAACCCTTCAGTAGTAGATTGGCATAGCTTTTTTGCTACCGGGGTGGACTCAGGGCATCCACCAAGAAATCAACAGTTATGGGATGAGAGGCAAAGTTGAGAACTACTGTGGACAAAAATGGATTCCACGCTTCCAATCGGTACGGCTGGGAGGGTTAACTGGTGGCCCTCTTGATGTTCTTGCAGCACAGGTCCCATTAGCCCCTAAACATTGGCCACCTGCTGGCAGGTGGAGTCCAACATCATTTGGAGGGCTGCTGGTTCCCCCCCCCCCCCCCGCAACCATGCCGTAAGAAAAGTCTTAGCCAAACAATGGCTGTGGGATCTGACCCAAGTGAAGACAACTGGCCCAGCTGCTTCCGGATGAACAGCACTATCAATGAAAAGGCACTGTGCAGCTTTTCCACCTGTCCTGCTTCGACAGACTTTGTGTTGAGAAAAAAGAAGGAAATGGTAGGAAAACACAAGAAGGGTACGTGTGGAATGCATGATCGTCTGGCCACCTCATGACATTCCACGTGTGACACAGTGTGCAATGACTGGTGCCTTTGGACAAGGTCTTTACACACATCTTAGGAGCATACAAAGTGCCTGCCATGTGGTTTAATGGGTCCCAGAGAAGCACTGGGATGTTCTTGTAGGTGTGCACTTGCAAACGCATCAGCTACAAGCATGATGTGTCGCTGGATAAGCGGAAAACACTTGTCAAACATTCTCTATATAAATAGAATGGGGGAGAAGGATTGCTTTAAAACCCATTTTTACTCTGCCTTTCAGTCTCCATACAAGCCTCTCAAGGTACTTCACAAGAAACAGCAACCTGAAGTGCAGAAATGATCAAAATTCACAACCCCCTCCCCACAAATAATACAATAGAAACTACTCTTTTAATTAAATGTTATTGTGTTCTGTACTGTTCTTTTTATTTTAAATTATTGTCTGTTTTATATCTTACATCTTATATTGTATTTTACTGTTTTTATTAATTGTTGTACACCCCCCAGAGAGCTTTGGGTAGTATAGGAACAAAGTTAATACTGATGTTACAATACAGCAGATAACAGAACTAGGCTGAAAACACAGCATGTGCAGTTAGGAGAGAAATTCATAATATACCTTTTCTTGCTTTCACGTCCACCACCAAAGAACACAAGCCTGGGCCACCGGCAGACTTTTCTCTGGGTTTGGTAGTGTAGGTTCCTCTGAACCATCTCTTGAGGGAAACAGCAGTGCTTACTGTTAGGAACAATGCATCTCCTTCACCAAACAACAATTATTTTTGTCACCACAGCATGATGGGGCGGGTTGAAACTTTATCATGACCTCACTATATTCCAGCCTCTTTTGCTAATATGGCTTCCTCACTAGATTTGATGGATAACCCCCAGAAACTCCCACTAATCTGGCGATCTTTTGCCAGATTTGTTACAGTGTGCATGGGTTCCCGAAGGCTTAAGACCCAGAAGAAAATGAAGAATGAAAAAGCAAGATGGAACTGACCAGACTGAGAAAACCGGGAGGCCAGGAGCGGTTGGAGAATGGACTGGTTTGATGGACCGCAGAGAGAGAATGGAATGTGATGAGAGTGCGTGTGTTCAAGATAAAGGCCAGCATGTTCTGTGCCAGCTCTGCTCAGAGGAGTTCACTGTTCGATCCAGTTGGACTAAGCTGATGGAGCCAACTTTATAAAATGACTGGGCTTTCCAGCTCCCGTGTGTGCCAGACCAGTGCTGCAACTGGTCACTCACAGTCCCGATGGATCACCGAAACAGCATGAGTGTTGCATGAATGCGAGTGCGAATGAGGCCTCTTGATATTGTTGCTGATGATTGCTGAACTTGTGTTCTTATACTCTCGTATATCATAGAATAAACGTTACATGCATAGTGTTTAAAACCAGATCTGGCGTTCAGTCTCTCTTTGATAAGGGCTTTCCTTGGAAACCTGATAGTCTCCTGTTTACTGAATCAAGGACCACTTTATTATGGTCACAGGTTCACACCTGAGCCACAATACATGATAGCAGTCCTTTAGCCAGAAATCTGATAATCCCTGCCCTTATACCACAATGGTATAGAAGGTGTGTGCCATAACAAAATAATCTTCATTTCACCAGTCATCTTGTTCTCAGGCCTGGGAAACAGACGAGGGATACTCAGAGAGAAAACTAAGAATAAAGGAGGTGTTCACAATAAGATATTCATCTGGAATTGTCCATCTTGGCCACTTCTATAGAATCCAGATGATTTTGCCAAATCATTGCATCAGATTTCCCCATGCTGAGTTGTGGCAATATAATGCTTTTTCTGCATTTAAATTATTCTCTCATGTTGTGAGTGGACAGAATCAATGGCTGATTTTCAGGGCTACCATGCCTTTAAGCTTCCTGTTTGTAGATTCTGTCTACTTATATTGCCTAGAAGATTGGGGATGAATATTCTCACAGTGTCAAATCCTGTTGTCATCAGAAAAAGGATTTCATTGCTGGTTCCTTTCTCTTTTTCTTATGTGCCTGCAATTTTTAAGGAGCTATATTTGGTTGCGGCAGATTTCTCAAACTGTTTCCGTTCTCCTGTCGTTTACTGAATCACCTTGCTCCCTCTACTCTTGCTTTGCAGCCTGTGAAGTGCCTACTTTCTAGCAAGACCCAACAGATTATGAAAGCATGAACTCAGTCAGTACAAGTTACACACAAACAGGAGATCAAGGTTTTATCCTCTCTAAACTACAGTGCTACCCTGTGACCAACAGAGGTCTTCTTTGGTAGAATTTGCAAACAAAAGCTAAGAGACTGGAATACCAAAAAAGATATGTGACACATTGTAGGCTTGCTAATATATTATTGGCACTGACAAAGCCTACAAAAGTTGCACAGCCAAACCAATGATATCAAATGCAAACAAAGTCACTGTTTACCAAGAAAATGTCTAGCAAAAACACTGATGAGTTGTGATTAATTTAAACACATACACATCCCAGCATGATAAGAAGCAACAAAAATAACGATGACAACAACTTAATTTCTATATTACCCATAGAAACTGGGCAGTTTGTAACAGTATGAAAAAATGATCCAATAAAATATGACACAATACTACAAAATATTATGAAAAGAAACATTAAAAATTAAAAACGACTTAAAAATACATTGAAGAATGACCCACTAAAACAAAAATGTCTGGCATAAGTAATCCGCTCAAGCCTCTGGATAACCAAGGATGTCTTCAAAAACTTCAAACGCTTTGTGCCAGCCTAACCTGGTACAAGAGGATTACAAGCAGGGTGGGAGTTCCTTTTGGATGCCACCCTGTTGATACTTGGAGCAAGACCCAGAGGCTAAGCACCGTGTTGGGGGAGACTGTGGCTGGAAGAGGCACTGCAACAGGACTTGTGGTTCCAAGCCAGATGTGTAGGCATTTGTCTGTCTGCTTGCACACATTTCTGTCTCTTTGCTTGGATATATTTCATATCTGACAGTTTGATTATGATATCCATATTAAATAGCAGCAATAGCACTCCACACATTACCTTGGAAGTTTAGTTCATACAGCTGAGTGCCGGCTTGAAAAAACACAACACCTTTGGAGTCAGCTAGAAAAGCAGACTCCAGGTCAGGTGATGATACTGTTGCAGCCCGATGCTCGGAATGCTAGGGAGGCAGAACACAAAGAGAGAGAGGGAGGGAGAGAGAGATGGCCAATTGGTTTGGTTTTGACTTTCTAGGTGTTGCACTGTCTTCGCAAACTTCAAACTGTAAACTCTCATGTTGCCACATTTGGATCTTCTTCATCCAACCTTCCACCCTTTTGGTCAAGGCTAATCAATGTGGTACTACAACTCCCATGAGCCCCAGCCAGCACAGACAAGGATTGTGGGAGCTGCTCCTGCGTTGAAATATGACTTTTCACTGTCAGGGGGTGCAAAGGATCTGTTTATGTTGACTTTGCTAGACCTTTGGTCTGACCCTGTAGCGTTCTTTTTGTAGAAACATAGAAACAGAGTGAGTCAGAAGGGGCCTCCCGGGCCATCTAGTCTGACCCCTGGCTCCAGCTGGCTCCACTCATGACATGCTTACTGTGTGCATGTTCAGTCTATCCTTGAACACCCTCACCAATGGGGCTGCAACCACCTCCCATGGAAGCCCATTCCATACTCTAGGAGTCCTAACCATCAGGAAGTGCTTCCTGGCATCCAAACTGAACCCCGGTTCCCTGAGCCTTGCTCCACTGGAACACACCCTGCCCATCTCTGTTGGGGAGAACAGATCTCAACCCACCTCTGTGTGACACCCCCTCATGTACCTGTATGTTGCCAACAGATCCCCTCGGAATCTCCTCTTCTCCAGGCTGAAAAGAGCCAGTTCCCTCGGTCTTGCCTTATATGGCTTCCCCTGCAGTCCAGTCACCATCCTTGTGACCCTACATGGCACCGATTCCAACCTGGCTATGTTTCCTGTAATGTGGGGTCCATGGATTTCTTATGACCTTAAGAAACCCATGATCAGCAAGGGAAGGCATGTTCTCACTGGGGGTGCGGCCAGGGGCGGCCAGCCTTTGCAGGAACTTCTGCCACCACTGCATGGGCTCCCCATGGCAAAAGACACAGCGGGAGAGTGGCTAGCAAGCAGGACTCCTTGGAGAAGCAGCTCCCTGGCCAACGTCCTGAGCCATTTCCCAAAGGAAGAGGTCAGGTGGGTGAGCTCTCTGGATAGGCGGCCTGCTCATCCATCTTCCCAGTTTGAGGGCTCTCCCAAAATGACCATTCTAGTAGGTGGACAGCCTTTCTGGGGAGCCACACCAGCTGAACAAAGCAACCAAAAGCCCTTGCCAGTCTCCTGTGCAGGGACTTCTCCAAGACTGAGTGCCCAGGCAGGCAGCTTCTCCAGAGATCTTGCAAGCACCATCTCTGGAGCGGTGCCCAGACCTGAATGCTGCACTGGAAGGTCCTTTCCAAAGTGAGGAATTGTGAAGAGGCCCTGCAGCTTGCCTGATCAGTTAAGTGGTGGGAGAGATGTGGAGACACAGCACCATGTGACCTCCCGGCTGAGGCAGGGGGGCATCCTGTGCTGTGGCTGGATGCCACCTACCTTCACTGGAGGCAGGGTAACGCTGGGATTGGCTCAATGCAGTCACACCTGCTGTCTCCTCACTGGCGCCTGCTGTTGGCCCATCAGCAAACTGGAGAAGTTTCAAATCTCAGGTAACAAAAAGCAAACTAAACAACATTCCCACCCTCTCACTGCTTCATCACATGGCCAAGTCATTGAGGATTTCCTCAGATTATAACTGGTTGTGTGAAGAGTGTTGTATGAAGTAACCTCATGTTAGCAAAAATGACATACCAAATATAAATGTTTACATTTCACTCCTTTGTTTGCTATGCCTCATATGCTGTATTCTTCAAACAGAAGAATGATAATCAGAACTTGAAAGGGCCTTGTAGTTCAGCCCTCTGCATGAAGCAAGAAATCCAGAGTTATGGAGTCCCCAGAAATGGGGGTCCAACTTGAGGACCTCCAGCAAAGGAGAGCCCACCAGCCCTCTTCGCCCACCATGAAGATTGCAGTGCTCAATCAAAAGCGACCTTCTTGCAAATTAAGGCCATTAGGGGTGCTATCATATTCATGTCTAGGCAAAAATAAGTCCAACAACTCCCAGCATCCTCCTCAAACAACATGGCTGGCTGGTTGGGACGGGAGTTGTAGGACTTAGTTCAATCTAAACTTGCATGAACTTTTGCCCAAAACTTAGAGCTGCATTTGCGTGGGACAGAAAATAAGTTCATGCCCTTTTCTCCAGGACAGCTGTTGGAAATGAAACACCCGATGGCGATACCCAAGTGGAGATGGTTCATCAGCTCATGGCTGAACCATAATAGAATGATAGCTTACCTTTTTGCCATACTCAATCCATTTGCCATTTTCATCCAGCCAATACCAGATAAATTCTATTCGAACAATGGAATCAAAAAGCATGGCTGCTGGTGTGCAGGGAGGGCCACGCAGGTGTTCAGGCTCCAGCCATCCACCGACGAAATCCTGAATGTCAGCAACACATGGAAGAGATGCGGCGGTGGGCACAGGGGACCATCAGTTCAAGCTTAACCCAGGAAAGACATTTTCACCTGCGTATCCATTTTCATCTAGCATAGGCTGGCCAGCTCCGTTACATAGGAAACGGCCTTATGCCGGATCAGACTGTTTGTCCCCCAGCCAGGAATGGTTTTGACTCTGATTGGCAGCAGAAGTTCTGCAGGTGGGGAGCAGAGCCTCTTTTCCAGTTCAAAAGCCAAATCCCTTTTAGGAGAAGCACTCAGGGCAGCACTCCAGTGGTAGTCCAGACTGAAGGGGAAAGGGGAAGGGATTGAGCCCACCAGAAATAGCAGCCCGCATGATTTTAAAGCTCTTACTGCCAGTAACTGAACCTTCAAAAAGGCAGTACAACTTTTTAGAATGTGCAGAAAGTCAAGAAACTGCCAAACCATCAGTGCGCAGGGCAAAAGAGCATAGGGCCTCCTGGAAAACCCAGACTGCAACCCCGGGAGGGACAGATCTGGCCCCCAAGGCTGAAGTCCTGTGTGCTTGTTCTCCAGGGTCTCAGTGTCACACCTGATTATTCTTTAACTGAAGACTCCAGGGAAGTACCTGGCACCTTTGGCATGCAGCACAGGTGCTCCACCCACTGAGTTATGGCTTCTCTCCATGGATGACTTTTTAAGGTAAGAAAGCAACTTGGGTGAGAAGAGACAGATAGATGTGCCAGCACATGAGTGGCGTGTTACATGCAGGAACGAGGCCAAGGCTGTCATGCTCAGCTGGCCTCAGAGCAGCAGGAAGAGACTCACTGCAGGCTCCGAAGTGAGCAAGAGTGAGGAGCAGCTGCAGGGAGCATGCAACAAGGCACAAAGGCATTCACCCAGGATATGAACTAGGTCCTTGTGAGAGTTCAGCAACAGGCAAGGAACTCAGGGCCATTGGTCCTTCCCTCCTTACTACCTGCTGCTAGTAAATAACTGGTTTTGTCAGGGACATCTTTCCAGTACAATCCCAGGAAGACAAAAAGCCAGAAGAGGTGTGGGGGTTCTATACATTGCTCCTGTTTGACTATCTAACTGTTAGACAGACAACATGGGTGAGTGCTTGGTGCATTGAGCTCCTGGCCCTCAAGGAACAATTTTGTTCCCGTAAAGCTGAGGTTGCAGAGCTGGAGAAACTGCGAGAAGATTATGGATGGCACGTTCAGGGATGCAGCAGCCACGTCCCAATTGCAGGGTGAGAGCTCCTCCGCTGTCATAGCAAATGCGGTCTCAAGGGCGTCTCTCCAAGGAAATGATCACATACAAAGGACTCTTTTCTCTGGAGACAAAAAGGAGTTCTTGCAGTAAGGACATGCCCAGCTTGTTCAGCAATTTTGGTGGCCTTGAATATGTATGATTTTTATGGATGCCTGCAAAGGAGTCTTTTATTGTGCGAACTCCTGCCTCAAACTTGGATTTTTATTGGGCAAGAAGACGAAGTTTAGAAATATTCCAGACAGAAGACTGCCTCATATAGACAAGGAGAAAATTGTCTACTTAAAATGCATCATGAAGCCAATCTTTGTATCATCTGAGTAGAAAAGACTGAGAAAAAGGTGACAGGACATGAAAGATAATTTGCTGGCTGTGGAACTCTCCTTTAACATCCATTCACTCCAGGTTCAGTTCTGCACACGTTTACACAGGGAAAAAGCCCCACGCCTTCCAGCCAGGAAAGTGGCGTTCTGGTTCAGGGGCTGGGGCTTGGCAGATCTAGGTTCTCATTCCCATTCAGCCATGAAGCTCACTGGATGATTCTGGGCCAATCACAGACTCTCAGTCCAACCTACCTCACAGGGCTGTTGTTGTCAGGATAACATGGAGAAGAGGAGAACCTTGAAATCTGCTTTGGGCTCCTTTCAAAGGAAGAAAGGCAGGGTATAAATGTAATGTAATATTGATAATAGGAAGTAGGAAGTAATGTTAGTTTGTGCCTTTCGGAAGTGATGTTAATCTCTGCGTTATTGTCAGTGTCAGCTGCTGATTTAAGCAATAAAAGTGCCCACTAAAGGCACAGAGGCAAGTGCAGCCCATTTCTTTGGTTAGAGGGCAACCTCAATGGACAAATTCTAAACAAAACAAAACCAGATCTACAAACTTTCTTGCAAAGTGTCATTACCTTCTTCAGACCATTTCAAATAGCATTTGGAACAATTGTGGATGCTATGGAAGGGATGGGAGGCCACGGATGTCTTTTCCTATCTGTTCCATAGACATCAAGCACCCCAATCTGCTGTGTTTAGAGTTTGGAAAGCACCCCTTTTACTTGGTTTTAATCCAGGTGGGATAACTGAGCACCAAACAGAAGAACAAGGGCTTGGCATGACCAAACCCAAGGAATGCCAACTGTGGGACAATGACTGGGTTTAAGAACACAGCAATCCACACTCAAGGGCTGGGTGTGGCTTGCGATTGAACTAGGGTTATTGTTCAAATATGACTTATCATATGGTCTGAACCCAGCAGTGCTGGCAAGCCATGTCTTGCTAAACATGAACAACTCATGAAGAAAAGCCCTGGTTTGTTGTTGGGTTCTGCACTGCGGGCTACTCACCATAGTTTGTTATCTTAGCTGGGTTCAGACAACACGATAACCCATATTTTCAACAATATCCCACAGTTCAGCATTCAATCTATACTCAGATTATTATATTGTCTGAACCCAAGCAATGGTTTGGATCTAGACTTGGTTTTACTTAAAGCAGACCCATTGAAATCAGGACTTCTGTACAACAAACAAGTTCCATTCATTTCAGTGAATAACCTCCAAATATCTCTAAGCCTGGATCCAATCCTATCAACCAGGGAGGAGAGACAAAGAACCATCCTTTGTTTTGTTGTTGTAATGAAGTGTTTCGATTTTAAACTTGCTTTGCGTGTATCAGCATACATTAAGGTTCTAGGAAATGTACGCAGTCCAGGAAAATATGCCTGCCTCAGACGGTTCAGTCATGGATTAAAGGCCTTTGCTCCCTTTGCAGCAAGCACTTTCAGACTTTGCCTCTTTCTCAAACAGCTTTCAGTTTCTGCTAAATCCTCACTAACAACCTTGCTTTGCAAATGGCTTCAAGTGGGGACCACTTAGTAACCAAGTTTGCTTTTCAAGGCAGAATATTCTGCTCTACAGCAGAAAGCAAAAGGATGTAACACCAAAGTTCAGAGAGGTATTCCAGTGGGTTGTGTATACAGCCAAAATAACACCCCACACACACACGCAAACATGGGAAGTAACAGCAGGCTTGTGGGAACTTTGGAACTCTCTCTCTCTCTCTCTCTCTCTCTCTCTCTCTCTCTCTCTCTCTCTGTGGTGGGAGCCACTAAAAGGAGAACCCCTCAAAGGGCCCAGTGGGGGTGTGGCCTGCTCAGCGGCCAGAACGCCAACTGAGTGTTGCAAGGCAGGGACAATGTTTGGGGCAGAGAATGGAAATGGAGGGGCTGAAATGCAGAAGAGAGAGTCATCTACACTGTTTGCAGATCTCACTTAGATGCAGTATATATTTGAGTAGAGTTTAAGCACCCTCTGGAATGTGTGGATCACCAGAGCTTGGAATACAGCCCTATCCTCCCTTACCATTGGCAATGCAGACTGGGGCTGATGGGAGTTGCAGCCTAGCAACATCTAGAAGGCCATACTTTCCTCTCCCCAGATTCAGAAGCCGGGATTCTTTCAAAGGCCCACATAACAGTTAGGGGTACTGTTGGCCTAACCAAGTGGTGGGCATAGCAAAGATGGCCATCCCTAACTGGCCTCAGAACAAGAAGGTGGACTGTAGGCACACACAGAAGGGAGCCACAGTGAGCATGGGCACTTTTGGAAAAACCCAACTAAGTCTGTGCTAATTGGGTCTCGGGGAAGCAGGGACCCCCAGCTGAATCCCAGCAGAGTGAGACAGAGTGTGACACAGCCCCAGCCCTCCCCTGCTCCCCCAGCAGAGACCCTGCTGCAGGCCTGTGTTCAAAGGCCTTCGGAGAGCTGCACATCCCCTGTTCTGCTAACAAGTCCTGACATGCACATCCCCTGAGGAGGACTGGTGCTTTTGGTGAGCACTCCCCGAACACAGCTGGAGAGGAGAGCTGAGCAAAGAGGGGAGAGCTTCTGCCTGGGGTGGAGTACCCTCTTTGCATCATCTAGTCCCAGGTTCTAGCTCGGTTACTTCCAGGTAGGACTGGGAAAGGTTCCTCTTGGAAATACTGGCACATCGGCACAACATTAGATCAGAGGGACCACTCTCTGAAGGCAGCTTCTTATGAGGAAACATCCAGTGAGGTTAATCTGCACATCACCTGCACCGGAACGTAGCCAAACACCCAACAGCCATATTTCTATAGCCCTTCACCCATTCAGCTCTCCAACTCTCTTGGAAATAACCTTTGGGAAGGAGGTGGTGAATGTCCAACCAAGAAGCAACTTTGAAATTGCAGACACCCATCAAATAATAGAGAAAACAGCATATGATTTCCATACAGACACCCCAGATTTTCTCTCCAGTATCTCTCATCAGCAAAGCAAGATCCAGGTGTCAACAAATGTTGTAAAAGAAAAGACAGTTCCATTTTATTCACTCACCTGTGCTACTTTTTAGAGAATTCCTCAGCGATTATCATATGAAAATAGCATGGGGGATTTCTTCCTCTTGCGTGAAATAATTCTGTTGCTATTAAGCCTTACACATAGCCCATAAAACCAACCAGCTGAGTCCCGGTTGGGTATGATTTGAGACAGAGGGATGGTTAAGAATGAGAAGAATCTACAGAAGTGGAAAAAAAAGTTCTCAACAAAGAAATCCTAATTAAAATCCTGTCTTGTTTTGTTCTCCATGAGACAAAACTTTACGGAGGAATAGAAAAAAGAATCCAGCAAATCTTCACTTCACCCTGAACTACTTCCTATCTAACTACTCCGTGCTCTTCTGAGTTAAAATCTCCACCTCCTCTTGCATATCTTTTCTGCTGGATAATTAACTGGGATAGTCAGCTGTCTCTGACTCAAACACATGCACGTTAACCTTTTCCCGTCTCACTTGGAGCAGGGACTGCCCACTTAATCGCAGGAATCATGCAAACATTACCAACGTTACAAAGGGTGGCTCCCCCCCCCCCCCCCCCAAGAGCTGCCAGTTCTTAAATGAGGCATCTACAGCAAGAGTGAAGCAGGTTCCTCTCTCTGGAGAATCATGGTTCAAATCATGGAGGGGAGAGTCACCTGATCTCTAGCAGAGGATGTAACCCAAACTTGCTGGATGACAATTCCAGGAGTAATGGAGAGAAGCCATGCCATCTCCTAAGTATTCCTGATTTGCTGTCCTCTATCTGTATTCCCAGAACTGACACCTTAGCCACCTAAAAGCCAGCAGTCTTCCATTTGCCATCCTTTGCTGTGGTTTAAGAAAGGTGTCTGTGTTGCTTTGAGCACATCATTCCCCCGGTTTTGCTCTGCCTCCGATGACCCGCCGTCCACCCCGCCAAGTCTAGGCAGCACTGAACTGGCTAGAGGTTGAAGGATTCCTGGCCAGAAATGATCTCTTGTGGAGCCTTTTCTTCCTGGAAGGGCCTGCCCTCTGCCAGTTGTTACATCTTCCCCTTTTCACAAGGACAAGTATTTTTGGCTTGGACAAGGTGGAGGGGGGAACTCACAAGAAGGTGAGAATGGAAGGAAGATAAGAATTTTGATTACTTTTTGATTATGTTCATAACGAAAACTAACCTCAAGATTTTACAATCTTTCAACTGAAATAAAACTTCAAAAACTGGATTAATATAAAATTAGGACGAGCTAGCATGGGCTTCCCCAGCTGGGCTCCAAGATTCAAGTCTCTTTGGGGTGTAAGCACCACATTTTAGCCTGGTACAGTGTGTTACATGCTAAGACACAAACCCTGCCACCACCTCATCTGTCTTCTCCTGTAATGGCATTGTTGTATAAGTGTGGCTTCCGGATCTAGGGAGGTGCTGATGTTCAAAAAGGCAGCCCCAAGAGGGAAACCTTCCCGCACCCTCAGTGGAGGCTTCCCTGCTAGGGCTACCAACGAGCACAGCAACAGGGTGATTGATTAGAAGAGCGGTGGAAGAGGAAAAATTAACCTCCCCTCTCTGAACACAATGGAATTTATAAAATGGGGTGGGGGATGGAGAGATCGCACACCTACAATAATATTTTAAAGCGCAGAGATGCTTGCTGAAAACAACATGCAACAGCACATTCTATTTCTCTCCTCTGTTTCATTTTTTAAAAATTTATTTACAATTACTTTAGACTACAGTCAGGGTGGAACCCTCTCTAGGTAGCATCCATGATAAAAACCATACAAACTGGAGGTAATAAAAATCAGTAAGTACATATTCAATAAACATCAATAAAATGCAGAGGTTACCAATAAAATCAATACAAAAAGAAATGTCCAATACAAGCAGCAACCCAAAACACTGTGGGAAGGCCAGAGAAAACAGGTGGGTCTTTAGAGCTTTCCTGGAGCCCAGCATAGAAGGGAATGGGCCTATGGATTCCGTTCATGGCCCTCAAGTTGCATCATGTTGCTGAATGATTGCTACTGTCAGAATTTAATCTATATATTTGAATTACACTGTGCTCAGCTTACAAAGCATTCAGAGAAGACAGTTCCACTATTGGAATAAGGATTACTTCTGCAGATAGAACAGATCTCTGCACCTGTTACCCCTTTTTGAGTTTACATTGTTTTGCTAGATTATAGCCACTTTGGCTATATAGAAATCCAAAAGGGCATCTATAGTTGAGCTTCTTGCAAGTTCAGGAAAACTACTACTACACTACTGTTGGTGGGTGGCCTTCCAGTCTACTCTTAGAAATCTCTAATGAAGAGGAGTCTTCTACCTTCAGGGGCAGTCCATTCTACTGCCTAACAGTTCGTACCATTGAAAAGTACATCCTGTTCTTCAGTCTAAATGCCACTTTTTTGTTCTGTAACTTGAACCCACTGGTTCAGGTCACGGGACCAATACATCCCAAATTTACTCCAAATATTCTGCAGTTCCACAGACTTGGACAGCCCTCCAAATATTCTGCAGCACCACGAACCTCAAAGGGGGAATGAAATTGGCTGGACCGTGCTGCAAAGCTACCTCTGGTGTAGTCAATTTCACCCAAAGGAAATGTTTGCCCTAGACTGATACTGTAAAAGTTGCAGGATCACGTTGATAAATACTCATCCATTATTTCACACACAAAGGATATTTTTAAAAAATCAAATCCTTCAAAATTACTGGACATTTGTGGGGGTTCGGGTTGTAGGGGACCTCATCATGGCACCATCCAGTGTTCATGACAATCACACCGAAATGCACACATGTCTTTTAAGGGCTTTGTTTGGCTTTTCTAGGGCACAGCCTGGAGCACATCAAAACCATCACTGGCAAAGAACAGCCATTCCTCTAAGGTCAAACAAATTTTAAAAATGAGCCTGCACGCCATGGCTAATAACAGCTTTGCTTCAAATGTACAAATAATGATTGACTTTCCATAGCCTGTGTTTAAGGATGGATGCAGATGCATCTGTATGAGTCTTGCTTCAGGGACTGGATGCGTCCAGGTCCCCCTGCGTGGCGGTGTTGGGGCTGAACTGGTAGGTGCTAAGTCCTAGTACAGGCCAAGGTGTGACTCGGCACAAGCTTCCCTTTGTGTTGCCTGTGCTGTCCATTCAGTGTTGAAGCATCACACTGGAAGCAGACAGCTCCAACGCAGTGGTGTCCTAAGTGTGACATTAAATGTAAGCTAAGCATCAAATCCTTGCAAAATCGGAGCTTCGGGCTAAGGGAGCGCTCTCCCCGTGTTGTGCTCCTCAGTAAGTCCTGATCTCTTGCTGCACCACCTTCAAGAGAATCTGAAGCTTCAAGGTAAGATAATCTGCAGAAAGACAAAGACACAAGCGCAAATAAGAACGAGTTCATATGGTATCAATTATACTATTTAGTGGTATTGACAGAGGGCAAAAACACAAACCATAAAGCTGTCCTTTGAAAAGAATCCTGTGTCCCCACACCCCCAGTGGTTAAAAGCCTACAGAGTGTGAAAACATGGCCAGGAGAAGGTCTACTCAGATCTTCTGGTTGACCTCTGGGGCTTTGCAATGGATCAACAAGACCTTCCTTAACAGCCACAAGTAAAACTAATATCAACAGTTGCATTTTGTTTTTGTTGGTGCTCTGAATGTTGTTCATTTATTGCTTTGTTTATTTATTGTTTTAATTATTGTAAGCCATCCTAGGACAATTTTCATATAAGACGGGGTAAAAATATATTAAATAAAATAAATAAAATTGCCCATAAATTAAATCTTAGAAGAGGTCTACCATAGCTAGTCTTGTGTTAATTGTGTATCTGTTGAATTCACTGGCCCTCACCTGTAAAACGAGTATTACTTGCTTGCCTTCATCCACAGCTTTATGCATCCCTGCTGCTCAGTTTTAGAGTATTGTGTTTATACTTGTGTTGATACAGGAGCACTGAATCTCAGGCCAATCCAGCCTTCAGAAGTTTGCTGGATGGTCATTCCCCCTTGCCCTTGGCCCGGCTGCTTCCCAGCCCCCATATCTGCTTGTTTGAATGTTCCCTAGTTTTCATACCATCCTTCTTTCTTCTAAACAGTTGAAATGCCTCTCCAAAGTCTCAGGGACAAACTAAGTGTTTTTCTAATTCCGGATGGTGAAGTGACACATGCTAGATTCCTTTCCTCCTGTGCAAACATACACAGTCCCAATTCCAATCAGGACCAGAGCACTCCGGGAGTGGGGGGGGGGGGGGTCACATCTTTTAAAAAGCAAGGGAAAAAAGTCCCAATAGCAGCACTGAGTGAGCTCTTGAACTTTTCTGCATAAGGCTGTTAAACTGCTGCTCCTACTGTTGATTTTCCTGTAGAGCTGAGATCTGAGCTCTATACGAAGTCAGCCCAAACAGCAAGCATTTCATAGTCAGGGAGCAGTTATATGAAAGGTTCAACATCACATTCCATTTTTTTTAAAGAGCAATATTAGCATTAAAGTGTTCGATCTCTGTCTCTCTCTCTCTCTCTCTCACATGCATGCACACATACATACAGAGAAAGGGAGAGAAAGAATAATCTTTGCACCTTACAGATCAAACTGGGGACAAGGACTGGACCCAGACCAAGAACCATTCATTGGCTACTTTGGATTTATACATTGCGTTTGACTCAAACGAACACTGAAGCAGGAGTGCAGAAGCTCAGACCCAGGGGCCAACTCCAACCCAACATGGCAGCACCCCTTTCCCCTGGACCCCCCCCACCCCCGCAGCCTGCACCGCTGCCTTCCTCGATGCTGTCTTAATGGTTGGGATTTCAACACCCAGAGTTCCTTTAGCTATGCAGGGATTTCAAGGATACTGTGCTGGATCCAAACACCAAAATTATCCAAATTCTACTCACAGAATGTGGTACGGCAACAATTTGGTATTGACCCATTGAAGAGCAAATAGTAAACTGGAAAGCCACTTAAAACAATGGCACATCCGATGCTGATGTTGATCGGGTCTGAGTAGAAAGACATCCCCACAGTGAAAAGGCAGATGATCGTAAAGGAAACTGGAATGAAGAGAGGAACCTAGACAGAGGGGAGAGCCAGATTACACAGGTCATAGCTGGATGCAGTGGTGTAGCGGAGTCAGGGCTCAGGGCTCAGGCACTGACACCTTTTGATCAGCAGGAATATTGGCTCCATCTGACACCCACTCTTCCTTCCAAGCATGCCTACAAACCCCAGAGTAGCTGGGAGAGAGGAATGGATTTTCCCAGCAGTACTATATGGTTCCTTGCTGAAAAGCAAATATTTGTGGAGGCTGGGCCTAGAATGGGCAATTAAGAGCCACCGGCTTTTTAGAAGACCTGTTCCAGGTGGAAGTGAACCAAAAGGATGATGCCAATCAGCACAACTGCCTGAATTTTGGACTCTGCTCACACTCCTTGTCACTTCTGCACTCTTGCTGCCCTGCAGAACGCTTAGGTGGCTGGTTCTGGGCAAGTGGGGTCTCCTTCCCCTCTCCTCTCTTTCCTTTTTACCTTACCAGATTTTTCATATTAAGAAAAATAACAGAAGAAGTGGGAAGATACAAGTGGGAGAAAACAATAACATCTGGACACACATTAAATTCAGTAAATGAGGTATGCTGATGGTTCTATAAGTCTCATCTGGAAACACTCACCCTACTAAATCTATACAAAAGCCTTAAGAAGAAAAGGCTGGGTGGGTGATCCAAGCAAGAATGTTTCTAAAGTTTTAAATGCTTGGAAATTGGGTATTGTGGTCTGTGACCACAAGGGGGCAGTAACTGCACATATCCACATGCATGCACACCTGCCACTCACCATAATCAAAGGCAGCCTGGCTTGCAACGGTACCTGTACCAGGGTGAGCATTCCAAACGGCTGCCTCAGTTCAGCCTTCCTCCACCCAACGCCCCAAGTTAACACGCTTGGCTCATAGTGCAGCTCTTCAGAACTGTTCTTAATGACCAGCATGCAGAAATGGGTCCAGAGACAAAGGAAGAAATAGTGCCCATCATGGGAGAAATCACACTAACAAGCCCTTACCTGGAATGGGCTCCTCATCTCAGGATGACGACAGCGGTGAACGATAAGCCCAAGGGTGGCTAGCCCTATGAAGAGCCACCGGGAGAAGCTGAAAAAGTTCAGTAGGTGGTAGAGATCCCCCACGCAAATCATGGCTGTGACCAAAGGGAACTGAAGGATGCAACAATGAAATTGCTTCATGATGCAGTCCCACATATTCCAGCTGACAGACCGCTTTTTCCACTACACTATAATCACCCTTTGAGACCCTCCTCTGATCGAAACCTTAAAAAAGAGTTGGAAAAGACCCATGTTTCTTCTACAAGAATTTTCCAAGAAGTATAAATCCTCTATTTTATTGCGTCTTGCAAAGCACTCCTTAGCCTGGTGCCTTCAAACATGTTGGACTAGAAGTCCAGTCATCCCCAGCCAACGGCCGTGCTAGCTAGGAACACTGGCAGCTGCAGTGCAACACAGCCGAAGGTCACCCAGTGGAAGAAGCCTGTGGCTGATGCATTATTTGGAGCAACATCTACTCATGAGCGGAGCTGGCTGGAGCTGGGGGTGAGACTAGATGACCCGGGAGCCCCTTCTAACCCACTCTGTTCCTTGATCTGTTCATGGTTTTACTTCCTCTTCACTTTTGCCATAACACCTGACATCATGTTTTAGGAAATAAACCAGGCAGAAGTAATTACAAGTCATCATCCATAATTTGATGGGCAGTGTAGATCAGTGGTGGCAAACCTATGGCACGTGTGCTGCAGTGGGCACACAGCGCTCTCTCTGTTGGAGCCAAGTCGCCCCAGCATCGCCCCAGCAGCCGAGCATCGGATAACAGCACACACAGGGGCCATGCGCATGCTCAGAAAGGAGCAGTGGTGGCAGGCAATGATGCCACAAGCCGCAACTCATTAGCTGCAGCTTGTCTGAGCTTTCACATGTCCAGTCGGAGCATTGCCAAGGATATATATATATTTGCTTGGATGGGCTGTGAGTTGCTTTTTCTAAACTAAAGCCTCAGTTTTTAGCTTTTAATGCAACGTTGGCACTTTGCAATAAATGAGTGAGTTTTGGGTTGTAGATTGGGCACTCGGTCTCTAAAAGGTTCACCATCAATGGGTTAGGGTTAGCAAAACGAGGTGTCCTGGTATGCTTTTGATGGCTGGAATGTGTTTAGAATGGGCACAAACGTTGAGCTGTGCAGAAAAGGCTACTCAAGGAAGGCTTTTTCAAAATCGGCCTCTTTTCAATGGAACTTTCGCCCTATTGTAGGGTTAGGGGTGTGTATCAGGGTAGGGTTAGGGTTAGAAAAATGAGGTGTCCTGGTCGGAATCTGATGGTTGGAATGTTTTTAGAATGGGCAGAAATGATGAGCTGTGCAGAAAGAGCTACTCAAGGGAGGCTTTTTCAAAACCATCCTATTTTCAATGGTATTTTGCCCCTATATTAGGGCTAGGGGAGTGCACCAGGGTAGGGCTAGGCTGGTGGTGGCGAACCTATGGCACGCATACCACAATGGGCACACAGAGCCCCCTCTGTCGGCACGCGAGCCAAGTCGCCCCAGCATCGCCCCAGCAGCCGAGCATCGGATAACAGCGCACAGAGGGGCCATGCGCATGCTCGGAAAGGAGTAGCGGCGCCAGGTGATGACATCATGGGCCCGCTTTCGCTCATTAGCCTCATTAGCCGCCGAGTGGCCAAGCTTTCACATGGCCACTCAGTGTGCTGCCAAGGATATACATACATTTGGTCTCTAAAAGGTTCGCCAGCACTGGTGTAGACCATTCCCAGCCCTCCCCTGACTCATTGCTCTCTGCATGTGTTGGACTGCAACCCCCATCAGCCAGAAGCCAGCATAAAATATTATTTTATTTTAATAAAGTTTTATAAACCATTCATAAGTTGTTTTTACACTACTGAGCTTTTGTGTTTGAATTCTATTCGGTGTGTTTAAGGCACAATCGCGTGCTTATCTACTCAGAAGTAAGTCCCAATAAACTTACAACCAGGTAAGTGTTAATAGGATCACAGCCTCATTTAATGAAGAGAAGTGTGTGCTACCATTCCTCAGCTAATCCAGGTCAATACAACCACCATCACCCCACCAAAATATAAGCTATAATACATTGACTTGCAAAACTACCCTTGCCCAAATGGGAGCCCTCCTGTGGGATTCTGGGAGTTGCAGTCCCACACATCTGGAAGGCACCTACTTGGGGAAGGCTGCTCTAAAGGAGCTGCTGAATAAAATGTGGATGCTATACAGAAACAAGGGCTTACCATCAACATGACAGCAGGCAGGGGTGTATGTCTCTGGATATGGATCATAGAGAAGAGGGGAGGCCACTGACCTTCCCTTGAAGCCACAAACAATGTCCTAGGACGGGGAAACAAACAGTGAAAAAAACCAAAAAACCAAGGAATCGATTTTTCTGGTTCCTGACTCCTAGCTGAGCAGATTGGAGGAAGCTGTCCCAGCTGGTCTAGGGCCTCTGGGATACAACCAGCCAAGCTCCCAGGGAGCGAATAGCCAGAGTGAGCAAACAGAGAGCAAACAGAAGGTTGGTGGCGGAGTAGAAGTGGAAGAAGAGGCAGAGCCAAACCCATTTACCCCCTTAGTTTTCTTCCTTGTAACACCCACCCATTTGCTGGTAGGACAGTGATGTTAACCTTCAGTGAAGACAGGGGGAAGCGCCGGTCGCTATAACAGGCCCAGCAAGCCAGAATCAAAAAGGGGGCAGAAAGGACCAAGAAGACTCTGCAGTTGCGGTGATGTGCGTTGTGTGCTGTATTTGTTTTCCTGCCTGAGGTCAACCTGGCCCACATGTGCTAGAAGGGCAAGCTAGTAGCCCTGCTAGAGGAAACAGTGAGAGCACTAGAGCAGCAAATGTCCACACTCAAGGAATAAAAGAAGATGAAGATTTTTAGACAGAGCGATGGAACTGCAAGAGCTAAGAGTATGACAGATGCCACAGCGGGATGAAGCAGGAGAAGAGAATCCCGGAAGGGTCTTTTGAACCACTTTCAGCCACTAACAGGAAAAATGGGTGAACAACCAGCTGTGAGTGAACTTCATGACACACTGAGAAATGTTGAACAAGAGGATAAAAGACAACCCAGCTGAGCAATGTTACAGCTTGCGACAATAATAAGAGAAGAGTGTTCGTTGTGGGGGAATCCCTGCTGTGCGGAATGGAAAAATATGTGTGCCGCAACGACTCAGAGAATCTCTGGATATGCTGTCACCCTGGAGCCAAGATTAATGATATAACCAATAGATTCACACATCTCATACAACCCACTGACAAATATCCCTTCCTTCTCATCCATGTGGGACAACACTGCCAGGGGAAGCTTTTCTGAAATAGCATCAGACTTCAAAGATCTAGGGAGGAAAATAAAAAAAAACATTGGCACCCAGATAGTCTCCTCAGTCCTGCCAGTATGTGGAAGAAGAACTGATAGAGAAAGAAAAATCCTTCAAGTGAATGACTGGCCAAGATGGTGGTGTTGCAAAGAGAGATTTGGATTCTGGGACCACACATGAAGGTTCCTAGATGGTGGACTATTGGCAAATGATGAACCTCACAAAGAACGGAAGGCCATGTGCTTGGCCACTGCATGAAAAAGTTCCTTCAGACATCCTCAGGTATGAAGACTTGACCCTTCCTTCCTTCCTTCCTTCCTTCCTTCCTTCCTTCCTTCCTTCCTTCCTTCTTTTACAGCTTTTCTATGTCTTTCCATATCTAGACAGATTCTGGAGTGTTGAATAGGCCTTGGCAAGGGGCGGCATAGAAATGTTTTAATAAATAAATAAATAGTGAGAAATAAAACAAATTCAAGTGTAAGTGTTACACATGGAGTGCCTCTAGGAAAACCCTGACTGAGCGCCTGTTTGCTGCAAAGCCTATTGAGGGGCGTGTGAAGCAGGGAGGGCTCACTTCTCCCCACTCCAGTGCATTTCCTAAAGCTCCTCCAAGCCATTTCTCTTGTCCTCACCACACGCATTCCAGATCGAAGTTCATGAGGTCAAACTTGGGGAATGAGGAGCTTCCGGAAGAAAGGGCTAAGTTGGGGTGGGGGTAAGCTGCCTCTCTCCTACCGCCTCTCTGTTCCAGTTCATCCCCCCTAATGTTCCGTGGAAACAAGGATGTGGACTGTTGTCTTCCCATACACCAAGGGAAGGCCACGACTTGCCCACAGCTGCCTTCCAGGATTTCATGTGCAGCTGAGCTGTCAGTCAGCCCTTATGTATTTATTAGATTTATATCCTGCTTTTTTCTTAGAAAGAACTCAAAGCAGCTTACATCGTTCTCCTCCTGCTGCACTCATTCGTATCGCCACAACAACAACAACCCTGTGAGGTAGGTTGGGCTGAGAGTCTGCGATTGGCCCAAAGTTACCCAGTTGGCTCCATGGCTGAGCAGGCACTCGGAACCCAGGTCACCTGAGTCCCGGTCGCACGCTACACCACACAGCAAGAAGCAAACCACTGACCGTGAAAAGGTGAAGATTCCTCCATTCATGGTTCCAAAGCAAGACAAGGAAACTAAGACAGGGACCACAGAGATAAGGCTCCGGAAGGCTTTGTGTGCAAAACTCTGGGGAGGAAAAAAGGCAACTTGGCTCAGATCTGATGGGCTCGAATTCTGAACACAACCTTGTTAGGGAAAACACAACTGGAGTCTCAGGATGGACCTGGTCCAGTCCCCACACCATTACCTGTGAACGAAGATTCAGGCTATTTCATGATGCTGAGAATACTCTTGGGGCTCCTACTTGCTAAAAACTGTGCCACTGTCTTAGAAGCTCTTTTCCATCTCCTATAAATCGGACCCTCTCGGGGAAAGACAATTATCTGATCTGAATAAGAATTTTGGCTCACCACAGCTACTGCCTGCGAGGCAAGGACTTCTGCTGCTGTCAGTACCGTGTAATAGGAAACATTAGTAAGCATGTATCCCACAATTACAGTGATCACAGACACTATCACAGCCAGAGGGATATTTCTGCAAAAAAAAGTGGGGAGGGGGAGGAACGGCTACTGCCTGCGAGGCAAGGACTTCTGCTGCTGTCAGTACCGTGTAATAGGAAACATTAGTAAGCATGTATCCCACAATTACAGTGATCACAGACACTATCACAGCCAGAGGGATATTTCTGCAAAAAAAGTGGGGAGGGGGAGGAAGGGAGAGGAGATCATTGTGAGTACAAGTGTTACCCCTCTGAAACACATTTTAATCTAATGCATCATTTCATGCCTTCCAGACATAGGGTTTAAAAAACACAACCAACACTTAAGAGATTGAGCATGGGTTGAGTATGAAACTTGGATTATTGAAATGTGGATTACTGTGTTGTCTGAACCCAGCCATGATAACAAACCATGGCTTATTAACCATGGACAATCCACAATTCATAACCCAGACTTTGTAACTCAGAGTTTGTAAGTCAAATTCTGCATATACCATTGAAGCAATAAGCACAGCCATGTGGGTCTATGAGAGAGAGCTGAGCGATAACTTTCCTGAGACTATGAAAATGGGGCAAAAGATGTACAAGCAACAGAAAAGTTAAGAAATCAGACCAGATGTTTTAAGTTGAAAGGTGAGGGAGAAGCATAAGGTTGCAATCTTATGCATGTTTACACAGGAACCTTACAGCTCTGAGCATGGCCCAGCCAAGCAACACAGCTGGCTCGGATATGTTGAGCTGTAGGTCTTGTTTTGTCTAAACAGGCATAGGACCGTGCCCCAGACTTCTAATCCTTCGGTTGATAAGGCTGGAAGGAAAAGTGGGCAGGCCTGTCCGTGGGGCAGTGCAGACCATCGAGCTTTCGACCGAGCTGTCCATGGGGCTGCACCCTCGCTCGCTCTGGGCTCGGCATGCAGAGAGCCCCTTGGTGCAACTCAAGCTTCCGCTGCCTCTGCTCAGTGAGGAACAATCCAGCGTATTTCTGCCTTCCAGCAATGGCTGCTACATGCACATGCCCACACATATGCGCACACACACAATGCGATGCACCCAAATAATATTACATTGTATTGATTTTACACCCCACATGTTCTCTTGTGAGGAGCCTGAGTCAGCCGACATAGTTCTCCTCCCCATGTTTAACCTCAGTCCAGTGTGGTAAGTGAGGCTGAGAGTAAGTGATAGGCCCAAAGTCACTCACTGAGCTTCATGGCCACATAGGGACTAGAACCTGGGTCTCCAGCCACTACACCAACTGGCTTTTCTGCACCAATTCCCTGGCTCCCCTTAGTTTTCCCCTTGGGCAAAGGGCTGCGGTGGAGAACCAGGAGTCTTCTAGATTGCTTTAGCCCCCAGTTAGGATCAGCTCCAGATGGCATCGCCATTGGTCAGGTATGAGGGAGTTGTAATCCAACCACATCTGTTTTTCGGTGCCAGGCGAAGACCTTTTTATTTAAACGTCATTTTAATTGTTAACAATATTTGCTTATTTATCTGGCCAGGACGACTTCTTTTATATTGTTATTTATTTTATATTGTTAATTTTATATTGTTAATTTTATATTGTTATTTTTGTATTTTATTTGTGCTGTGAGCAGCCCCGAGGCTTCGGCAAGGGGTGGCATAGAAATGTTTTAATAAATAAATAAATAAAAAATCTGGAAGGCACTCCAGATTCTCCACTTCTGCTGTAGGCCTCTGAGCTACCCGATTTCTTCTGCCCCTGCTAGCTTGTGGAGCCACTGGGTCCTTCTCCAAGACTCACCGTTCTGGTTTTACTAGCTCTTCTCGCACAAAACTCGTTTGAAACCTGCATTGTGGGTGGAGATAAAGCACAGAAATGGTCAGCGATGGATTCCAGTGATACTGGGAGAACACAATTGGGTGCTATAAAATGGAAATGTTAACACTGCATACCATCCCGAATAGGCAAACATCCCAGCATAAAAAGCTAAAGGCAACTTATCCAAGACGAGCATCCGGTCACTGAAAGCGTCCTGGAAATTTTCTGTATGGCCTAAAGGAAAACAATGTTGAAAAGTGAAGGTATAGCAGAAGCAGAAACTTTTCCTATGATGCCAAGGCCCAGATCACCCTAATTCCTGTATCGGGAGGCCAACTGTACATTAACAACAACGTGCAGGCTTTGGAAATCTTCAGATCTCTTCATTAGGTCAGAGGTTATAAAAAGCAAGTGTGTTTATGTGAGTGTGTGAGTGAGTGTGTATGTGAGTGAATGAGTATGTGTGAGAAAGAGACTGTGTGTGAGAGAGAGTAGACCCCACCCCCCAAGCATTGCATTGTGGGACTCTGAACATCCACACTGAGTGACTCCCACCTCACCTCTTTACCTTATAAAACATCTTGTATGATAAAGTGATCTGAAGATCCCAAAAGCCTGCATAATTTTTGTTCTTATAATTGGCTTAATAAAAGTAGTATATATACTTTACAATTTTGCTTTCTTTTCTCTATAAGGCTGTTAATTCACTGCATTTATGTTCAAGCACTAAATTAGGAGCATTTCCTTTCCTGCTTTTCCACTACATAACCTCCAGATGGCACTATAGTATATCAGAATAACACAAATTCACAAGTGTTTTCTTTCGCCACAATGAATAATATACCATTTCCCCTGCTCCGAAAAAATAACTTGCTGAAAGTGTCGTTTGCAAACAGAATTGAAACTGGAGGGTCAAAATGTTGTCGAAAGAACTGATAAACCACGATGAGTGATAGGTAGACAATAAATGCCTCATGTCAACAAGCTCAAAGTCAACACAGCAGCCATTGCTTTTCATATTTGAAAGTTTATATTATTTAATCAAATACTGATATAGAATACCTTGGGCTAAAAGCATCATCCCAGGGACAATAATGAGAGCAAGAGCAGCTAGTTTGATGATGGACAAGATGGTCTGTAGCCTGGCACTCCAGCTGACACTCCAAGAGTTCAAGATGAGGACGATATCTGGATTGCAAAGAGAGGAAGGTGCTTAGTCATCTCCAGGATGCGGCCTTGCTCATTTCACTGGGGGCTTCAAGAATTGAGATTCAACAAAACCCCCCACATGCATTTCGCTTTGGCAGGACCGCAACATGGCGGAAACTGAGGGAGCACCTTGTTGGAACTCACAGTAACCAAGCAGAGCCACGAGCTTCACAGCTGGAAGCGGAGCTGGGCAGGGGGTAAAGAACGGCTCCAGGATGTAGCGCCCAAATGCCAAGGAGACAACCGCACTGTTGGCCGGCCTGGAGAAAAAGGTAGGTGGTGCCCTGTGGTGAGACTTTAAGAAAAAGTCCACGGTGTTTGCTATGCAAGATGCTACATTCCCACAATGTAAAGAAATTGGAGTCAGTTTCTCATAACAGCCTTCAACAAGCCAGGACAAACGAAGAAGCTACCCCATAGCAGAGGGGCACTGGGTTCAGACAACATGTTAAACCAGGGGTCCTCAAACTTTTGTAAAGGGGGCCAGTTGACAGGTGCCAGTGGTGGGTGTGGGCCGCCAAGGCAGTGCCGGTGGGGGGACATGGGCTGGCGAGGGGGCAGGGTGCGCGCACGCACGGTGCAAGGTGCCGGCTTGCTCACGAGGAGATAGTTTTCTCCAATCGAGTCCAAAATGACCTCCTCGCGAGCAAGCCTGAGCTTTGCAAGTGCAAACCTGTGGGGCGGGTCAGTTAAATGGGCATGGAGGGCCGCATCCCGCTCACGGGCCTTAGTTTGAGGACCCATGTGTTAAACCATCCTGACTTTGAAGCCACAGTAGTTTAACATATTGGAAGTGTCATGAATTGATTGATCTCTTCCCTCTTATCCAACTCAACATGAAATCCTGGAAGCCTAGTTCTTTCACTGAAACTCCTCTGGTCAAATCAAACTATATAAATCAAAGAACCCTTCTGCTAGAGTTGTGGGAGAAGCATCTGCCCATGTCAAACGCTGAATCCAAACCGAACTTCTGTCTCTCCCTTTCAGAAAAGCTTCTGATTCCATCCAAAGACTGGTGCTTGCTGCTTGGGGGCTAGACGGTGGGTACACCTAAGACCTTGCAATTGGGCAGCTTGCTTCTCACCTGAGCAGGTCAAGGAGCTCTTCTTGCATCGGCTTCTGTTCCCATGCAGAAAAACCTTCCATCCTTTCCAAGGTGGGCGGATTCTCACTATCTGCATGAGTACCTTCACTAGGTAACCTTGAATCAGTCAACTCTTCCTCCCCTCTCACTCCTCCATCTCCTCCTCAGAATTGGATGGATGCATCAGAGCAGCCCAGAGTGAGAGAGAACTGGGCGCACTCTCTGCACTAAGAACCCATTCAGCCTAACCTACCTGCAAGGGTGTTGAGAGGGGAGAACGGAACATCCCCAGCTCTATTGCCAGTCTTAAGGTTTGAAGGAGACATTAAAAATTGGGTTTTTAAATTATTCATTATAATTATTCAGTGATTTGCTTTTTAAATTATCTTCTCATTAAAAATTATGGGAACAGAAAAAATTATGCAGGGAAGCCTTGACCAGCTCACCTCCCATGACCACCCTGGATAGCCCCTTGTAGGTCACACTGAGGTCCTTGAAAAAATGTGATGAATAACTTAATTCATCCTGGCCCTACATTTTAGGAAGCCAGTCCAATTAGACTGCTGCCATAGTTTTCAAGGAGTTTTCAACTGTAGTTTACAACACCCAGAGAGTTTATCACTTGATTTTTCTGGTTTGAAATATTAAACACAGACCCATCATGTAATTTCCAGTTATTACAAAACTACACAAATGTAATTTCTGTACATCTGATGCTTTAGACTGCTGTCCCAGTCTCATTGGCTTGATAGTACACCAACTGAACTCAGTGAGAATTGCTTTTAAACGGAATCAAGCATTGCATTGCTAATTATAATTCAGGATTAGCATTGCTAATCCTAATGCCATGTATAGGATTGCATTGGTAATTGTTCATTTTTGAGCAGAGATACTATCATATACGACCAAAACTGAAACCAATATTGTCATGCATTTTAAATGTGCCAACACTGCTGATTCTTCTCATTTTGTTTTGAATGCCACATGTTGACCTTCCAAGTCCAAAATTTTATCCCCCAACGGAGCACTCAAGGGCTTGAGAATAGCTGCCTTGGTCGTTTGGATTTTGGCAGCTGTCAGGTATGCAATCTCATGAGCTTTCTGTCAAATACAGATGGCTAACACCGCTCAGATAATGTCAGAAGCCAAATACCATCTCATATCAGCTGTCAGTGATCATTAAGCACTAAAAAAATTCATGTCTGCTATTAAATCAATCATATATCAAGCACTGAAATAAATCAGTGCCTCCCAAGGAGAAAGATGAAAGAGGCCATGTTTGTGGAGCGGATGAAGCCCAATACCACTGTAAAGGATGAGAAGAAACAAGCCAAGATATTTAAGCATGCAGCCTGATGGGCTTTTGAGTGAAGATGCTGATTGATCACTCATGCTCCCTCCATGAGGCTTGGCCTTCTTCTTAACTGGTCCCAGCTCAGCTTTTAAATATTTGCATATTGGCACATACTGAGTTGGATCAAAGATCTACCTTCTGCGAATGGAAGGGTTCTAGTTATGGAAGGTGTCTCTGCCTGATTGCAGGAGGCCCTGCCTTTCCCCCACCCCCTGCACTAAGCCCAATCCATTCTGCAGCATCTGCCAACCTAGATGAGTTTCAGGAAGATGGATGCAGAGAAGGAAATGAGGACATCCAATTCCATTTGTATTTGATGCACCTAAGTCTGGTTGCAAACCATGGTGTACATGCAGGACATTGTGCTGCTATTTTATTGCATTTTTTAATTTATTACTACTTTTCTAAACTGCCAAGTGACCAAAGGTCTCTGATCTCTGAGCATTTCACAAAACAAAACTTAAAACCATATAAAGAAAAACAAAATGCAGTCTAAAGACTTTAAAAGTTTAAAACAACGGAATATAACTAAAGAAAAAGCAGTGCAAAGATCTAAAAATACTAAAAAATACACCACACTGTGGAGTTTTTAAAATGAAGATCTAATAAAGAAGGAACAATAAAAAGGACTTCCCCTGGTATTGAGATCATTTACATAGTTCCGTCCAAAAGCAAGCTTGGGCCTGTGTTCTCAGACATAAAGTCCTGCTGAAATCAATGGAGCTTACTCCTGGGAAGGCAAGTACGAGGTTACAGCATCACAGAAAGCTGCCATTCTCCCAGAAGTGCATGGCCTTCACCCTCTTGGTGTGGATGTTATAACATCTGGGGAGGCTGCCCCATTATGTCTTTTCTCAAGTCTATCATTTCTCCCCTTGTTATTTAATTATATATTACATATGCAAATACACTGAACAGGTTTGGGACATTCCTTTACATTAATGGCAGATTACAGATGGAAACATTTACCTTATAGCAAAGTACTCAGCCCAGAGGAACAGGAATCCTGGCAGAGCGCCCAGGGTCTCCAAGATGTAGATGTAATGACCTCCAGACTTCGTGATGCGTGTGCCAAGTTCCGCATAACTCAGAGCACCTGGAGGGATTCAGGTATGGAAGAGCTTCAGCAAATCACCTCAAAGAGTTTTGCTGACAGGTTGGTGAGGAGCACATCAGCCCTGCTTGATGGATCAGGTCCTTCTCGTCCAGCGCTCTGTTCACCCAGTGACCAAACAGCTGCCCATGGAAAACTCATAAGCAGGACATGATTGCAACAGCACCCTCATACCCATGTTCCCCAGCAACTGTTGTACATAGGCATACTGCCTCTGATAGCATGCAGTCATCAGGACTCATAGCCATGGATAGCCTCCTGCCCCACAAGGCTCCCCCACCCCCCATAAGCTATCTAAATTGGTGGCTATCACTCCATCTTGTGGAAGTGAATTCCACGGTTTCTCTGGCACATTCCAGTGCTGTCTCAGTAAAAGAAAAACTGAGCTTCTGTGAAAATTCTTTGGGTCCCTGTTGCAAGGCTGATGAATGGAAAACATTGGACTATAAACTACGGTTCACCTAGTTCCCCACTGGGCCAGTGATACAACATGACACCTGGAAGGTCAGGCCCTGGCTTCACCTGCAAGGAGAATCCAAAACTTCAGGCAGCTCTGTGGAGCCATCTCAGCAAAGCCATTTTAGCTGCTCACATCTGCAGAGATGCAGGACTTCTGTAAACCTGACATATGTTCATTGAAGGTCGAGCCCCACAGCATCCTTTGCATTACAACAAGGAGGGGTCACAACATACTCAGCGGATGGGAAATTCACTTTGCCCCAGGTACTGTGTGGATTGCAGCTTAGCTCACAGGGAACGGGAAGACTGAGGGGCCAGGCAGGTGATCCCATGGGACAACCTGACGGTACCAGCATCTAAACCTGTGAGCCCCAGAGCCACTAAAATACCTCTCACTGGGTGATCCTGTGAGTGGGATCTCTGAACCTAATCTACCTTGCAGGGCTTTGTAAAATAGAGAATCCCCCATGTACATCTCCCTAAACTCCTTGAATGAGGAAGTAGGTAGGACTGGGAAGGACACTAACACATTTTTTTAAAAAAGGACAGAAAACAGCCTTCCTCTACCTGGTGCCCTCAGAGTCTTTGGACTTTAACACCCATCGTCTCCATCCAACACGGTCAATTGTCAGGAATCCAGGGAGCCGCCATCCAAAATATCTGGATGGCATTGGGTTCATGGAGGCTGACAAAACCTGCAGGAACCCCGTTTTGGGCATTACGTCCAGATCAAGCACAAGTGGGTGTTTATTGCTGCCAAGAATCGCCATTGAATGGTGCCTTTTTAGCTTTCTGTTTCTTGTGGGCAGTCAGGATGGATTGCAATTCGGCTTTCGTGTACTTTCAGCTGTTCCTTTCAGCTCTTGTTGCTGCTGTTCAGCTGAAGATTGTTATTAAAATATAGGTTGTCATGTTGTCCAAACCCAACTGCACTAACAAGCCATGGCCAAAACAGGCTCCAAACCATGGGCAGAGATGGCCCTTGAAAACGCCATCAACACACTGGGCAGCAGGCCGAGCAAGGCACACTGGACACCTGGTCACAGTCCCCTCCATGGTCCTGAGATGCGCTGTGTCTCTCTTTCAATCATAGTCATAATTTCTCAATTTGTACCTGCCAGCATAAACAAATTTTACGCAAATCTGAATGCTCTTTTGTCCTTGCTTTTGAAGGCGCTACCCCCTTACTGTAGCTTTCCTAGAGCACGGGGATGGAGCACGAGAGCCAGGTAAGCACTTTTCCTTATACATTAAGAGCTGATGAGGATATTCCCAGGAATACATTCCAGCACGAGCTGCCCCAGCTGAAGTGGGCAAGCCAGTGAGGGCCAAGTGGGCTGAGCATGATGCCCACAAAAGCCACCACAGATAAAGATACTACCACCTCAAGAGCATCTCCCACCTTCTAGGACTTTCATGCACTGAGGGAAAGCCCCTCCTTGCCTGCTTCTCAAAGGGGGCAAATACACAAAAGCAGAGATGATACAGCACTCTGAAATCCTGGGAGCAGGACTGGTAGCAGAGCCTCTTGGGAAGTGCAAGTATCCCACGGGTCAAGGGCTTCAAGCTGGCCTTCCAGATTTCATCATGCCATGCAGGCAGCCACTTTGGCTGCGTTCTGATAAGAACTGAATTCATATTAGTTGCTCATTAACTTCCCGCAGCTTTGCAAGTGTCTGCTCAAGTTCATGGCCAAAGCAAAGGCTGAGGACATTGCAGACATGGTGGAGGCATCATGGGAGTGGGGCAGTTAAATTGCAGCTGCTACCTCCCTCACTAACCAGGAGCCACTTCTGGAGCCTGGGCTAAGAGCTGAGGTTTGTCCCACTGAATGAAGCTTCAGGGCGCAAGGGGGCAGGATCTCAAACTGAGCCTCCAGGCTCCAGGTTCTCTGCACAGTCACAGTAGCTTGCCAGAGGAAGGAGAGGCCAGTCTGCTTCCTGCTGCTCTGCAGCGCCACCTCCGCCAGTGGCCAGCAGTGGCACTGCAGCTAGCAATTCCATGGGGATCAGCTGCCGCAAGAGCCAGCAGAGGTCCTCATCCTCCAAGATCTGAAGAAGGAGAGAAAAGAAACTCACCACGCACCAAACATAGAGAGGATCCCGCAGGCAAACCAGACGATTAAGGAGAGGCCCAGATTGCCCGAGTTTTTCAGCACCCCTTTGGGAGCAATGAAGATCCCGCTGCCCACCATGCTGCCGATAAGGAGTGAGAAAGCCCTTAGCAGGGTGATCTTCTTCCTCAGGAACACAGCCTCCTCCACCTTCTTCATAGCCTTCCCCATGGCTTGTGGGTTCCGGGAGCAGCAGAGGAGTGTTCGGGTTCTGACGCAGAGGCGTGGCTTGTGCTACCCCAGCGAGTCTTTCCCAGTTCAAACCTAGATTGAAAACGTGAGAGATCTTTGCACCCAAGCTGCACATCATGAAGCGCACACAGAGCTCATGCCAGGCCCCTAAAGCTCACGTGCGATCGGGGCAGGGGAGCACTTACAGGGGAGAATCAGGAGTTGCAGGGTGTTTGCGCTCCCTCTGCTCACCTAGCAAGCCTCTGTGCAATTCTTCCCCAGGAATCTCATGCTTCTCCCCACCCGCTCTGCCAGCCGAGCTCTGAGACAGGAAAGAAGTCCCGTGGGTGGTGATGGAGAAACAGCCGGGGAGGAGGCGCTATGGTGGAGGGAGAGAATCAGGCATCTGAGGAAATCTGTAGATGCTCTGTAGATGCTCCTCCAGGCCCACATTCATGGGAGTTCAGCAAACCTGGCCTTAATATTATAAAGGCTGCAGCTGCAGCTGCGGCTGCTGCTCGTTTGGCTTTATGATCTTTCCCCTCATCAGAACTGGTGCTGAGAGGTGGCCCACTCCGCTAGAGTCCCAGATCTTTTATCTGGAGCCTCAGGTCCCTAGTTCTTGCCTCATTCTCCAGGGGCAGTTGCTGAAAGAAAGGCAGAGGGGCCCCAGTCATTGCTGGCGCATCCAATCACCCGGGTGAGATGACTTTCTACCCACACGAGCTTCACCTCCCCCTGCACCCTCTTGAATCTTTCTGCCTAAGGGTTTCCATTTGACATCAAATGACCCCCCCACCCCCACCACCTTGCATCCATTTTTACAAGAAGGGGTGTCCTTAGGAGACAGACTCCACACACATGCAAAACAGAGCATATGAAAATGAGCTTCCTGGTGTGTCTTTTGGGCCTGATTCTGAGATCTCTTGGGAACCTGTCCTTATCCGTACTAATGCAGTGGATCCAGGACTGGCTGAAGGTATTTTGCTGCCTGAAGCAAAGAGCTAGATGGTGCATGCACACTCCCCAGTGCGAGCGCAGGCGCTGACCAGGCTGATCTTGGATTCCAACCTCAGCTTCAGTGGTGAGCTGGCATCCCCCCAACAATGCCTCCCCCTTAGCTTAGGGGCCTGGCAAACCTACCCCAACACCTGCCACACGTTTGAATCCAGGGCCATTAAAAAGAAAACTCCTCCCACACTTTACTGCTACAGGGGCTGCTATGAGGGGAAGAATGAATATACAGTCCGGACTCTGCCTTGTGCAACAAACCAGCCTCTATTGCAGCAAATACGGTCAAACACAGACACCCCCGCCCCCCATTTGTCTGTGCATCCAGGATACTCCAGGTTTGTCTGAGAGCTCCTGGCTGCACTAGAAAAGAGAAGGCTGGGCAGGACATCACATGGGAGAGTCACCATGCGATCTCTTGGCCGTTTTTTTAAGAAAAGCAAAAAACACTTTAAAAGCAGCCAAAGGTCTTGCAGGGGATGGGACTGAACTGGGTCAGGGCAGTGACATTAACAGAGGGAGCACCACTGTCTTGATCAAACCCCAGTTTTTTTTTTTTTTTTAATCAAAGCGAAGCTTTTAACCCAGTGCTTCACAGAGGCTTCTTCTGTTTTCTTTACTGGAGAAACAGAGTGTCATTTACAAGAGTTTCTTATCCCCCGATTTAGAAATGCCATGCTATATGTTGCATTATACAGCCACAAGGTGGCGATGCAGTATAGCATGACCGCTGAATTACCTGAGCAATTCCAGTTTTATTTCAACTGGTTGTATTACATTACCTACACTTAGCAAGCAAGCAAGCAAGAGCAGCTCCAAACAGCAGGAGCGGCACTGGAAGATGGCCTTCCATAAAGGACCAGCCAGCTTGCATGATCAGTAGCTCAGGAACCCGGCATTCTCATTTATCTCTTTGTGAGCAGCATTCAGTATCTGATGCCTTGCTCCATATACCCTGATGGACTAAGATTTGGCTGGTGTTTACAGGGAGAAAAGCCTTTCACCAGTAGCCCCAGTTTTACAGAACATCTATAAAAGTTCACTGGTCCCTGATGCTTTGCTCCTTTGGGTGGCAAGTGAATTCCTTGGCCTTTAGGCCAAATGGACCCGATCTCTCTTGTTCTTCTGCAAGCCAATTTCTCTCCTGCAATGCCATTTTTTCATGTCCTGCTGCTTCCTTTTTTATCTTTGGTTTAGCTACTGTTGTACTTGTAATACATGATTTTAGTCAGAATTCGAGTGTTATGTAATTGTTCTGCATTGTGTTATATGTGGGTGGTTTTTCAATGAACTGCTGGGTTTCTTCTCTTCTTAAAGGAAAATAGAAAAGCTTTTAAAAATAAATGCACTATATAGCTATTTGCGTATGAGAATGTGTCAGCATGAGCGTGTGGCAGCGTGGCCTTGTGTCCTTTCCTACAGAGGAGTGTTCCCTGTTTGAAGCAGTGCCTTCTACTTGAGGAACATTGTGTTTTTGAAAGGCTGCCCTGGCCACTTCCAGTTTAAAGATAAAGAGCCCTAAAAACTGTTGCCCAGTCACAGATAACATCTCCTCAGCAGGTTGCACAGGCAGGCACATGGGTCACTTGGTCATAGGCTTCCACATTTTTAGTATTAGACTCTCCACACAGGTCTGTTAACTATTGCTAGTTGCTGTTTTGTCCCAGAGCTGAAATAGAACACCACAGATTCCTTTCCTGCTTTTCCAGTAATAACCTCCAGGTGGCACTGTGTGGTAGCAGACCACAACAAATGCACAATAGGGAAAATGCCTTTTTTCACTCTCAGAAGTAATACTGTTTCCCCCACTCTAACCCCCACACCCCAAAAAGGCATTCTTAAAAACAGAAGTCAAACTAAAGGATCATGACCTCTTATAAATAACCCATACATAACCATGAGTAAGGAATCACAAGCACACAAACAATGCCCTGTGTAGGAAAGTTCTACTGTGTACTACAGAGGTACTCAGCTGAGTCATGCTCCATGGAAAGCCTGTGTGAAGAGATGGGTCTAGAGAAGACCTTTGAGTGCAGAGCCCTGTGGACACAGAAGCTTCCAAGATTCCCATGCCCTGTTGGGCTGAAGCCAGCAGGCCAGGCCAAACGATGGAGGCAATCTCTGCCCACCATCCGTTCTGTGCATTTTCCTCTAGATGAATATTTAGCCAGTCGAGTGAGGACTGGAGGGGAAAGGAAGAAAGCTGGATGAGATTCAGTATAGAGCATATCACAAGCTCTCCAGTCTCCTCTTCCCCCTACCCACCAGATCACCCCCTTTCTCCTTCTTCAAGGTCAGTCTCTGCTGCTGGTGCAGTTCTGTCCATGTTGGCTGATCAGGGCTGGGATCTGGTGCTGAATCAGCAATCCCCTCTTCCACGGTTGGAGCACTCCCTACAGCCTGGGAAGTCCGGACTATTGTATGGGCCCTAAGACACTTGCCCATCTGATTCTAACAGTCAGGCACATGGAGGCCCAAGTAACAAGTCCTAAAACAAACCAGAGCGCAGCTGCTGCAGCCCCAAACACTGTAATGCACGTCTTCCCGGGGCAAACCGCGCAAGCATGGGGTGCTCTTGGGACTGCTCTTTCCAACTGCTGCGGAGGTGCAGCGGGGACAAAAGGGGTGAATTGATTCTGAAGGTAACCTGGTCCCAGGGCTTCATATGTTAACAGCAACACCCTAAATCTGGCCTGGTAGTTTATTAGTAGCCAGTTCTTTCAACATAGGCATAAGATGCTGCTGCAAGAAGGCCCATTCGTAGCCTTGCTCCTGCCGTCTATACCAGCTGCGGCTTCTGGTCCAGGCTGAGTGAGAGCTCCATGTCACGCACCTTATAATAAGCCAGTCTTGAGGATACCAGTGCCTGACCACCAAGCCAAGCCAGCATGATGCAGGAGCTGTGATAAGACACCCTGGGCCTGGAAATTAGAATTCTGTCCAGCGTGCATATGCAAGCCACTGTCCTGTTCATGCTCTCTCTCTCATCCCCCCTCCCTTCCCCCCCACCCCCCATCTCAGCAATTCACCAGTGACCACCCTAGAAGTGGTTTATACATCATGCAAAGGCTCTTTATTCTCCTGCATTTATGAGAAGTCGTGCACATCTGGCAGGACTGTTCCTTAAGCCTTGGTCCCCCAGCATAGTTTCAAGTTGCTTGGTTACCCTGCAAAATCCTTAATCACCAGGGCCTTACAGCTCTCTAAGCTGTTCTGGCAAATTTGCTCCCTTTTGATAGCTGTCTTTGTCTCCTCTTCTCACCTAAAAACATATTTTAGTCTCCAGGTGTGGATTTGCTTTAATGTTTCCTTCTTTCTCTCCCAGCTTTTTCTTTTGGAAGTGTGCTTAAATGCATGCACGTGATTTTTACATCATTGGACATAAACCCTGCATGCATTTTTACTGTGCTTTGTAAAATATTGAAATGCCAGGTGGCAGGGCTCACAATGTACATATAGCTTTTGTGTCGATCTTTTTACTGGTTCCAGCTCACATCTTGTGGGAATTTTTAAACACATATATGCACATTTAAGTGCAGTATTTATACGATAAGTTATCAGTCAGCAAGTAACTGTCATAATGAATAGAGAGGGATACACTCAGTATACCATATACAACATACATTCAAAGTTGAATTGCTGTTGGAGTCAAGTAGAAGTACGGTTTCCTTTCACATTCAGGACTCCAAAGAGCTCTTTATAATTTAGAAGTGCTGATACTAGTTCCCCTTCAATTATAATGAACCAGTTTTTAAGATTAGACATGATCCTTGTCATCAATACAAGGACTGTTCTTCTGGAGCCACAATCCAAAATAGAGTAAGGCATTAGAATTAAAATTAAGCCTGTTGGAAATCAACTGCATGGTGGATCGTACCTTTTGCTCAATTTCCAAAAGCTTGTCAGCATTGGACAAACAGCATACATTAAAAATAAATTATAATTCCCCAATGGATCAATGATGCAGTTTGAGGAACTCTATATTCTGATGTAGCACAGCACTGCCTTTAGAACACCTGGTATGTTGGCACCTGCGGGGCAACCTGAATAGGGTTATCTCACCTCCATCATTTCTGAGACACATCCAAAACTCTCTTTTAGAACAGCCTCACTGCATCTTGAAAAGAACAGAGTCCTTCAAGATTTACGGCTGATGTAGTTGGCAGGCAGGGACTTGGGGTCCACTCAGTAAGTAATTCTTTGATTTGCTGCTGACATAAAAAAGGAAGCCTATTTCATGACTGGATGAAGAAGCCGTACAGGTATGCTTCATTTTATTGGGCCTTGCTCTACTGCACTTCGCCAATATTGTTCTCTGCAATTTTTAGATGGATGTGTGACACCTTTTATTGCTATTTTAATTTTATTGTGCTGGTCTGAGATGGAACCTGCAATATGTCCGAGGTATGCCTCTAAATTGCGCTTCGTGGTCGTGCCCCTGTGTCTGGTTCACATATCCACGTCTGTTGGTACAATCTCTCCAGCAGGGGCCGCTCACTTCAACTCTGTCTCACGGTCTGTATTGTGATTCTCAAACTCTGCATTGCAAATGTTTGCATTATTATTACAGTGCTGTATAAATACACACACAGTATGCAGTTGTGCAAACATTACCCAGTATATGTCGCCCGAGTTATTTCTATATTTGCCTTATTGTGGTGATCCACAGCGGAAGTTGCAAGATCTGCCAGGTGTGCCTGCATCCGCTAAGGAGATGGTCTTTCCTGAACTCACCCCATCCCCACCCACCCAAGTCCAGGTGTGCTCACTCCTTGGAAAGCCTCTCATATTCCACCCAACTCAAGGCCAGGATGTGCTCTCCGGCAGTCCTGTCTGCAAATAATTCTGCATATACTCAGGAACCCAAGACTCTATTCCAGTAGGTAACATGGACCTAGGTAAGTCAGATGGTTTTTGCAAAAGCACCATGTGTGTGTCTGGGATTTTTACAAGTTTTCATTGTTTCTGGGCTTTAGGTAAGAAAATCAAGGACATTTTTCTGTTTGTTTTTTTCCCTGCCGTTGGGCCTGGGGCAGCGGGGTGGTCCTTGGGGGAAACTGGTGGTCAGACCAGGGCAGCTGCTTGGGAACCACAGCTGAGCACCAGTGCAGCCCTGGCACTTCTCTTGGCATCCGGTGAAGTATGTGAGAAAGAACGAGGGAGAGAAAGGAGCAGGGGCTTTCAGAGGGTCCTGAAAGAAGGTGAGCATAGCCCTTTATGTGCTTGCTGGAACATATGACTGTGCATGTTCCTATGCATGATGCGTGTGCAAGACAGGATGGGGGGAAGACTCCGCTGTCAGAGAGTGAGGAAAGAAAAAGAGTGTGCCGTCTGCAGAATAAAGGTATGTTGTAATGAAGAGCGTGGCTCCAAAGGAATTACGAGGAGCATCTTGCCTCAGGCTCCAACTCTTTCTTGGGCGTTCACTGTGCACCCATGGCCATTTTACTCCCCAAAGTTTGTGGGGCCTTTTCCTAGTGCTGTCCTCCTCCAGGGCCTTTCCCGGGTTTTGCAGCCCTTTTTGTAGGTTTTGTGAGCTTTCTGGAGTCAGGAAAGGCTGGCAGTGAATTTTAAAACAGGAGAAAGCAGAACAAAAGTGTTGCTGCAAATCCGCCATGCCGCACCTTTGCCACTGTGCCCACTTGCGGCTGGTTAATGCAATCTATGGGAAACAGAGAAATGCGGATGCCAGTGAAGCAAAGCTGTGCAAAAGAGGCTTTTTTCCCTCCTGCAGAAAAGATGGAAGAAGCCTAGTAACCCTCTCATGCAGAGAAGCTCTTGTGCAAATTATTTGGGCAGGTTACTTGTCCTTTGCAAGTAGCCACAATTCTCACGACAGCCATGTTGTGGTGGTGCCCGGGACACATTCCCAAATGATGAGATGTGCCCACAGGGCCCCCAGAGGTGCCTCCCCCTGAACTAGGGTGTGACTGGAGGGTCACGCTGACTGGTAGAGGCCTCTCATTAATTCCTTTTTCTGGGAATGCCTTGCAGAGCCCCCTGCTAAATATAGTGGGGGGGGGGGATCTGCCAGCAGTGATAGTCAGCTGCCCCCTCAGAATCTAAGAATAGCACAGTACCCTGGGAAGGTAAACCCTTGGCATTTAAGCTGAATATTTTGTATAATGGATTAAAATGCAAATATGCTAATCCTTGCTGCTGCCCTTAATATTCTGCATGTGTTTGTTATAAGGGAAATATTTACAAAGCTGATTTTTGTTCATAACCCATGTTTGCTCTTTGGCTCCCATCCCTTGCATCCCACTTCATTATGTGTGGATCTGAGGGATAGATAGTTTAACTAGCAAAAAGGGGAAAAAGCATTATGGGAATGTACATCTGCCTTTGCTGCCTGTCTCCCCAGTTTCTGAACATGGTACGAGACACTCCATCTTATGCAGAAAGAGTGAGGGTAACAGCTTAGAGTAGTGAACAAACTACTGGCATAAGTCAGCCAAAGGCTGGTTCTGTTAAATCCAGTTGATGTCAATAGGAAGTTAGGCTGCCCCAATTTTGGCTTGTATGAACAGAGCCAGAAGGCCTAAGAGCACCTGCAGCCATAGTCAGAACCAGCTCTAGGACCTGGGGAGTCCACAGCAACATCTCCCCTTGTGGGCCTCCCCTTCAGTTGCTGGAGCCTCACCCAAAACTTGTGCGGTGCCATAGACAATGGAGGCCAGTTAGCCTCCATTTTAAATTTCACACAATGCCCCACAGTAACACTATGCCAGGGGGTTTGTGGGAAATAAAAAATAATGGCTCACAGACCTGGCAGAGGGCCCAGGGGAGGCACATGACCAGCAGAGAGGCTGCTGGAGCACCTTTCGGTGCTACAGGGGTGCTGATGACAGGCCAGAGTCATGCATACCAACAAAGTAAAGAAACATTCACAGCTCAAGTCACTCAAAGAGTGGGGAGGCAGCCGTGGTCACCCTGAAGGCCGCGCCACGTTGAATTGTTTGCCAAGCACTCTTCATAACGGCATTTATTGTGCACCTGTGAACCCTTGCTCAAGCTTGTGGGGCTTTCTCACAACATCCTCCTCCTTCAGAGCCTCTCCCATGTTTCTAGCCCTTCTGAGGGTTTTTAGAGTAAAGAAATCCTGGTATTAAAGTTCAGATCAGCACAAACTGGAAAGAAAGCCCTGTGAAGTGTCACAAATCTGCTGCAGCGAGGCTGTACATAGTGCCACTTGTGGCCAGTTAATAGAATATAAAGAAAAGCAGAGAAATACAAACCCTAGAAAAGAGCCCATGTACAGGACACATTTTATCTCCCAGAACAAAATGGAAGAAGTGTCCTCGGTGAATCAGCAGGTTAAACCATTCGCGAGAAGAAGCTGGGACCTTTTGATTAGGAAGGCTGATGATGCCCATGTTCGACTTCCTCACGCTTCCACCCTCTCTGAGCTTAGCTGCATTTCTCATAATAGCTTGGTGAGCGCTTTTCTGAACAACACTATATAATCGTGAGCAATCCCAGTTGTATTATCAAGTATTTTGGAGAGGCCTGGTCTCAAAAGAGCAGTTACGACCCATTAGTTATACCAAAGCCGTGTTCCTGGTGGAGATGAAAACAGTTAGACTGGTTTCTTGATGTGGATTAGCACAGCTGCCGGCGGTTTCAGACCTCCTTGGGGGCACAGCTATGCCAATGAGTGCCTGCACTTTGAAACTGACCGTGACCCCAGTGGGCTCCATCCCACACTATGATAAAAGGATTGGTTGTAAGATGCCAGAGGTCCCCTTCCTTTCTGCTCATTCGCCTATTCTACATGAGCTCTGAATTCTCAATGCACTTCTATCAGCTGCGCACAAGAAATTTCAAACTGTTGGCTCTTCACTGCCAGCATCATGCCGTCTGCTTAATCCTCCCAAGATCATGCTGACCTGTGACAAATATTTGCTATCTTTGACAGCAACTCACAGATAAAAGCAACTTACCCCGAAGTTAAAGCTGCTCCATAGAAATCAGTAGGTAGAGTGTTGTTGGTCCCGCTGAATGAGCTGAAAAATTAGAAGAATGTCTGTTGGTAGGAGTGGGGGGAACGCTACACTTCAGGCACAACTTCTTCAAAGTTAGTGAGGAGCTAAAGGGAAATTGGAACTTCTCTAAGAAGCAAACAAGGCATGCAAGAGCTTTAGCAGGGCTGATAAGTAGGATCACAGAACAGCTGAATAATAAGAGGGCAAAGTAGGTACTTTTCACAAACACACTAGCAATATACCAAGTTTCCAAAAAGTCCTGGTTTCTAGTCTGCATTCCTAGGGCCTTTCAGAAGCTTACCAGGAATTCCTCAGTTAAGATGGTCATCAGTTAGGGTGGCCATGTGTCCTACATTGCAGTCCTCTATTTGAAGGGCTGTCTAGTCTATGTCTGGTTTAATGATAAAGAACCTTAAGATGGGTGACCAAAGGCCCTGAAGTTGCCCACCAATCTCAACAGCCGTGTAGCTCAACTGAGCAGACTTGACACAGGTTGCCAGGTCACCATCTTCTCACTATGGTAAGATGTCCTGCAATTCTGTTTAAATCATGGTATTTCTTTCCAAATGTTCACTTATACATAAGCATGTGCAAATTGTATGCAAACTGTTGCCTTCCTTTATAATGATATTATTTCCGCTTTCTCCTCCTCCTCTCTCTCTCTCTCCCTCTCTCTCTTTTGGTGATAAATGGCCACCCTACCTTTACTGATGGACAAGTGTTCTTAAAAGGCAAATGGACCCTCCGGAAAATGTTCTGCAGCTTCTAGAAGAAAGAGTGACAACCATGAGGCTTCTCAGGACAAACAAGAGCCTTTCTCAATCAATGCGCTCCAGGTATTTGGAACTGCTGCACCCTCCAGTCCCAGGCAGCATGGCCAATAGCCAGTAGCACTCCCAAATCTCCAGAGGGGTTCAGGTTAGAGAAGCTGCAGTCAGAAAAGCCCTCCCTGCCTCTCCTTTCACTGACCTACATGCATTGACCTGCATACAATGGATGGAAGCCATGGAAACCATAATGGCAAAACTGAAGCCGCCATACTTTGGGTATATCACTAGAAGGCAAGATTTGCTGAAGAGGACAGTCATGCTAAGGAAAGTCAAAGGCGGAAGAAGACCACATGTGAGATGCACTGGTCCCATTAAAGAAGCCACAACCTCAAGCTTACAAGGACTGAGCAGGACTGTCAAAGATAGGCCATTTTGGAGGGCTTTCATTCATGGGATTGCCATAAGTCAGAGATGGCTTTATGACACACAACAGCAGCAACAAACAAACTTTCAGTGTGCTCTACTCACAGTAAATAAGTGACACCCCATGGAAATCTTCCACAGGCCAACAGAAGCTTATGCAACTAACTAAGCCGGCAGCGGGGCACCTTCACCCACAGATGTTCTTGGACTATAATCCCACCATACCTGAACATTGGCCATGTTGGTGGGAAGTTAACTCAACAACATCTGGAGAAAGGGCACAAATCCCCGCCCTCCGATCTAAGGTGTCGGGTTGCAGCAGGGCCCTTAGTTTCCTTGCATGTGCTGTTGCTGCTGTTTGTCAAGTTGGTGAAATTCAGCTAAGTTCTGATGGAGGTTAAGGTCAGGAAAAGCCATCAGAGGCACTTGGAATGCTGCCATTGTGAAGCAGGGCTGGGAAGGCTTCGGGTCTACGGGATTTCAACACTGAAATCCACTGCTTGGAGTCTGCTGGGAAATAAAACAGACTTAGAACTCCCGAGCCCTGAGCCCTGATGCAGGTTCGATGAATGGAACAGTGGTCACAGTCCCTTCTCCACACAAACACCTTTTGCTTTCCTCAAGCCTGGGGAATTGCAACAGCGTAGTTTAAAAAGAGGTATCATTTTGTTGTAACAATTGTTAAACAGTTGGAAGGCAGACATTCTTGTAATTTTACAGCAGATCTCCCATTTAGATATTCACAAATTTATCCTCTGCTCACCCCAGCTGTACATGTTCTCCACACTGGTGCAGCTTGAGAAACAGAGAAGAGACTTGCAATCTAAATTTCTTCCCTCAATCACCAGTCTCCCCAGAAGGGTTTCCACTGGGCATCAGGAGCCAAAGTCTCACGGAAATTACCAGAAGAATGTACTGTAAGAACTTGACTCCCTCCTCTCTCAACAGAAGCTTCCTAATCATTTACCTTTATTAGGAATAATCAACATTCACCCGCAACATGTGCAAGCTTTCGGGTTCTCCAGAACCTTTCATACAGCTCAGGAGATACTACAAAAAAGCAGCAGATAGAGGCTTCTGGAGAACTTGAAAACTTGTGTAGTTGGAGGAAATAATGGTCTTGCTCAACTGCAGATTTTTCCCCCTCCTGAACTAGCACCATTATATTTGCTGGTCCTCCTCACACCAAAAGGGGGAAGCAGGAGGAGAAGGAGAAGGAGAAGAAGGAGATGACGACAATGAAGACCGATGATGGTGGAAATCAAGAGTCTTCCCTGTTACTCTTAGGCTCCAGTTTATCCTCAGATATTTGCCAGCCGCTCTTTCTGATTTTGAGAAGCTGACACAAAACATTCCCCCTGATGGCTTCATGGCTGAGTCTGTCCAAGCAGCTGTGGGGGACAGCAGCAGCCTCTGCTTCAGCTGTTCACGAAAAGCTCCTTCCTTTCCTTTAGCTTACGAGGTTAGGAATGTCATGGCCTTCCAGTTTGTCAGTGACAATCAAAAAGAAAAAGAGAAGGGAGCTCTTTGCACTCCCAAGCACAAGCCACGGGGACAAAACCTCATCCTCTACAACTGTTTTTTTAGCTGGGTAGAAGAAAACAAAAATAAGGCGAAGCATCTCTCCTGCAGTGTCCTGGTATTTCAGCACACAACAGCGTTCCCAGAACACCTTCCTCCTTTAACCATCTCACCTCCAGGGATCAGCACCAGTTCACCCCATATGAAGCCCTCCTCAAGCTGGGACCCTCCAGATCTGTTGGACTTTATGACCCTGCAGTCAAATCTCATTCCCTTTGAGGGATATTCTGCATTTTGCTCCATTTTTTGGAAAACAAAACAAAACAAAAAAACAGCCAATTCCTCACTGGTTTGCATGGCTTTAGAAGCACACACACATGCAAAGTGGTTGGATTGACCATCAATAAAAGTTTGGAATAGATATAGGAAGGTCCCCCAATGTTTTGGGGGCTGAGGGCACATTTGGGAATCTAAGAAACAGTGGTGGGCATCACCCTAAAATGTGTTGCATGGGGGATGTGACCAGTCATGGGGCCCGGCTAGTCAAAAGTGAGGGGAGGGGCAGGAAAACAGCAAGGTAAAGGGGCAGAGGACAGAGAGAAAGCAATGCTAGAACTCTGAGGGGAATTGAGACTTTGGGGTGGGGAGAGATAATAAAGCCTGAGTCTGGAAGAGAGAAGGAAATAGCAAAGTACACAGGTAGGGGAAGGAATCAGCAAGGCTAAAAAGGGAGAGAAAGAAGCTTCTTTAATGTTTTCTGAGCTTTTTATTTAAAAATATATAGTTTTTTGAAGGGGGTTGGGAATAGGGAGATGCATGAGTACCACTGGAGTTGAGAACCTGACCTGGATAGTGTAATGGCTTTGTGAGGTGAATGGGAAGATCCCTGACAGAAGTATCCTCATGCTTGATAAAGAGATCTGAAGACTGCAGAATCTTGTATATGTTTTGCCACCTCTGAGTCGGCTTATGGATTGCACCAAGGAGATTGTGGTTTTCAGAGGGCATTAGGCACATACATGGGGGATGGTGTAATCAACAGCAGTGAACTATGATCAGCAAACGGAACTTCCACGTTCAAACATAGTCTACCTGTTAGTACCAGTTGCTAGGAAACAGAGTAGTGGTGTAGGATAGCTGTTTGGTTATCCTGCCCATTTGCTTGCAACAAATGAAAGCCACTGTGGTATAGTAGTTAAGAACACGGGACTGGGGCACAGACCTGAAAATCTGGGTTCTGGTTCCTACTCAGCCATGGAGCCAACTGGGTGACTTTGGGCCAGTCTCAGACTCTCAGCCCAACCTACCGCGCAGGGCTGTTGTTGTGGGGATAAAATGGAGAGCAGGAGGAAAAGAATTATATAAGCCACTTTGAGTCCATTGGGGGGAAGCAGGATATAAATCAAATAAATAAACAACAGTGACAAGGACTCAGACATTGTAATGAAGAGTATTTTTAATTTAAGGATGCAGTCCCTGCATGTTTAGACAAGTCTCAGCAGGACCCAGCCTTTATTTCTGTCTAAACATGCAAAAAATTGCACCCTGAGTCTGGACCTAACTCTCCATTGAAGTCCTCCTCTTACTGGTAGCACTTTGTCCCATTTAAAAGAAGAAGAAAACAAAGGTTCTTAGTTTGAGGTCGGATGGAGGAAAGGATAACCCTCCCTACCACCAGTGCCCAGCCACTGAGAGCTTGCTCAGTCTGTGTCATGTGGATTTTATTTATAACTAAAGAGAAGCGTCCTGTTTTGACATGCCTGCTTCAAGCCATGTCTAACCAGAACTTCAGATAAAGCACACCAGTGATGCTGGGCCAGTGTTTCCCACAGGACGTGTGGCAAACACAGGGAAAAGATGCACATCCAGGCAAGGAATTGTGCCAATCGAGACCAGGAACATGCCTTTTGCACGCCTGTTGCGGGACACACCTGTGTCAGGACAGTAAACCCACAAGAAACATTGCCCTGTGCAATGAATGGAACTGTCCCAGGTAGCTCAGTGCAGGCCCCTCTCAAAGCCAAGGTTGCAACACATTTTCCAGCATGGCATGTCCTGCATACAGGCTTGCATTGCTTCTAGTAGACAAGTCACTCATCTGTCATGACCTCCCTCCGCAGTAAAGGCCATGCCTTGTCCAGCTGGATGAGCAGGCCCTCTTTCAAATCTTAGCTCCCATTCTTGATTTGGAAAAAGATGGGAAAAGTGATTACTTACCCAAACAAACATGAGAGATCATGTTTCTCTCCTTACTGCACTAGGCTCCACAAACAAAGGGATAAGTCATAAATCATATATTGTATATCATAAAATAATAAACGTTCTTTTTTTGTCCCTATTTAGCATTGACCTTTCATTTTCTTGTTCTGATGCCATTGCTGCTTCTACTGCTTGGCAGTGACTTTCCTTTTCAGCATCTTTATAAGGGACACTTTAAGAAGGATTTTCCCACATCGGTATAATAAATGAAGAATCTACATTGACTGAAACAAAGCTTTTATTTGAAAAAGCCGCTCTTTAGCTTCCTATGCAGCAGCATTGATGCTTCCCAACGTTGCATTTGAAGCTAAAAATTATTTGTGTATCCCGCCCCATGCATGGTTACTCAAAAGCTGAGGGAGGTTTAATCCCAAGTAAACACAGCCAGGATTGCAACTTTAACATCACTGGCAGAAAAGCATTCTGCTAGAGCATCTCCCCAGCTAGGACTGATGACAAAGTGGGAAAAGCAATTGTTCCTGTGCCTTTACAACAGGATGAACTGCCAGAACTAGGCATGAGGCTTTTCACACCGTGCAGGGAAGCAGGAGCAAGCTGCAGTTGTGCTAGAAGCTGGCAATTCAGCTCCCGCCCTTTCCCTAGCTCTTCTCTCCGTCAGGTCTAGTTCAGTGCCTGCCTTACCAGTTAGTACCTGAAATAGTTCTGCTGTGAAATGCCAAGGTTCTGGAAGCCACTCGCCTCTCCTTGCGGATGTCCAGTGCAGACGTGCTCTCAGTCTTGGCACAGTCCTTTATTCCCCTCGAGCCAAACTCCTCCTCTGAACAGCTCTCAACTGGGTGCCTCTGTTTTGTTGGCCTCTTAGCTCAGCTGTTACCCTTTTAGTTACCAAATTAAACCAAAAGCTGAGCAAGCACCTTTTCTAATTTAACCCTCTGGATCTTTTAAATTGTTATTACTTCCAGGATTATTGTTAACTGAAGCTCAGTCACGCACTGCACCAAGGACAGCCCAACCCAACCAGGTGCTCTCCAAATAGCTTAGATTACAACTCCCACCATCCCCCAGCTAACTGTTGTAGGAGCTGTAGCCCAACTTCTGAGAGCACAGGATTTGGATAGGCTGATCAAAGGTGTTGCTACAAATCAAGAATACACAAGCTGGAAAAAACATGAATTTTGCCTTGGTGGAAAGAAACATTGGCTGGAGTTCTATGCACATTTACTGAGAAGTAAATCTCACTCAATAGACTGGGGTTTTCATCCAGGTAAACATGCAGAGGATTACGCTATGATATGTTTGCATTACCCAAGAACTTGAGATTGTTTACAACATTCTTTTATTTTTGCTGTTTCAGATAAAACAGCTCTGAAAACAAAGCTGAGCAAGAAAAATTGCCAAGAGCTGTCAGTGGACTCACTGATGCCTTTGGGCACCATGCTGGAGACCCCGGTTTCATCTAGTCCAGCACAGGGAGTCCTTGCAGTCTGCGTCTGAACCTGGTTCTCCCTAGTATGCCATCTCTAATTGCATCAATCTCTCATTCTCCAAAGCAGAAAGGAAAAGGTAGCCCTCAGTCTCAAGGGAAACAGAGGTGGGGTGAGAGGATGGAGTCACTTACCTGATCCAAACAGTTTGCCACCAAAGCACCCAAGAAACACACTATGCTGTCCTTCAGCTCTTTCCTAGACCATTTATAAACTAATTAAGTTCCACTGTTGCAAATAACAGTAGAAAATATAGACTTTTTGTCCTTAGGCATAGAGAGCTTTACCTTTCCGAGCGGTGAATTAACATTTAACAGGCAAAACAGCAGGGAGGAAGGATAAATACAGTTTCCTTGTTTGGTTCATTGAGAGATGATGAAACGGAGGCAAAGAGCCATCAAATGAGTGAGCAACATGCAACACTGTAGTTTGAACAGTGCAGGGGACGCAGACCTAGAATACGTCCTTCCTAATCGCGTTAATTTTTCTACTCTCTGTCTCTCTCCCATGCTGAGTGTGGGCCAATAAATCATTGCATCAGATTGGCATGAAGGTACGACCTATTTCTGCCTCCAAATATTACTGACCAAGCAGTCACCAAGATGGAAGGAACCGGGACATCTAGTACAGTCCCCTGCACTGTCTAATTTAATAACATTTTAACCCAGCCTTCCTCAGCCTGGTCCCCTTTAGATTTTTGGGACCTTAGTTTCCATCAGCTCCAGCCAGCCTGGCCAATGAGTTGCCATTCTCCCAAACATCTGGACAGAACCAGGTTGGGGAAGCCCGGTTGACATCTATCTTACCTCGACAACAGCATTATCAGTTCATTAGCCAATGAACTAATGAGCAGAAGGATAAAATGACTTCAGAGACAGCAGACCTTACTCATGGGGCTGAACCCGCCAGCCGGGCCACTCCTAAAGGTGAATGCCCAGTGTGCCAGCCAGCTTTCATATGGGGTGATAGGGAAGAGAGAGCAGGAATTTACTGCCCATGAGAAAACACTGTTTTCTAGCTCAGCTGCAGTAGGTCAGAGTTGAGAGCCTTACTTTCAGCACTATTTTGCTGATGGGGGTGGGGGACCAGTGCTCAGGTGGCTCAGGTGGGGTCCCAGATGCAAAGTCTGATACAAGCAAAGAAATCCAAGAAACAGAGTCCAACAAGGGTTCCAGGGTCAGTGGGACAAAGGATCAGGGAAGCTACAGCAAATGGGGCCAGAAGCTGAAATAAAGCCGACATTCCAGGAAATGGGGGCTCTCTCGAATCAGTGTTCACAAGCAGGCGTCTCAAGTGCCCAACCAGGAGCAGGGTGCAGCTGTCAGAAGCTCTTGGAAGAAGTTGTCCTCATGAGTCCTTCACTCATGAAGAGCCTTCCTTCATGAATGGGCGCTCCTTCTCACAGAGGTTCTTCTTGCCTGGCTCTTGAGAATGCCTGCACTTTCAGTGTTGGGAGTGATTCGACCTGTGCCTTTCAGACTGAGTTCCTTCCATTTCCAGGCATGGACCTACAGCATTCTCTCCTGAGGGCCCAACTCCTCCTCAGTGTGGTTTACCTCGGCCAGTACTAGAAGGGATTCTTCCAGTGGGAACAGGACCTCAGATTGGAGGGTCAGTCTCAGTGCCTGACACCCCTCTGTCTGGCTGAGGGTTCTCCACCACTGCATCCCGCCCTGCCTCGCTGGATTCCTCGGATTTTTTGGCTCATGGCCCCTGCTGCCTGGACCATACAGAGTTAGACTGGGGAACCTCTTTCAGCCCAGAAACTGGATTTAAAGATGGTGGGGGAAACTGCAAGGTGGCTTGAAGACAAAAGAGGTGGGAGAAATGCACAAATATGCAAGCATGATGTAGCTTAAAGCTGTTGTTGCTGGTAACTAAGCCTTAGGAAAGATCTTTCAGCTTTTTAGAATGGGGAAAACTACACCAAAGCTGTAAAATTGGTGGCTGGGAGAAGGAGGGAGTGACCATTTGAGGGCTGGATTGGGGCCCTGGGCCCAAGGTTTGCCATGCCTGATATGAAGCATAAAAGCCTAAGGATGAAGGTGCTGGAGGTGAAGGTGCTTTACATGGCGCTGCAGACCTTCTCTTTGCCTTTGTGAGGGGCTACTTGTGAGTAGGGCAGATTTAACCTTTTGGCTTAGACTATCTTTTTTTGCACTTGACTTTTCAACAGGACAAGGGAATCTCCACAACAGGTAGGCAACTTCAATGCAATCTGCAACACAAAAGACGTATCCAAAAGGTTGCATTATTCAGACGGTGTAATTCCTGTACTGCAAGGGCGCGCCTGCACTGGAGGCTCGGAGCCTGCATTCCCCACCTGGACTCCACCAGGGCCACTGAGGGACTGTGGAGAAGATCATCTAATTTGTTCAGGGTTCACTTTTCCGTTCAGCCTTGCGAGCAAACCCGCCAAAGGGAGTCACCTGGAAAGCCTTCCACCAGCCTGCTGAGAGCTGGCTGAGAGGGCTGGGCAGCTCCATCCCTCCAGCCGCATCCCACCACATTTCTCAGGTGGATGCAGAGGTGGGCAGGGCACCCCCCCCCTCTCCCAGCCTGCTCACTGCTATGGCTATCAGGCTACCACTCTGGCACCAGGCTGGAATGTCTCCAATCAGCACATGCAATCCACGTGGCCTGTGTGCTGTACAAGGAGTCTTGTCAAGAAAAATAAATGCACTGCCAAGCTTAAATCACACAGCATTACTTCCTTACTTTTGATTCCATATGTCAAATTCAGCCATGGCAAAGTTCTTATTTCAGGGTTTACCCAAATGTAGGCCGTTCCCATTTCTACCCAGCGTTGCAGTTCTCATCCACAATCTTTTGTAAACTAAAAAGCATCGGGGAAATGACACAAAGACAAGAACTAAGCAGAACCTCCCCACCACACACCCATACACATCTTTTACTTCCCATAGCACTCACAAGACTGTGGAGGAAGACCACACACACACACACACTCATGTGACATGCAGCTTTGCCTTGCAATTCCTGGCTGTTCTTTTCTCTTCTTTTTTTGCATGATTTGGTGCAGGATCGAGTGACACACATTTACATTTTGCCAATGAATTCTCTGGGAAAAGTTCAACTTCTCTACCAAAAAGCAAACAGACAGTATTTCAGGATATGGGCTGAGAGCAGGGGGAAGTACCAACATCTATTTCAGTTTTCTCTGTTCAAAGGTAAAAGGTCTTTTCAGTTAAACTTTGTTTTAGGAATAAAAGAGTTGCCATTACATGTTGGAGAACACTTCCACAGGTCTGAAGGTCATCTCCTTGTTTTTTCTATTTAGATTTCAAATCCTACTGTCTCCCAGACTCCAAAGGGAGTTATTTAGGAGATTAGACAAACAGAAGCATTTTTATTCTAAATGCTAAATGAAAACACAGCTATGGATTGCAAATAGTTCCCTTGTGTTCTTACGCAGACCTGAAATTCTTAGGCAAACCTGAAACATCTCACTGGGAATGCTGATACTCGTACCTATAGGCCACCGTCTTGAATGACCAGGTAATACCAACTGCAGAAATCAGCCGGAAGTCACAGCTCAGTCTTAGCTCTGGCCAAAACAGTGCCGTGACTCATTTCTCCTACACCTGTATTCCCAACAGTTCCCTCTATTTCATCTCTCTCTTCTATTTATTTTGGGACATCTTTTTCCCCCTCTGGACTTTGAGTCTTCTTTGTTGCTTTCGCTTGTGATCATCATTGTTATCATTAACAGCAGATGCCCTTAGTTAGAGCAAATAAAATGGAAAGAGTTGTCAATAATGCAGCACACAACACGGGAATGGGACCTGCAGGCTACTCAGATGAAAGAATTTGAGGCTGCAGGAGGCCATTGAGGCTAATTGGGCGTAATAAAAGATTAAATTTCTCGAGGACCAAAAACCCCATTAGCAGCTACGCACATGGAGAGGAAGGTCAGCATGTTGCATGTGGCAAGCACTAATATGATCTCTGTGGGGGCACCCAAGAAACAGTTTCCTCCTTTCCTGATCTCTCAGCACAACAGGGCAGGTCAGCCTTGCAAAAGTTTACTCATTCAGAGTAAATAATATTTTCCGACATGTGGGTAAAACACTCTTTCCTTACTTCTTTCTCCCCCTCCTCTGCATCATCACTGCAACCATCATGGTAGGTTTCTGTGCCACCCACTCATAACCTGTATGGGCTGGTCATATTTTGACACCCCAGCTCAGAATAAACAGGAACTTTATTATACACTGACTTATAGTAGGTGCCTAAGTTAGTATGTTGTTATAAAAATGACACTCACTATAAATACAGTGGACTGGTTTATGCATAGCGCTAACTCATGATTTATTTAATCCATGCTCTGTAGCTACTTTACCTCTTCTTTACTTGCTTCCTCCTCTACCTTGTATGGGAATTCTGGGAGTTGACTCCAAATGTCTTTGGAGCATGGTAGTTCTGGTATACAGAGCAGCTGAGTGGATTTTTTTTTTTTTAAATATATCCTGCCTTTTTCCTACAAAGGGCTCAAGGCAGCTTACATCATTCTCCTCCTGCATCTTATCCCCACAACAAGAACCCTGTGAGGTAGGTTGGGCTGAGAGTCTGTGACTGGCCCAAGATCACCCAGTTGGCTCCGTGGCCAAGCGGGGACTAGAACCCAGGTCGTCTGAGTCCCAGTCCCACCCTCTTAACCACTACGCCACACTGGCTCTTTTTAAACTGTGCTATCCCACTGCTTCTGTAGCCATGAACAACTCACAGTTTTGGGTTCACACATGACAACCCATGGTTTAAATGGGAACAGGATGAATGAAACTGGGGTTGTAAGTTCCATTGATGACAGATCTCTGTCCTTCAGATATGAAGTCTGAGAGGGAAAATGAGCTTTGGGGTGCAGCAGAACATGGTAACAGCAACAAAGTCTTCTGAAAACTGGATTTCAATTCTTCTGACCAGATGTAGTGAAAGGAAGCAAGAAGAGCCCCAGTGGATCAGACTGAAGGCACATCTAGCCCCACAATCTGTTGGCACAGGGGCCAACCAGTTCTCCAAAGGAAAGTCCACAAGCAAGACATGGTTGCAGCCACACTCCAGCGTTCATTCCCCAGCAGATGACCTGCAGAGGAATACTTTATTTATTTCTTCTATCACTTCATGGACCATTTGGATATGTGTAACAAGATGTCTTCAGGCAGTTTACAATGTAAACCTCTAAAATATATGACCCTTGTGACTAATAAACTTTTCAGGCTTATCCTTCCTGAAGTTGTCTTAATGCCTTTCTAATCCCCTTCCAGAATGGCAGCCATAACTGTACTTCTGGAAGTAATGCCTCTACAGTAACTGTGTTCTGTGTGAAGAAGTCCTTCCTTGTATTTGTCAATCTATGACCATTCATCTTTGTGGGAAGACCCATGGACCTGGCATGATGAGACAGAGGGAAAAATGTCTTTTTCTCCACAGCATGGATAATTGTGTACCTGCCTATCATGCACACATTCTTCCTCCTCCTCTCCTCACAACACAAGAGCCGTTGCCTCTTGGCTATTTCTTGAACAGATGGAATTTCTGCCACAATTGCAGCAGTTCCTTAGGTCAGAAATCACTTCAGTCCAGTTGCAAACTGAGTATCTGGACTAGTTTCCAGTTAAGAATTTAAGAAGAACTGTCCAAGATCACCCAGTGGCAAACCAGCTGTGCACAGGAGTCCTGTGGAAAAAGGTTGCTAGGAAGGCACAGGCAGGAGGTGGTGTTGCTCCCATCTCCTGCCCACAGGACTCCTCTTGGACCACTGTGTGAACAGAGTACTGGACTCGAAGGGGCTTTTGGCCTGGGTCAGTATACGGCGCTTCCAATATTCTTAAAGACACACTTAGGGGACTGTATTTAAACGCTGTCTATATTTTTAAAGGTGCATACAATGAGCTCCTGCTAACCTGTCAGTGTTTCTCTCTGACTTTAACAACACAGGTCATTAACTAAACTTGGGGGGAATTTCCTGTCTAGAAACAGGCTTACATATACTACAAATAAGGACAAATTGGGAACATACTATCCGAATCAGCACTTTGCTTGGGAAACTGGGAACTGGCACAATCTCACCTCAGTGTCTGCGGCGGCAGCACTAGATCGCCTCTTTCATGGGATTTGGGCCCCACATCCCCTCCCACCGACATGTTTGTTTAAATATTTGTTTGCTTCATGCTCATGTTATTTCAAAGGCTCCCTGGCCAAGCTGTAATCTGCCTGTTAAGCAAAGAGGGAGGGAAACTGGCTGAGAGTTGACCAGACCCTCCATGCAGGGGGTCAGGGAAGGAACCTGCAGCTGAGTCCAACACAGAGACTTCCTGTGGTTCAGACTGAGCACTAAGCAAGAGATGGGAGCCTGCAGGAGAAGGAGCCCTCCGAGGGATGGGAAGGAGGAGGCTGTTTTCCTGAGGAGGAAGATCACCCTGCCCCGGGTCATTGCCCTGGGTATAGGCACCATGGTGGGCAGCGGTATCTTCATTTCCCCCAAAGGGGTGCTGCAAAACTCGGGCAATGTGGGGGTCTCGTTGATCGTGTGGCTGGCTTGTGGGATCCTCTCTCTGTTTGGTGAGTTACTTGGATTTTTCCTTCCGTCACTCCTTTTCTCAACCTGAGGTTGTTACATAACGGCCAGGGAAAGAGAATGACCACCTTGCAATGTGTATGTGATGGTAGCACAATCACTTAGAGGGTGCTTGTCCTTGCAGGAATTCAGGCAACTGGATCGCTCAACATAGGCTTCAGTGGAGAGGGGAGCATCTGCTGTTAAAGGCAGATTGCAGGGTGCATACGGGATCTGCCTTCCACAAGAAAAATAGCTTCCCTTGGGAATATCCTCTTTCCTCACACATAGACCACAGTTCACTCCGTTCTGTAGAGTCTCTTGATGTCTCTGCAACATTGTCAGAGACATCAGTTGGTGCACAAGGAGTTGCCTTTGGTGGCTTTGTGATGACCTCCCTCATTGTTGCTGTGGAAATAGCCAGGGGACCATTTTGGAACTCCATGCAGGACACTGCGTAAGAAACAGACATGCCTCATGGAAATACGTGCATCTCCGGAGCATGTGTCCAATCGCATCTCTCAGTCTGGGTCAATGACAGTCTTCAGATGCTTCTGGGCTGTCACTTCCGGCTTTCTGCATTCACTAGCTTCAAGCTAAACACCAAAACACTGAGTGGAGCTGGAGGAAGAAGTGATCCTCCACAGCTTTTTGGTGGTACTCCATGCCAGTGGCTGCTGAATCACCCTATGTGCTGTGTAGACAGGAAGGCATCCTGCACGCCTTGGAGACCAGAGTGCATGCGGGTTCATTGAATTAATCGTTTTGCAGCTATGGCATTCCTCTCTTCCCTGGGCTCAAGAATGAGAAGGAAGCATCACACATCTCTATATCCCTAGCTCTACTTTCCTGCACATGTCCAGTGGCTCAGGGGTTCTGCACCTTCCTTAGATCTATCCAGGTGGGTTCAATGGGAAAACACCACCTCCACATGGGCTCCCAGCCCGCATCTGCCACTTGTGGTGGTCTGCAGCACGTGGAGGATTTGGAAACCCTGCCAGCATTCCTATCTAGTCAATAGCGGTGGTGTGCCTTAGGTGGCCATTGTTTTCACCTGGCAAATTGTGGACAATCCTGCCATATGCCATATCAATGAGCCAACCAGTCTTTTGACATGAGCTACTAAGGTGCTGTATCAGCCATCAGTTTTGTCACAGAATAGAAATTCAATCCCTACGTGAAAAGTGTTTCTGTTTTTCATTTTGTACTCCCATATAGTGATCTCTTGATGGCAGGGTGGTGTAGCAGAATAATGTAAATGCACAAGCGAAAGAAGCATATTCTTTCACTTTTACAAATCATACCATATTTTCCCTAATATTAAAAAAATCACTTAAAATGCTGTTTAGATGTGAAGAGAAAACTGTAGGGTCATGATGTCATCTAAGGAATGCATAAAAACCATGAGTACAGAATGATAAGTGTGCAATAAATGCCTGTGACAGAAAGGTCAGTGAGAAAGACATCATGGCTCAGCACAAGCCAAAATATTTGTGGCAGATGATCTTCCATCAGCCATTCTCCATAACCTATGAGGTAATTTTTTCCCACATCAATGAATGGGCGAGATCTTCCCACCATACCTGCCACATGTTCCAGCTCTGACACTGTGGATGTCCAGATTTGAATAGGACATCCACATCTGGATCCAACACTGATAGACTCTCATTGCATGGTGAACTCATAGACGGTAAAGGCCGAGACACACGAGGTATGCCTAAAGTGCTGATAGGAGCCAGTATGGTCTAGTGGTTAGAGTGTCGGACTAGGGTTCTAGTCCCCACTCAGTCATGACTTTGGAACAGTCATTAATTCTCAGGGTTGTTTTGAAAGTAAAATGGAGAAGGAGGACCATGCAGGTCACTGGAGATGATGATGATGATGATGATGGGGTTAGAGGGCCAAATATACTGCTGACATGCTAAATGTCATGCCCAAATAGGTCAATGCAGAAGGTACGTGCATTTAGAGCACAAACTCATGAAGACACTCGTAATATTTTGATCTCAGAGGATTACTGCCATTCCATGCAGGGTGGAAGGAGCACAGAGCCAAAGTTGCCTTCACTATCCTCCTGCCTTGCAAAGCAGCTAAAAGATGATTCTGGCTGTCCAAGTGCAGCATTTCAGAGCCGGAAGGAAGGAAGGAAAACTATTTGGGTTGGAGGTGGCAATGAGTGGGCTGCCTGCCTATCCTTCTCTGAATGCAGAAATTGCGGGCGACAGCTCCAGTGACACAGTTGATCGGATTTTCCTTTTCCATTATTCTTTCTACTGTTCCATTTCTATTTTCAGTGGCTGGTTTTGTTACAGTTTAGGGTTCTTATGTTGCTTTTAAGCTTGTGAGCTGCTTTGGTTGTCATTTTTAACCAAAAGGTGGGCTAGACCTCTTGTTTAGATTAACAGATACACTGAACTGGGGAATTCCAGGTCCAAATCCCCACTCAGCCATAAAACTTGGTGACCTATTTACCATCTCTCAATCCAACCCAACCTACCTCAGACATTGCTGTGAAGATAAAACACGGGAGCCTTGCGAACTGTCAGTTTGGAGGTATGTATGTTTGAGAAATAAAATTAATGAGATAAACACTTCTCTTGTATGTGTCTGCTCAAAAGTAAGTGCAGTGGAGTTCTCAGGGCAATCACCCAGGTATTTCTGCTTGCAGCCTAAACTCTGTGTGTTTTGTTTCCAGGCGCTCTGTCCTATGCTGACCTTGGAACGAGCATCACAAAGTCAGGGGGACATTACATTTACCTTTTAGAGACACTTGGGCCCTTGCCAGCCTTCCTAAGGTTATGGTCTGAGTTTGTTATGATCCGGTAAGAACAGCTTTCCTTTCCATTGTTCTGCAAAGGGGAGAGGTATTCCAGATGACGGAGTTTTACTGGGAGCTTTGTCTCTTTAAATCTCTCAACTGGGGGCATGCTCCAGCTGTGTGTTTCAAAGCAGCCAGCTGGTGAATGCAGGACCACTGTGATCGAACAAATGTTGGGAAGGACGGGGCAGTGGGGGAAGAATGAACCAAAGAAAGAATAACAGAGAAGGCCCCAGGAGAGAGTAAAAATTGAAAACACCCGAAGACCAAGCCCCTCTCCCTCAGTCATGAGAAAGAGGAATATTTTTTCCACTGTGCAGGCACTGCTGTATTTTGCTGTGACAACAATGCAAATGTTCTGGTCTCCCAGAAATCAGCCTGATATATGATCTGCTCCTCCCCTCACCAACCCGGACAGCTACTAGATAAACAGAACCGTCTGCCACTGAACATCTGGGAGCTGCCTTCTCAGAGGCAAGTGAACTCCCGGCTTGTTCAAGAGTGATCTTGCAACACTGGGATGGATTTTCACAGTGCCCACTGCCCCATTTCAGTGCCAGCGCAACACGCACAAATATGCACTGACCATCTCCCAAAGGTCAGAACTATCAGTTCAGAACATGTTCCCTTCGTGTTTGTTCACGGTGTTGTCACACACAAAAGCCACAGTGTTTAGAGCAGAAAGTGGAGTGGAAAGGGAAAGATCTTTCCACCACACCAGACAAGAGATATGGAGTGAAGGACCGGCTGCCTGAGTTCTATAAAAACATAATTTCAGAGGGAGAGCTGCAAGAGTCCAATAATGTAGCTGCACTTGACATTTCAAGAGCTTTTGCCCCATTGTGCACATTTCCTTCTCTCCAGACGCATATGTATTTGTGTGCAAGCAGACTTGAACTGAAGCTTGGTGAATTTAGTCTGTGAGACTCGAAACAGTGAAACTTGAAAAACAACCAGTCAACCCAATAGGAGACCTAATAGGCGTTTTCAGTGATATCCTGTGTGGAGTAGACCCATTGGAATGACTGAGTGTTACATTTGATATTTGATTTTTATCCCACCCCATTGGCCATGAAGTCACAATTACATTAATTCCCATTCATTTGACAAGTCTACCTATGTAGGGCTAATGCTGGGCATTACTCAGTGGCTGGGTTCACACAACGTGGCAAAGAACCCCAGTGTTTGCATGGTGCATGGATTTTTCCTGAACTGAAGTCAGACAATCACATGGTTACCCAGGAAGCATGATTTTCACACTCTCTGCTCTGTCCTCTTGGCCTCACCACAAACCTCCCAGAAGCAAAATCCCCATCCTTTCCCAATTCGTGCCTATGGACTACAGCAGCCTCCTCCTGATTCTCACTGTGGCTCTGAGGTGAGTTCCCTCTTCCCCGCCCCCGAGTGTACCTGCCTGTCGGCAGTGTCTCCCAGCTACCCCAGCCCCCTACAAAGAATTCACCCCTTCTTCCTCTGTGTTTTCACATTGTCTCCCTGTTTCCAGAAGCAAATAGAGAGAAGAACACATTACCCAGCCAACGGGAATAAAGCAAGCAGTGACACATCTGTTGCTAGGGAGCTGAGGGCAGTAGAGATCAAAAGCTTGATGTGGCCACTTCATGACCACTCTTGCCAGAGGACTCTATGGTGTTTCCATACCAAAAGTGGTAACATGGGGATTCTGGGTTTAGACAACCAGAGAAGCTGTGGTGAAATGCGATTCTTTTAATGGTTTCAGAAAACTATTCCTTCCATGCAGAAACTCCAGAAATGGGTCCGGGCTACACAATCAACCCAAAATGGTAAACGTTCACCATGTTTTCTTGTGTCATGAGAGCCCACCCAATGCCTTAGAAGAGCATAAAGTGCACCGATAATGTCTCAGGGCAGCTTGACAGTGACAACAGTGAAAAGCATATTCACCCCCCTCCCTTTGGGGTACCAGCAGCATACGAGGCACTTCTATTCACAGCATGGCCACCATTCTGTTTTATCCATAATGATCTGGATACAGCGTTCTGCCATATGGCAGGGCAGGTGGGTGGAACAGGGAATGACGACTGCCCAAATGGTGGCCTGACCGCCATTTCTCATCCATATTGCCCCAGAGTAATGCCATATCCTAGTCATTATGAGGGAAACAAAATGGTGGGGACACGACTGGAGAAAAAGCTAATCTGTGACTACGGGCATGAAAAGGAAACAAGGAGACCACTGCTGCCACTAGCATTGTGCCATTTTACAGACCTGACTCCAAACGGTCCGTATGCACTGAAAATCTGAAGTGATAACCTCCCACTCACAAATTCACCATCCATGAATGAGGCGACATAATTTCAGCCCTGGTATGTACCCATGCATAGGAATAGGGATACATGCACACGCTTATGTGCAAACACACCAGCCAACTGGTGGACTATTCAGACATCTGATAAAGTGGACTCCACTGTACAAAAGGTTATCCAAAGCAATGAAGAGAATGGAGATCTGTCTGTCTTGTTGTCAGTGCTACAGTGAAACCTGGCCACCTGAAACTTGGCACGTGTACCTAAGGTGACCCTGGGCTGTGTACCTCCAGGTTATTCTTTAATGCATCAATTAAATTTAACTTAAATATCTCCCTATGGTTGAAGTATGCAGGAACAGACTTCGTCGACCAGAACAAAGATTGCAGCCCCCTACAGTCTGAAGTCCGGGGAGACTAGCAGGCTGAGGGACAGAGTTATATGCCTGCTGCCCTCTGCTGCTATGGGACAACTTCCTTAGGGCATGGAAGGGGCTATAGGGGGCAGAAGCACAGCTTGGTGTGCAGGGTTTCACCCAGACAAGACAGGCTCAGTGACTCCAATTCTTGACAGCCCGGTAAGCTTGCATCAAAGGAGAAGCTGTGCAAAACTGGGATTGTTAGCATATTGCCATAGTTAAAATAAGGATCAATGCAGTTGCTTCAGGGAGCACAGGGTTATCTATCTTGCACTGAAATATGGGAACCACGTGGTAATAGCTACTTCCAAGGGAGTCTGACACATAAAAGTTTAGCTGCCCATCTTCTCCGGCTATCATGCTGAATGGCAAGGAGAAATTAAAGGGGGAATTAAATTGAATTAAATAGGAAACACAGGTGAGGAGAAGAGAAAGAGATAAAACTTTTCATCTGCAGTTTCTTGGTTTCATATTCCAGCCCTGCAAATATGGCTGTGGTGTCCTTGGCATTTGGTCAATACCTAATCGAGCCTTTCTTTGCCCCGTGCCAAGCCCCTGCCCTGGCAGTGAAGTTGACCACTGCGACAGGAATCAGTGAGTATCCATCTCTGAATGAGAAATACTTTGGACAGCTTGGATACCTAAGAACAGGCTTGCTTAACATTAATTCCTAGTAAAGCGTCTAGAATTTACTACTGAGTATCTTTGCTCAAAATTGGGAGGCGAAGTAGCAAGTCTTAAGGTCCAATTCCTACAAAGAAGTCCTGTGCAAATTTGTGAAGTGGATATTTGTAGATCTGTGCTGTTGTCCATACAAAAAACTCACTGCTGAGCCTGTGTCCTGTTTTTGCTTCCCGACAATTGGCACAATTGGTACCCACAAGTATTTTGGATGACAACTCCCATCAACCCCATCCATTATGTCTAATAGTCAGTATGTGTATTATGTTTTGTTTTGTTTTATGGAAGCCGTCCCGAGGCTATGCGATGGGGTGGCATACAAATACTCTAAATAAATAAATAAAATAATAAAAAACCTGCCTGAAACATCCGGAGGCACCAAGTTGACTATTTTTGTTTTAATCTTTTACTTCTGCCTTGCCCGACCTGTGCCCTCCAGTTGTTGGGGCTGCAATGTTCAGCATTCCTGTCCTTTGGTCATACTGGCTGGGGCTGATGGGAACTGAAGTCCAAAATATCTTGAGGATGCCGAGATGGGGAAGGCAGTCTTTCTTACTCTCAGGGAGAAACTGTCTTCTCTTTCCAATAGCTCTCTTTCATAATGTCCTCATAATATGGAAGAAAGCTTGCAGCTTCCCTACCTCAGCCTCATCCCAGCAGCCCTGCCCGTTCCCATTTGTCTCAAAAAGGCTTTTCTGGCACTTACCACTTCAGCACAGGGAGAAGGTAACTTGCAGAAAGCAGCTGTCTATGCCACCCTTCTCTGCATCCCAGCAGTTTAAAAGCTTCATGCAAACAGAGGATTTTGAACTTTTTTCTTGGAGGGCTCCTCTTTTTTTAGAAGCTTTGTGCAGGTGTAGCTTTCCACAGAGTTGCAACCATCTGTTGAACACCTGCTTATCGTGTCGAAACACTGCCAGAATAATGTGGGTGATTGTTTGGTGATCGGCAATTTTATAGAGCGAGCTGACTGTAGCAGCGACAGTGACTTGAAATCCTGCCATTGCAACTAGTTATCCTGGCACCCAAGTTTGTGTGTGTGTTTTTTTTCAAATGTCAATATTTCCAGAATGATGATCAAAATTTGAAATTCATTGCCAAACATCAAGCAAGCCAAAAGTTTAAGTGAAACAGAAACAGCAATTGTTGGTATATATGCTAGACTATTTTCTCTGCTTCTTCCAGCCCTGGCAATAGTTGTAAACTGTTGGAGTGTTAGCTGGGCTGCTAATGTACAGACGGTACTCACAGCTCTCAAGATAGCCACTGTTGGCCTGATCATCGTTCCGGGGATGATGGCTCTGGGCAACGGTAAGATCAGTCATGTGGCGCTAGGGTGATGGGAATTGTAGCCCAACGTCTGAGAGGGACACACATTTCCTGTCTATAGACTAGAAGGATGCTGCAGTTTGGCCTGATCTTGTATGACTCTTCTTCTGTTGCCTATTAGGAGGGGTGAAAAAAACCTGTTTCTACCTGTTTTTGTGTAGGTCACTTTGAAAATTTCCAGGGTAGTTTTGACACAAGTTTGCTGTCGCTTGACAAGCTGCCACTTGCTTTTTACTCTGGAATGTTTGCCTATGGCGGGTGGTAAGTTTCTGGATATAGCAGAAGTGTCCTTCCATGGGCAGCAAGGGCATGCATGCGCCGGCGCGGTGGACACAAGGTGCGCGATTGCAGCCCTCCAGCCCCTGCGCTGCAGCCCCTGCAATCCGTCCCGCAATAGGATTGCCCGACTGGAGGGCTTTAAAGGGGGTTGGACTAATTCATGGAGGAAATGGCCGTCAGTGGCTACATGACTGATGGTTATGAGCTGTCTCCCGGGTTAGAGGCGGTGTGCCCATGTGCCCCAGTTGCTGGGGATTCTGGGTGGGAGGCAGCAGTAACACATGCGGCCTGCTTGAAGCAGCTGGTTGGCCACAGCGTCAACACAATGCCAGGCAGGATGGGCCATGGTCTCATCCAGCACAGTCCATCGCATGTGCTAAGCTGCACCATGTGGCTTGTTTTGCCGCTGAGGCTCTCTGTCTGTTTTCAGGTTCTACATAAACTTTGTGACTGAAGAAATTGTAAACCCTACGCGGTGAGTATGGAGAAACAAACCCGCTTGGCCATTTTTCATTTGTTTTTAGTTATTTGTAGCTTTGTTTGTAGCTTTCCCTTCAAAGTTTGGGCCATTTGGTGTCCAAAGGTAGTTCTTGCCCGGGGAGGGGCGGGGGTTAAAAGGGAAGGATTGCTGGTCACACCTGAAATATGAAATCTATCTGGAGGCGATGGGTGAGGAGAAGCCTGAGGTCTCTAGGAACCAAAACGTAGCAGCAATAGCAGCAACCACAATCCACTGCTCCTCTGGTTAGCTAACAGGTCAGGAGCTGGAGTTGGAATAATGTGTTTAAGTGAAGCCAGTCATTTTATCCCCTGACATCAGAAGCCAGGCTGGAGAGCCCTGCGACGGACCCAGCCCGCATGGACAAAAGTCGAGATGAAAGCAAAAAGTCTGGAAGCTGCACAGCTAAAGGCTGAGGATAGACTACAAGAAATGGTGCCCTGGGCTAACAGAAGAAAACAGGCATGACTAGAGTTAGACTTCCATGATCTTTTCATTGACTAGACCTATGCCGCAGAGAGATAATTTCTGGAGGGTGCAGCCCTGGAAACTTGCAGCAGTTTTCCTGGGAAGCCAGGCACAAGGGAAGAACACAGTATCATCCTCAGCAGAATTGAGCCCCAAAACTATTGAGAGCTGAATAATGGGAAAATGCTGAGAGGAGCTAGGCCCAGAAAAAGAGAGAGAGAGAGAGGTAGCGTCAAATAAAGGGGACATCAGTTTAAACAGAAATACTTCTATCTTATCACAACACCGATGATTATGACCAGGAGAGATTTGCTACAGAGGGCAACAGTTCTTATGGTCTTTAAGTGGACAGAGCTGTGCTTCAAATAGAGGACACTTCCATACAGAGGATGGTCCCCTGGCTGTGTTTTGAAGAGAGGAATGTCTTATGTAGAAGAAGATATATGGCCACCCTATGGGGTTGAAGGAGGCTTGGCAAGGTGTAAGAGATGTCCCAGAGGATGCTATGCTGAGTACCCTCAATCCTGCAGTCAGGTTGCATCTCACAATGATTCTGATTTTATGAGAATAGCTGCAATGCAAGGGTTGGCTTGGTGGCACTGATGCAGTCTGGGGCACCATTTTAATTGCTCCCAATTTCCCCAGAGGTAGTGCTGTTCCAGGGCATTGTGGGTAATATAAAGGGCAGCTCAGATCTACTCACCGGAACAGAGGACCCAAGTCTTGCATCAGCCGACCCAGGGCTGGTCCTTCTATTCGGCAACCTGGGGCAGCTGCTCAGGCAACTGGTTTTGAGTATTATGAAAAGTCAGCAATTTTTTATTATTTAGGACAAAACCTATCACGCTTCTGCCAGGTCCATAAGCCTCTGCTGTTGTTATCAGGTTATTAACTTTCCTTGCTTCAGAAGCTGGTGTCAGGCAGTTTATCTTTCTCACATTCACTTCTCAAAACCCACCTTTTTGACAAAGCCTTTGGCACAATCACCAGTAACAATGCTTAAATACATTTTACAGAACAAATGCTTTTTCTTCCACTATTTTCCAATCTTCTTCCCACTGCTTTCCAATTTGTATTTTAAATTTGGTATTGAATTTTATATTGTTTTACTGCATATTTGCACTGTAGTTTATTCTTGTTCTCACTGTTGTTAACAGTCCAGAAAGCTTCAACCACTGGATAGTATACACAAAACAACAACAGAAAAACCCACATAAATAAATAACCATCTGCTGGAATATAATGCAGAGATCAAGGAGTTCTTAGTTCTTTATAAAGTGGCCCTTTATTGCATTAGGATTTCAGATACTGAGTCACAGAATATGTTATGAATACTGAAGTCATTCCTATTTTCATTGTGAGAATAGTTTAACACTGTAGGGAAGATGGGCTGAGGATCAAGAATATGGCTTGATTCTTGATGCAAAATTCCTGGAAGTATTTATTTTCTTACACCCCCATGTTGTGTATTTATAAAGGAGAAAATAGCTAAAAGATAAAGGAAAGTGTGAACTGTGTAAAAGTGAGGCTTTCCTTCTTCAGGAATATCCCACTGGGTGTTATGGTGTCCCTAACCGTGGTTACAGTATGTTACATCCTCACCAATGTGTCTTACTACGCAGTCCTGACACCACAAGAAATTCTCGACTCAGAGGCAGTAGCCCTGGTACGTCCAGTAGCTCTCTTGCTCTTTTTATTTTATTGCCAAGGTTATGGTGGAAGGGGAGACGGTTTCAAAGACCTGTTGGGCAGAGACACAACAGAAAATAGCCAACTGCATTCTAGTGGCTACAGATGCCATCCTGTTGCCCTCAGACTCAATGCACATAAGCCACCAAAGTCCAAATGAGTGTGTAGTCGGTGCCCAGAGCAAGGCAAGGCAGCAGGATGCCGTGCATTTTATCTGCATAGGCAACGATTCAGAAAGAAGGGAAGAAAGCTTATGTAGATGGCCCCACCCTCGTCCCCTCCCACCCACCTGCAGCATGCCCCTTTCCACCTCTCGGAGGTACATTTCCACTCTTAGAGAGGCTGCTGGTTCTTTCCAGACCTGCAAGTGAAGCAGAATGGGATCTCAGCCATCCAAGTTGGAGGACCTTGCCACTCCAAGGACTCCTATGGCCCTCCAGATGAAGTTGGGAGGCCATGCGATTGTGCTCTAAAGCAGACATCGGCTACCACGGGCAGTGAAAAGGAGAACGAGCTCACCTCTTCAAAGAACAAGTGTTCAGGAAGAATATATATATGAGCAAAGTGAAATATGACTTGTAGGCTGCAAGAGCAAGAAACCTCTGCTCAGAGCTAAGCCAATAAATGGCATATTTCTGCAATCAAATTACTTTTGCATTTCGACAGGTCTGTCAATCTGATTTTTTAAAAGATTTACATCTCCCCTTCAACATGCCCTTTATTGTTTTCTGGTTGTAGTTTATGTACTTTTTAAAAAGTTATCTTTCAGGATTGTGTTATGGTATTTTTATTCTTGTCTGCTGTCTGGGGTGCCATCTGCAGGAGGACAGGATTAAAAATTGAAATAATAATGAATCTCCTCTTCAGAAAGAAGTAGAAATATGCAGAGGGAAAAGTGATTGGTTCAAAGGACTTTCTGGATTTTCTTCTAGAGCTTTGCTGATAAAGTTTTCAAGAGCATCTCCTCTGTGATTCCAATCCTTGTAGCCCTGTCTTGTTTTGGTGCATTGAACGGAGGAATCTTTGCTGCATCAAGGTAAAGAGTTCAGAATATCTTTTCCCAATGATGGGAAACTGTCTACAGTTCCTGACCTGGCAATAGTTCTCCTCTCCCAAAATGGTAGTGCAGAAGCAAGAGGGGAAGCAGTTATCTTTCCGCAAAACTTACTCATGCTGAGGAATTAAATTTTTAAATCACTCATTTGTTCAAGTAAACAACAGTGGAAGCCGACATTTAGCCCCACTTACCATTCAGGGCACTACCCCTTTGCCCCTGGGATCGAAGCTTGGAAGCCTCCACAGGCAGAGCCTTCTGATCACGGCATGCCAGGTGCAATGCGCAGCAGTGGCCATCACCACTGCCCCCTCCCGTGCCTCAAGCGTTGCATTTTGCCTGCATAACCATTTTCAGCTGTTTACATTTAGAGCCAGCAAGGGGGAAAGGAAAGAGGCTGGGGTATCAGTGGGAATGGCTGCAACTCCACGGCCTCAGTCTTCCCCCCTTCTCATCAGCGGGCATGGCCTGTCTCTCCCCTCTGAGGCCCACTTGTAGACCTCAGTGGTGGGGCAATGGCACTGTGCTGTCTATGCCAGTTGCAAGAGGACTTGGACTGCAAAAACACCCTTTGGGTCTCCTGGTCAATGATGGAAGGCCAAAGGATCGCACCATGCAAAGCAGTAATGCGCAGGGGTGCTGAACTTCTTTCAGCCTAAGGACCACATTCAGTTTTGGAGAAGTTCTTGGAGGCTGCATTCTAGTAGCAGGCAGAGCCAAGGAAAAATAAGGTGGGTCCGAGGCAAAGAGGGCAGGGCAAAAATACCAAAAATAGCAGCATAGGGTATCTCGGAGTTTTTAACTGCCAGTGGCTGAAGTGTAGCAGAGGTATTTTTACCTGTAAGAAGGAGAGCGGGGCAACTGCACAACAACAAAAGAGATGGGGCCAGGAGGAGGAGGCGTGGCTACCTGGGGAACGCCAGAGCACAGGATTGTGATCTGGGCAGTCTGGATTTGGCCCATGGCTTGGCCCTTCTGTACTTTCCTGTAACAGAAAGCCACTTCCAAACACGGCAAATAGTGGCAAAGGAAACTCAGCATAAATGTGGCATTTAAGTATAAATCCCCCTTACCTCTAGAAATAAGGCCTTTGCAAAATGTAAGAAGAAAAGTTGTGTGTCCTGGTGTGGTCTGAAGGGCAGCTGCCCTCTTATCTGGTTTCAGGGCAATTCACATGAATGCCAGCAACTGATTTCGGCCTCTTGAACAATTTGCAAAAAAATAAAAAGATATATGCCATTTATTGGCCTGAGGGTGGCTGCTTAAGCTTAGGGCAGTGATGGCAAACCTTTCAGAGACCGAGCGCCCAAATTGCAACCCAAAACCCACTTATTCATCGCTAAGTGCCAACACTAAAATGTAACCTGAAAACTGAGGTTTTTGTTTAGAAAAAACAACTCACAGCCCGTCCAAGGAAATATATATCTATCCTTGGCAACACACTGACCGGCCATGCAAAAGCTAGAATGAGCCACAGCTAATGAGTCGTGGCTCATGACGTCATTGCTTGGCGCCGCTACTCCTTTCCGAGCATGCGCATGGCCTCTGTGTGCGCTGTTATCCGATGCATGGCTGCTGGGGTGATGCTGGGGCGACTTGGCTCGCATGCTTGAAAGAGAGGACTCTGCATGCCCACTGTGGCAAGTGTGCCGTAGGTTCGCCACCACTGCCCTGACCCTACCCTGGTGCACTCCCCTAACCCTAATGTAGGGATAAAGTTCCATTGAAAAGAGGGCGATTTTGAGAAAGCCTTCTTTGAGTAGCTTTTTCTGCACAGCTCATCATTTCTGCCCATTCTGAACACATTCCAACCATCAAAATCATGCCAGGACACCTCATTTTTCCAGCCCTAACCCTACCCTGGTGCACACCCCTAACCTGAATATAGTGCTAAAACACCATTGAAAGTAATGCTATTTCGAAAATAAACTTCCTTCAGTAGCTTTTTCTGCACAGCTCATCATTTCTGCCCATTCTGAACACATTCCAACCATCAAAATCATGCCAGAACACCTCATTTTTCTAGCCCTAACCCTATCCTGGTGCACACCCCTAACCCTAATATAGGGGTAAACTTCCATTGAAAATAATGCAATTTTGAAAAGCCTTCCTAGAGTAGCTTTTTCTGCACAGCTCATCATTTCTGCCCATTCTAAACACATTCCAACCATCAAAATCATGCCAGGACACCTCGTTTTTCTAACCCTAACCCATTGATGGAGAACCTTTTAGAGACCGAGTCCCCAAACTGCAACCCAAAACCCACTTATTTATCGCAAAGTGCCAACGCTGCAATAATCTTGAAAACTGAGGTTTTAGCTTAGAAAAAAACAACTCACGGCCAGAGAGGGCTCTGCATGCCCGCTGTGGCAAGCATGTCATAGGTTCACCATCATTGGCCTTGGGGAAACTACAGGGACCTCTGGAATGACAGATTTCAGTCTAATAAAAACAGGTCTCCAGTATCTAAGATAAATGGGGCGCATGGCTGCTGAGGTTGTACTGCAGCCTTCCCCAAAATGGTGTCCTCCAGATGCTTTGACTACAACTTTCATCAGCCCCTGGCAGCACAGCCAAGGTGAGAGATGATGGGAACTGTAGGGCAAAGCATTTGGAGAGTTCTAAGTTGCCTGCACCTTTGCTGGCACCTATGAAACCATGGATTCCTCAGATAAAATAATTTATTTATGCAAGCAGGTTTTGGCAGAGCTGCAAGTCTGGCACAAACAAGGGGAGTTCGGTTCAGAGTGCAGCCACCATTTGACAATTTCAGATCGTACCTATTTAAAGCTGGCTTTGTTCTACAGGATGCTGTTTGCAGCTGCAAGAGAAGGACAGTGGCCAGCCTTCTTTTCAATGATACACCTTCAAAGGCACACTCCGCTCCCAGCCCTGATATTAATGGTATGAGCACTGAAAGCGTTTCGAAGAATCAAGGAATGCATCTGCCCACTTCCTTACTGCTACCTAAATGAACAGGGCATTTCTCATTTATGGGATGGTGCATTAGCTTAATTCATCCCATCACTGTTGCAAAAGGAAATGATCCTTTAACAGTGTAATTGTTTTCCTGTACATTAATAAAGTATCAAAGTACTTTGTGGCTCCTGTGGCAAGAGCCCTTAGGAAGTTGTTGACAAGCCCAGGTCACCAGCTGGAACACCTTTGCATAATTCAGCTCAAGGTGACATTTGTTCTTACAAACAAGTCTGGTATATATTGGTTTTTACCACTGTGATCAAAATTAAACAAAACTGCACAATGGGGGAAACTGGCCTGCTCATTCATTCTGACTGATAAATCATCAGTTCTGAGTTATACATGGCAAGGCATTAAATCAGTGGGAAATACAATTCTGTCAAATACTGACCTATTTTCCCACCACAAATTTGCTCCATCAGTTGCCATTGATCTACTTGATGGTGTCCATTGGTGATCTCTATGGTCTGCTGAACTTCTATAGCTTCTCACGCTGGTTCTTCCTTGGCCTTGCCACACTGGGACTCATACTACAGCGTTATCGACACCCAGAAATGCCAAGGCCCTTCAAGGTAAGACAGTTTGCAGCTGTTGAAGAAACAGGAAGAGTAGAATTGCATTTCTCCGACTGTCTACCTCAAGAGAGACATCGGCACACATACAGGAAAAACCAAAGGGGAAACTAGACATAAACTGCTTAGGGATATTTTTAAACATGGTTAGTTGGCTATAAATCTATTAAACAAACCAAACAATGCTTAAAAGTGGTTTGTTTCCCTGATCTTATAGATCTCAAAAGTACATTGAAGCCATGGTTTATTTTGCCAGACTAAGACTTGATCACAGAAGAATCTATCTGTCTCAGACCCAGTTTTGTTTCTCTTTTTATAAGCAGAGAAATTTAACTACCTTAATCTCGGTTTGTTCAAGGAACTTGAAACACCTAACTCTAAATCATGTTTGTACCTCCTGGTTTAAACCCTTTCTTGAATATATATGTATTGTATATTCAGGTATCATGCTTAACCATAGTTAAGGGAAACAATCACAGTTAAATATGTCTGCAACTGTTCTGTGTTGCATCAACAGAAGTATCAATTCACTGAACCAATTCCTATTAAGTTCAGTGGAACTTACTCTCAGGAAAGTGAGTATAGGATTGCATGCTAAAGTGCTCATTAAGTCACCATGATTACAGTATAAAAACTAACCAGCAGAACATTGACTCAAGAATCAGAAGCTAGAAGCAGGAAGACCACCACCACAATACCCAAGGAAGGAAGTACAGACAGACAGAAGGACGGAAGGAAGAGATGGAAAAACATCCCAACCTAGCTCCTTTCCCTATATTATTTCAAAACACAATGAGCTGGAAGCATTATTACAGTAGCTTTACTAGAAAATGTTGCTTGCAGCAAATGTGGAGTCGTGGTTAGAATTTTGGAGTGGGTTTCAGGAGTTCTGGGTTCTAGTCCCCACTAGAGGCCAAGTGGGTTGCTTTGGGCCAGTCAGTGGCTCTCAGCCTAACCTTCTTGCCTCGCAGAAAACCTGAGAGGAGGGGAGGGGAAGGATTATATACATTGCCTTGGATTTATTGAAGGAAAGAGGGAATATGAAGGAATAAAGGAGAGGAGGAGCAATGTTGCAGGAGAGAGTTATGGTTCCTTCCATCTCCAGGATCAAATAAACATAATAAATTTGGACCATTCTTTGGTATGTTCAGAACAACACAGTCTGTTCCCCCTGTGCTTAAGATTCACCCTTTGATTCCCATTGCGACTTCTTTTAGGTGCCTCTGTTTATCCCACTGGTGTTCACAATAGCCTGCTTCTTCATTGTGGGGACATCCCTGTATGCAGATCCTGTGAACACCGGCATAGGCTGTGCTATAACACTGACTGGCTTGCCTGTTTACTATCTGGTGGTTCAGAAAACTAGACTACCACGCTGCTGCACATCCAAGTTCAGTAAGTATGGCCAGTGATGCTGCCAGGTTGGAGGAGGCCCTGAGCCATTTGCCTCTCTGTTCTCCCCTGCCCACCCCCAGCTGCTTCACCGCCCTGCTGTCTCTCCTTCCCCCACCATCTTGGTTACTTGTGCCCTACCGGACCCGGATCAATAGAAAAAGAACCATTGAGTTGTGCACTCTTGATGTATGCTGTGAGTCCTTGGCAGGGAGGGCAGCCAGCATTGACCATGGAACAGCAATGGCCCCTTTCTTCTGCAGCTCCAGACATGCAGGTTAACCAGAAAATTAGCTAAATCTGAGGGAGAAGCTTCACAAGTGACCACTGCCTATCCTAGATTTAAGTTATTCATTCATGTCATTGCTTTTCTATACCACCCAACAGCTGAAGCTCGGCTACATGTACTCTTGGGCTTGCAGCTCTAGAATTTGTTGAAGGAGATGGGAATTACCTGCTTTCTGCTCCTTGGAGTTGTAGGTCTTCCCTTCATACTTCAAACATTGGCCTTTGTGTGTCAGCTGTGAAGCCTGTCCCAATTTATACTAATTTTGAAGCTTTCTTTTTGCTTGAGTTGCTGCTATCCTCAGGATGGACAATCAATGGCCTATATGAAGCACTGGGTTGTGTTGCACAGCCCCCATGCTTCCACCTCCAAATTCCTCTCCTCTCCATTACCAAATTTCATTTTTCCTCTTATGTATGTTTGTGCATGTGTGCAAGTGTGTGTGTGTGTGTGTGTGTATTTTTGGATGACCCACCCCTCTCCACCCCACTGAGGCCATCAGGATCAAAAAGACGGTGCACCCCATGCATGGTAAACCTTTTGTTAAATTGATGCTAATTGGGAAAAATATAATCCATGGATGAGGAATACTTCCAGGAGCTCCACAATGAAGGAACATGTAAGAGCATTCAAATAAATAGCCCCTACTTCCAACTAGTTACCCCTCCACATTCATGGAGGAACAATATCCTGCAAAAGTGGAAAAACTGTGAATATCTCTATCCACCCCCCACCCAGCTTAACTCTTAATACTGTTAACCATGCGTGTACTGGATTGCTTCTTTTTCTGCACTGTTGGTACATACGCCTACATGCATGCATGGTCTGCAATATTCCACAGTAGGCCACTAAACTAACAAAAAAAATCCCATTTAATTATTGATAGCAAACTTGCGAATAATCAAATCCATTTAAGTTAAACCCACAAAAGTGGAGGTTTTTACTATAATTCCAATCAGCACAAAAGGATTTTTTTTTACAGGCATTCAAGGCCATTGCATACCATATAGAAATTAAGTACATACACACCTGGATAGAACATTTTATCTGTCTTGATGCTAAAACTCACAAAAGTCATACTAGTATTTTTGGCTGCATCCACACCTAGGAGTCAAAAGGATAGGTCTGTGCTTCATAGTGTGAACCTACCAATTGCTGAAGCAGCCTCTTTTCTGCTTTTGTTCAATAATGGCTCTCTCAGCATATTTCTTCTTCCTTGTTTCTTTCCTTGTTGCATTTGTTTAGATTCCTTGACAGTGAAACTGCAGATCTTGATGAAAGTGGCTGTCCAGGAAGTCCAGACTTATTGAAGGAGTTGGCAAAGAATGCACAGACCACAAGGGCCCTTTGTATCCATCCCTCACAGAGCACTTCATACACTGAGGAACAGACCTCCAGTCCACATTTAAGCAAGTGGAGAAAGACGTGTGATAAGCCATTATCTTTTGTACAGGAGCATCCACAAGCTCACCTTAGCTTTGCTTATATGCTACTACGTATTTGAAGCTCAATATATAGCAGAGGTGAGCAAATAGTGGCCTTCCACATTTTGGGGCCTACAATTCCCATCATCCCCCACAATTGACTATGCTGACTAGGGCTGATAGGAACTGGCAGACCAAAACATCTGGACTGCACAACTTGCCCACTCTGCGTATATAGGCCACTAGAGCAGACACAATGGGCCAGATCAATGCTAAGTCTGGCGCATACCAAGCTTTGCAGCATAGGAAAAGCTGCTGCCTGGGTGAGGAATACCGGCAGGGAATGAAAATGGAAAAGCCTGTATCAACTCAGATCCCTAGAGAAGGAGCAAAGTGAAAGTTGGATCTTCAGGGTAATGATGATACAATAGCTACTTTCCAGTGCTAGGTTAGATGGGAAAACAACCTAGCTCCAGGTTTGCCAGCACTGCTTCATTTGCATTGTATTCTGAAAAGTCTGAAGTTAGTAGCTTTGAATCATGGGCATAGAATACATAGATCCAAAGGTTTGTGGTAAAGAATTTATAAGCAAAGAATATAAAATCAAATGTTCAGTTAAAAAAATTGAATGGTATCAATATTGCCATAAAATGACTCACAAACTTTTCTGGCCCAGAATATTAAGAGGCCTGACATCCTTTTGAAGAACTAATTCATTTTTGGAAGTCAGGAAATATATGTATTATTAGGTTATTCATTTAAAGTGGAACTATGATTAGCAGACAGTGTGCAGGCCTAATTTGGACAAAGCATTCCATTTTCAGTATAAGTATTTTAAACTAGTAAGCTTCATTTTCTAGAGCTGTGACTATTCAAGGGTCAGGTTTCAAGACTGGTCAGTATGCAATGTCAGTTTCCAATCCTTTCTGATAGTTCCAGGAGTAAAGGAAAGGCCGGTTTCCTAAAAGGGCAGATCACCAGTGAAGGATGCCCCACTGACCTGTCCTGATATGGAAATTAGTGTTTCCACTTCTTTCCAAGGCTGCTTTAAGAACTACTAGCTTTCTATTGCCTCAGTGGCAAGACTGCTGCCATCACAGATCAAGCAGAAATTCAGTGTCAGTATTAGATCCTTCCCATTGTTATTCAGCTCTTGCAAGATTAAAGTAATTATACTCTTAAATAATTTAAAGTTTTTTTAAAAATAAAGGCCAGCATCTATGGTTGAAGGTCTGTCATCAAAATAGGACCCCCCCCCCACACACACACAGAATCAAAGCTGTTAATAGCAACTATGTTAAACCTTTCAGTAACCAAAAAGACCCAACTCCCTTTTTTATCTTTTCATTCAGTTCATGGCTGTTACATGTTTATTAAATGCAATGCTTTATTGTTTTTCCAGCATTTTATTATCATGCTTCTCACTGCAACAATAACAGTCTGCAGTGCTACCAGTGAAGCCTGGTCAAACAAAATTTATGTATTCTTCCTCCTTCAGAGAAAGCTCTTGTGTCAAATTATACATGCTCATCCTAGAGATTTCCTCCTGACATCGCTTTTCTAGCTTACACACGTGTCCAGAGGAGCCACTGGTTGATATACCCCAAAATGTATGTTCCCTATTTATAAATGGAACCCTCAGACACAAGGGTTGTTCCTAAATGAAGACCACGTGGTGCTGAAAGAATTATGATACATAGTTCGGCTTAAGGTGCTGCAACGACTTTTGATTTGCTAAATTAGTTATTTTAAATTATAATTGTACATCTTTATTGACGGAAATATAGCATGCTTTGCCAAACCAAGCCACTAGTCAACATGGATCCCTGCATCAGAAGGGGAGGGGGACGCTTGTGCAGCAATGGTCTCTCTATGCCATTTCTAGAGACAGTATTAACTGGGATACCTTACATCTGTACGGAAGATGCCTATCTATTGCTCTGGAGGATAAGAAAATGTGTTCTTTGAGACTGAGATAAGTCTTCAGCCTTAATTCTGAATATAGCATTGTGCCCCACTAATAAAAAGTTTGAGAAACAGTCATTTACTGTATGGGCTAGCGATCATGTGCATTTTGCCAGCAAAAGCTATAAATTGTAGGCCACTGTGATTCATAACTGATACATTTAAAACTAGAGGTGAGGTTTCCTAAGCCTGACTTAATGTATGAACTTGTTGTGGTCTGTGCTTCTCCCTCTTAGCAGTAATAGTCTCACTAGCCAATCTTTGCCAAACATCTTTATGCGCAAGTCTGAGCATACACAAAGTGAAATGTTGAACACTGTTGAACACTCTGTCATTCTTCACCCAAAGCTTTCCTTATGAACCCTTCTGCCTGTCCCTAGAGGAAAGAGCACTGTGGAACCGGGCACACCTGCTCTCCTCCCTCAGAGACCCCAACTAGGCTCCCCTACAATAGCAACAATCGACTATTGAATCCACCTCCTCAGGAGGTGGCAGTGCCCCAACTGATAAACTCCCCATCTCTAAATCTCCTCCCTCAAGATGTTCCCACAGGCGGGATGACTCGCCCTCTACTAATCTCCCTCATAGCAGGCATAAGCAGGTAGCTGGGATCTTGGACTGCAGCTGGAACCAGGACTGCTTCAACAATCATCTCATTATCAGCGTCTGAGCCGTCAGTCCCACCAGGTTAGGCAGCCTCCTCTGCACACATCTCATCCTCAGATTCTGAGCTGTCAGTCAAACCAAAATGGGTAGCTTCCCATTTGCACACCTGAGTTTTGCCAGAACGTGCTTGCATAACACAACTGAAGAAACTGAGAATTCAGCAGTGAGAGTGAGCAGTGTGTGTGTGGGGGGGAGGGAGGAGAAAAAAGAGAATTCTCAGTTGCGACTTCTCCACAGATTCAGAAACATACCTGTATGCTGCCACAGAAGCCAGGAACCAGATCTCTTCCACTTGCATGAAAGGGAACAGGACTAGGGGACAAGCCTGGTAGATAAGGCAAAGGTGAATGTCAGTCTCAGAACGCAACACTTACACCAAGTAGCCTGGATTTCTTCCAGATTTTTCATATAAGATGAATCTACTCAGTCTAATCCTTTTAATCCAATAGTTTGCAATGACTGGGAAAGTTGATGATAATTTCTATCACTTGTCAACCTAGTATTTTGTACCTCAGAAATCTTTGGTGACAACTCAGTTTGATTTAGCCTGTGCATTCAGGATTCTCAGAAGAGGTATTCTAAGTTCCTTCATGGGACAGGAAGCACCATTTTGCCTTTTTGTTTTACAAACGGATTTCTCACATGCCTAGATCAGGTGATCACCTATCAGCCAGCTATTGGTTTCCTCTTTAAATCAAGGGTGTCCCCCATCTGTACGTTCTATTGCAAACTATTACCAGCCAAACTACTAGCCAGAAGTCACGTGCTTAAGAAAACGAAAAAGGTGGACACATTGAAAGCCTTCATGTCTTAAAGGAAGTCACTGGTAACAGACCAAATTCCAAGTTTGCCTGGAATCCTACCAGGCCAAGCCTGCACAGTTTGTGACCCAAAGAGGATAAATATAGTTTAATGTATATTTGCAGTGGTCTATTAAGGGCTTAAAACTCCTTTTTTGTTATCTAGCCTGGGCCTGCAAACACCAGTTGCCAAGTACCTGGCACAGAACAGTTTCTAACTGGTTATGTACAACCTGCCAAGCTTGGTGAATGAACCAAAAAAATGGGGGGAGGAATAATGTTTTATAGACACAAGTTTGTCTCCTATGTTTACCTCCCCCATTCTATGAACAATACTGGTTTAATATCAGACATTAAACTAGATCAGTTTCCAGATGTCTGATCTGCAAACCCTTCAAGTGGTTGCTTTAAGAAAGATGCACTACCAAAGTTACACCCAAATCTCAGAAGTGTGGAAATAAGTAAATCTACTACTGTTCTAGTGGAAATACACTCAGAATGCATGTTTGCCCCAAATCAAGAGCAATGGAATCACAGAAGCAACGGTTACAGCAAATCAAAGTGGAAATAAGAATTTTTTCATAAGACATTGTGTTTCACAATCAGTATTTACACAGTGAACAAACATGAAAAAATTAAACACTTGAGTGCTAAAATCAAAAACATAAGTAATACAGATTTTAATTTCAGTATTTAAAGTACAGAAAGTGAAAACTATGGTCAAATACAAATTTAAACAAGCCACATCCTCCCAAACAGTAAATCCGTAAGCTACTTATAGAAACTTACACATTTCAAAGTAAAATCAAAACAAAATAAATACTGTACATACACTTTCCCTGCCTGCAGGCAAAAATGGGTTGGGAAACACTGTTATAAATTGGAAAAAAAATGCTCTTAAAGCTGCAGCATCTCATTTCCCAGCCTAAACACTCCACGCAGTAGTGTGTTTCCGTAAAAAGGAGCAGAGGACACACAAATCCTTATTCAGAAAGACAGCTAGTTCACAAACATTCAAAAAGGTTAGAAATTAGACTGACAGTAGAAAAAGGTGTGGGGGAAGAGACACATCAGCAAAACACTACTACAAAACTAGTAAATATAGCCAAGACCTATCCCCCTTTTTCCCAAATGTAATGAATATCCCAAAAAATGCCAAAGCACTGGCAAAGTTAAACTTTTCCCAGCAGAAGTGATAATTCATAATAATATAATCTCTTAAAGTGATCTCTTTCATTCCCTTCCCACTGCAAGAAACTATTATGGCTTAAAAATTTATCAAAGTCCTTTTCCAGGCAGAAATGCAGCTTTAGCAACAGCTACATTCCCCAATCAGTGCTAGTCTTATTCCTACTCAGTACTGCACAATTCACTTATTTTGTACACATCTTTGCCTTTTTTGGAAGTACCAATGTTGCAGCTTTTAATCCAGTTTAGAGAGCAATCCTATGGTCCTCGGACAGTGTTGGGATGCATAGGATACTTCAGGTTCCCAGATCTGAGGCTGAAACCAGAGCTGTGACCTCAGAGTCTGGGATTCATCCCCTCCCACCCTGCCTCATGGAAAGAACCATGTTGGCTGCTTCTCTGAGGTCAGAAAATCAACCTTGGAGACAGGGTAAATGGGGTGGTTCACCAGCAGAGAAGGGGGATTTGATGGTGCTCCCGCTTCTTTTCCTCCCTTTCTGAAGCACTGCAGCTACTTGGCTGAAGTTGGCCATCTTGCTGAGTTGCACAGGGAGAGGCTACTTCTCCCTCTCTGCATTGGATGTCGTAAGCCTCAGACTTATGGGCTTGGAAGCACTGATGGCAGAATTGCTAGGATTACACCCTTAAACTACAAACAGTAAGGCCCTTAAATTCAGTTCATATTTCTTCCACAAAATAATGTTGCCCTGGGTTTGCTTAGGTCCAGGATCACAAACAGTTTTAATGGTCTGGAAGTATGCATTTAAGCTATTACAAACTAAGATTTTTTTGAGTTTTTTTTTCTTTTTGGTGGCACAGAGATTGCGGGTTAAGAGAGTCACTATGCAAAGGATTAGGCCTCCTCAGTTTCTCCAAGGTACCAGTTATAATGTTAGCAAATTACTGAATCAGGGCAGGGTTGCTTTGAGTCCTACAAGATCACTGAGTGTAATGACTACACATCTTGGTGGATGAAGGCAGTCTGTGGTGTGTTAAAAGCTTAGGTGAACTAAAAATTCTTTAATGTGATCATGACACTGTGCTCTTAACCTGAAGAACATTAATATAAGCACTTCAGCTGTGACAAAATTGTGGCTGAAAAGGAAGGTCTTCTTGTTCCACCTTCCTGAAATGGTTTGAGAATGATCATATGTCAGTATTTCTGATTGCATAGGTAATCTACCACAGAGGTTATTTGAGGCTACTTTGTAGCTTGGATTTATTAGTAAGTATTGTAGAAAGAAAAGAGACTTGCTGCTGGAGATGCTGCTGCTTAAACCAAGAACTGATGCCCTGTTTTCCATCTCTCATCAGCAAATCTCAAACATTTCATGTTACTTTCTCACTCTGCCCGCTCAGGAGAGAACAGGTCCATAACTCCAGCTTGCAGCTGAATTTCCAATTATTTAAAAACATTTCCTTTTTGAAAGTGTGATTCTACTGAGGACATAGTCACCTTCTGCCAAATATGGCTTTAGCACTGCTTCTCTCTCTAGAAAGTGAACTAAAACAGGGCTGCCACAGCATCTAATGCAGAAAGTCTAATACATTTGAAAAGTCTTGGGCAACAGGGATTTCTACCAAGTTAGTTAATAGCATACAAACAAGTCTGTCCATTCAACTACCACAATAAATATTTTGCTTCTTCAAGCTACTAAAACAGTTGTTGCCAAATTTCAAAGGAACATGAAATGCAAAAATAAGCCTGCAAACTTTCTCAAAATTCCAGCCTAATTCAAAGCTGTATTTCAGTTAAATGCATACTGAAGTGCTGACAGAAAGGCATTTGCTTCCGTTTGAAAGCCACAGAAAGCCAAAAAAAAAAAAAAATGTTTTCAGGTAGTGTATTCATTTTGGTAGACTATGAAGAGATGTTTGTATGCACATAGCAACGAAGAACCATGGGATGAGAGCAGCAGTTAGGGGGATGAGGTGGGAGAAGAGAATGAGTAAAGTAAGTGGAAACACCCAATCAAAGATGGTTTTAACCAAAACCTTCCCTCCTTCTCCACCTTCATCACCTGCTCCTCAATATGCCCATAGCTATACATTTTATTAAGATGCTTAGACAAACTAGATCAGTTATGAGACCAGTTAGCTACTACGGTCTAGCAACAATGATTTTATTTTTAATACATGAATAGTTGATTGGTTTTCTCTATTTAAGCTGTTTTATTCCTCTTTTTTAAGCAAACAAGGAATTCCTTTAAGGTATATGGCTTACTACTAGAAATGAACCAAAGCTTCAAAACCTGGAAGTGTTCGGAACTGTTTTTTACACCTATTTCAAAATGTTCACTAAACATACTTTAGAATGATATAGAGAACACACAATACAAATTAGTATTTGTACTTAAATGTACTATGGCTCAATTAAAAGATATACTGACTGATCAAAGGATCACTTTCTTTTATCAGTACTGAAAAGTGTGTTGGTCTGGATTTACTTAATAATCACAGTTGCTTCTAAAAACTAATATGGTATTTTCTCTGTTATCAGCTCTACCTATAACGATAACATGCAGGTTATCCAGTTTTGTTTTTCCTAAATTTTGACACACATATGCTGAGAAAAAACGAGGGGAAAAGAGGATGAATAAAAACTGTATGATAATTTTCAAAACCTAGGCCATGTCACAAACTTGTTATCTGAATGATTTTTTACATTTCCACTCCAATCCTAATCATATTTAACCAGAAGTCTGCCCCACTGATTTCAATGGAACTTGCTTCCAACTTAAGATTGCTAGCTTGTTTGTTTGTTTGGCTGTCTTCCTACACATAGTTATGCACTGTTAAGTTCTATTGAGTTAAATTGGCTTAAGTGGCAATATTGTTAAGGACTACAGCCTTCCACTGAGAAATCTGTCCAAGTCTTTACAACTGCAGTAGCCAAGAAAGCCTGACTATTCTGATATGTGACAAGGACATAATGTATAGTTTAATACAAATACACATACACAAATGCAGCAAATACTGAATATTTAAAATGGTTTAAGCAAAGAAAAGTCCTATTTTTGGACTTCTAGGTATTTTATTTTAGATATAACCTGAAGGCTGGGAAGATTTTATTGAAGTCAAGCAACTGAGTAGCTTTGGCCATGCTTTAACTCTTGATCAACAGGAAAAAAAAAACACCAAAGCAGTATCCCTAATATTCCCACTTTAGTATTGAATAGCCCTCTTACCAAAGTAGTAATATAGGTGCCTCCCACTTTTCCTCCAAAAAGAGCTTAAATATTCAATTTTATATTACAAAAATACAAATTTATCATCTAAGTTATTTACATGCATTTTAGAATTGGCTTTTACTACCAGATCTTTGCAAAGCATGACGCAAAATAGTCATTTCAAGATTTGACAAGCTATCAAACACATATACATATATACAAAAATGACTTAAGACCTTTAATTGGCTGACGTGTAGACAATCAGGCAAAACTGCCACCATAACAGCATTTTTTCACAAAATGCATTTAAGTGCCTACACTTAAATCAATAGCTGTAGTGCTATCCTTGGTGTACTGCTACCCATGCTTTGCATGGGTTCTTCTCCATGACATGGAAACAAGTAAGGTGGAAGGATCACATATACAAGGAAAAGCTGTCGCTAATGTTACACCAGTTTATGATCCAGAATAAATATGGGGACACAGGAGATGAGGAAGAGGCAGGAACAGGGATAAAAGGAAAGGAAAAGGTAAACTGGCAGAGAATACATACTTCAGAAGTCAGTAGAAAAACTATCCATGACCTTACACAAAGATCAGACATTAACATGTGATTTCATGTGCCTTAACTTAATGCATCACATCCATGCTTTAAGACTATAACCTGTAAATCAAATGCATGAATCCAGAATAAATCATTCAAGTGGCTCTCCACTGCATACAGACAGACAAGACAGTCAGGCAGACAGACAGACATTAAGGACAAATAAAAGCCTTCACATTCTTAATATCTAAAATTAAATCATAATCCCACAAAATGCTTTCTAAATAAATAGTTTAAAAATGAATTCAATAGTTGCCAAAATCTGTCAAATAAATTATTGATAACCACCTTCATCACACTCTTTTGTTCATGAATAAGCTCAGACACTACCAAAAACAACAAAATGATTGAGCCCTGAAAAAAAATCATCTCCCAATCCAGTCTTTCTGAATATTCCCCTGTTTCTCAAATGGTTATTGCTGAGCAGGTGTGGCACAGTGAAAATGCAGCATTCAGGTTTTGTTCATCAGGCAGTGTTCTAATAAGGTACATGCATTCTGCTTCAAGCAGATGAATAGAACAGAAGCTCCAGGCACTGTTACCCTCAAATACTGGTCTGTGTACAAAAAGGTCAGCAGCAGTGGAAGCAGATACTGCATCAAACAAAGAAGCGTGCATGGCCATTTCGGTTCAGCTTTAGAATCTTCCCAAGACGCTGTTTGGCAGTTGCCATTCCTTTCTTTGGACGCTTGCCTAAAAAAGGAAGAAAATGCTGATATCACTGAACACAACTCAGGTATATACTTCTGCAAATTATATGATCAGTTCCATATTGGCCCAGTATAGAATTTTGTAAGTAGGATCATGACGAACGTGAGGACACGTATGCTGTTCAGCAGCTAATGATATTAGTTTTCTTCAACAGAGTAATTCTGCTTCTACTACTTCCAGAGACCTTGTTTTTATCACTGCACAAATATCAAATCCAATACTTTAATGCTGCTTATGTAAGCTGTTTCACAAGTGTTCTGCAATTTGCCCCATAAGTCATTACACTTCATTAGACTAGACTAGCTGTGGTTTGAACTAGCTGTAGTAAGACTAGCTGTGGTTTGAACTAGCTGTAGTAAGTTCTGGGTTATATCCAGTGTTATGCTAAGAGAAAAAATACAAGCATTGGCACTGCACTGTTAGCGCCAGCATAATAGGTCTGTAAGGCAGGTCATGATGATGACAATGATGAAGACGATGATAATGTCAGCAGGGGGGCAAGCAGGGTGAAGAGAGAGTTAAGAGGCCTGACTAAGTCTAGCAAATTCATCACCAAGTAAAGATTTTAATTAAGTATTCCTCAGTTTGCAGGTCATTCTTAGCTACTATGCTGCATCAGCTTCACATCTGCAAAGTAATTTTTGCAATATGCTTTGAGGGTCCCCAACCCATTCCAAAATATTTGTTGTTTCCCATGTCAGAAATTATAATGCAATAAATACACAAGCACATTTTCTGAATGTTTCCATCTTTTAAGTTAAGTATCCACTGAAACTTAGTTTGCAAAGTAATTTGCAGTTAAGATAAATGGATATAGATGAATACACCACCTTTTGTTGCCTGGTTGCTAATAGGGGGTGGATTTGATGCTGGCCTCTTGGTTGGATGGAGAGGTACAGACAACGATGTTTCACCATATGGCCTGTCAGGGCTGAGGCTGCCATCACTTAGCCTGCACTCCCCTTCAGTCAAGGTACAGTCCTGCATACATTTGCCATGTGGGAAGCTCAAACCATTATTTTGTAAGTTACTCCTGTTTTCTTGAATTCTGTAACTGGCCTCAGATGCACTTTCCTTCTTAATGTATTTCTGAGTTTTACTTGTATCCTGTAGAGGAAGAGAAACAGTTTCAAGACATGAAACTATATACAAGAAGTTTTACTAGGTATTCTTCACACTATTTGCAATTAAACTGCATTATCATTGCTTTTAAAAAAAATTATGCTGAGATACAGGTTTTTATTTTTCCTTTATTTCTACTGGCTTTTAGCAAAAATGAAATAGCTCTTGGGAATTTTAAAATACAAGCAGAGTTATTCAAGGTATTTCTATTTCTTTTCCTCTCCCAAGAGTAATTTTTATCTTGCTAATTTTGCCAAACTTCATTTGTTCTGCTGTTATGTATGTAAGATTTGGCACATGAGTGGACAGTTTCAGGGATAAACAAATTTTGTTAACCATCTGACAACACAAAACATTTTAAGAGAATAAATGGGAATAACTAAGAATCAAGGGAAGAGATTTTTACTCATTTCAAAGAAGTACTCTAGAAAGCATATATTCAGAATACATGGTAGTTACTTCAAACACCATTGACAAAAAGCAATAAACCCCTACTAAAATAAACTCTGGAACGCATACCTATACCAGAGGTTAGGATTCAGAGGCAGTTATGTCTCTGCATGGCTATCTCTTCCTTCTTTTCTATAATGTTAAAGTATGCCCTCTGTTGTATCCTGCTTTGTTATCTCTCTTCATGCTGCTCTTTATTTTAAAAAAAATCTGCAGAAATGCTTTTGACTCCAAATATGGCATTGCCACAGACTATACTCTCATGTTAGAGTCTTCCACTTATTAGTAGAGGGCAACTAAAAATTTATAATTTGTTGTTTTACAGAAAAGGACACACTTTCATTAAAAAGCCAAACACCTTTGAATTTTACCTGGTTGCTCTCTTCGGGACTGACTGACTGACTGACTTTATTTATTGCATTTGCATTTGTATGTTGCTACGCAGCCAGAAGACATAACATTCTCTTACCTGAGGATTTACTTTAGTAACTGCATGTAACGTTACAGCTAACGTTGAAACTCCTGCATCCTTTCCTTCTTTTATGTGCTTACCTAAATAGAAATTTAAAATTCTCAGAAACAATACTTGTTTAAAATAGAAAATAATTATTTCCTAGACAAGAGATCTTCCAGGTAGTAGATACTAGTAGTTATCTTGCTCACTGCTTGTTCATTCTTTATTCATTTTCTCCTACACAATTTGTACATCTCCACCTAGTGTACAACTAAAATAGTTGTACAGAAATTCAATAACTGTGAAAGAATCATCCATACCATGGAGTGTATACCTACTGACATAACATTTTATTTAGTGGTATGAGGAAAGCAGATGACACCACCTTGCCCTAATATAGCTGGTACCTAAAAACACACCACATAATCCAAGAAAATACTTTCCCTCTCCCATAATGCAGCTTGGAATGTCCCTCAAGAGCAAAATCTGCTATGCATTATCTACTTATCAGTTTTTATCCTATCATAAAACAAAGTCAGTAGAACAATTCAGAGACTCATAATTCAGCTAAAGGCCAATGATTTGTTTCAAGCAAGCAACTGCTAACTGACACAGAATTCAACTAAACCATTTAGGACACTCCTGTCTGTATACAAGAAGTATTGGATATATCCTGCTAAGAACCTATTACTATGGGCTGATCAGTGAACAATCCACTGTATGCCTGGGCTTCATGTGGGCTGTTCTACCCATCCTTCCCCCACAGGTCCTCCAGCCAGTTCCAACATACATCCCAGGGGCTTTGCAGCAGAACCCATCTTATCGCCTTGCCCCCTGCCCCCGCTGCTCCAACTGTTGCCCTTTTCATTCCTTGTCAAATCCTTTAGCACCTGAAAACTGCACAATTGGGAGTTACAATTTTTATCATTCTTTCCAGTCAGTCTTTTGCAAATGTACTCTTAAGACTCTCTAGTATGTGCAGTCCTGCCTGATCAATTTCCTTATGGGTTTCAGCTGTTAATGGTCCCAGACAAGGTACAAGAAAATTGACAAGAGGAGATGAGTTGTGAAGGACTGAGAAGAAATAATTGCAAAGGAAAGGAGGGGCTCATTTACAAGAGTCAGAAGCACCATGAGCAGGGGTGAGGAGAAGCTAAAGAGGTATAGCAAAAGGACAGGAGGAACTCATTCGTCTCCACCCCCAGAAGTGATCCTTTTGGTTTTAACAGCCAAAGTGTCTTCTCAGTGTCCTCCACCCTTTCAACTTTTCCCACCTCTCTACCTACTCTAGAAAGGGAACGTATTATTATTATTATTATTATTATTATTATTATTATTATTATTATTATAACATTTCTATGCCGCCCCTTGCCGAAACCTCGGGGCGGCTTACAACATGATAAAATACATTGAAATACAATAGTACATAATAAAATTACCATTAAATATAACAATACAGAAAATACATTGATTTACAAATACAAAATTAAAATTATCAGTATAAAATAAAAATATAGGAGGAGAAAGAGAAGGAAGAAGAAGTTGCCCAGGCCAGATCATATGTTTTAACAATTGAAATGATGTTTAAATAAAAAGGTCTTTACCTGGCGCCGAAAAACCAGTAACGACGGTGCCAGGCGGACCTCTTTGGGGAGTGAATTCCATAGGTTGGGCGCCACCGCAGAGAAAGCCCTCCTCCGGGTACTTACTCTCCTAATTTCTTTCATGGAGGGTTCCCGGAGAAGGGACTCTCCCGCAGATCTCAAAGGGCGGTCGGGCATATACGGACGTAAGCGCTCGTTCAGGTAGCCAGGACCCAAGCCGTTTAGGGCTTTGTAGGTCATAATCAACACCTTGAATTGGGCCCGGGCTTCAATGGGAAGCCAGTGAAGCTGATGGAGGACTGGAGTCATGTGAGCATAACGCCCCGTCCCCGTCAGCATTAGCTCCTCCTCTCCTACCCCTGCTTTTCACAGCTCATTTTGGAGCACTTACTACTACACTTACTGTGGTCCCCTAAAAGTTTCTAAAAGTACATAAAAAGGCAGCTGCATGGCATGGACCGATGAGACCCTGTCGTAGAAGGGGGCAGGTGTAAGCACTGCTGCTGTCCTATTTCTTCCATCCCATTCAGCTAACCTCCAAGTTTTTTGTTTAGCTTTGTTTTTTTAATTGACAGGACTAGTCATACATTTTGGAGAAAATAGGAAGTAATGGAAAGGAAATGTATGCAAATTTAAGTAAGTAAATGAAGGGGAAATTTCTGAACTTGCAGCAGTGCAACAGTTAATGCAGGGGTGCAGATTTCCTATGCATTTGTTTCTCAGCTCTTACATTTGTATATATATTTCCTGACCAAAAAGTTCTTCAAATATTCCCAAGGCTTTATTTTCTTCTAAACCCTTAGAAGTAATAAAAGGGACAGAGCAAGTGGGGTGCCAACAGCAGCAGCATTTACACTTGCCATTCCAATGGTCCTTTTCAGCCAGTTTCTTACAATGGGGTTGTCATGCCATGCAAACCAGGTCAGTCAGATCTACTGGTATCAGTTAATTTACAAAGGAACCTACATTAGCTCTTATCTGCCATTGTGGATTTAAGGATGTAAAAGTAAAAGATCACAAACATGTTATCATTTTATGAAGTTTCCAGAATCAGCTGTACAAGCCTTTTAGACTTCAGGCAGCATTAGATTTTTCACAATATATAAACATAATTTGAATCAAGATGGAAGTTCTTTTCTCCAGCCAGAAAATTCAAACATTTTGGATCAATACAGTTGGCCTTTGCCATCTGGATTTCTTTGTAACCATAGATATAGATGGGTGAAAAAGCATCAAGCAGATTACAGTTGAGAGAACATCTGTTCCCACAGCTGTCAACTTATTATGCTCCTTTGTTTTTTGCTAAAAGCAGGAGCAAACATACTGCTGTCTTCCTAAGGTGATCAAATAAAGAAGTTACTAGGGCAAAGCAGAAATATGATCAAGTTCAGGACTGACAACAAAACTATCCTGTTAACTTTTTAATTAAGTGTATTCATGTGCAGTAACAATCTTTTATGTTGTATATATAACACTGAACTGTTTCTTTCACTGAAAACACTAACATTTTCTTTAACTGCTGACAAAAGGCTATCATTTATTAAGTAAAATAAATTCAAGTATTACAGAAACAGTAATTTAGTAACCATTGGATGGCTCATTGAAATTAATCGTACTTCCCTATATTTAGAGTCAAAGAATCCTGCCATATGCTTTTATTTTTTTTCCAATTATTCTGCTGTCACTCATTCACTTTGACTTAGTTGGGAGGTTTAACACATGTTCAGTAAAAAAAACAAAAAACAAATAAGAATAATACTGGAGAAGATCAGTAATTCAAATGGTAATAGGTAATGGTTAATGCTGTATTTCTATCAACCTTAATAAATGAATATGAGGTTAAACCTGATTTAAAGCTTTTTTAGATTTTTTTCTACAGTTGTTAGTATCTGTATGAAATTCTATATTTACTACCTTAACAACTCCCTATTGTGGTGGTATTAGTATGGAACACTGATCTAGTGTTAGCACATATGTAATTAATCCTGTAAGCAGCCATCATAGGATGATAGATGATTCTTTTTAAACTTTCACCTTACATTGAATGCTAAGAATTTAATTACCATTCTGACTGGAAAAATAAATCCATTTGTTAATGCAACAATGCATGAACCACTGCAGCTGTTATCTGTGGAAACCTCTGCACAACACCACCAAATAAAAATTGATCACTGGAAGTATAATAGACTTGATACATTAATAATATAATTCTTAAGCACTTCATATCAAAAAGAAGAACTATTGAATTTGACAGCTATGCCTTCTAAAAGTACAATCCTATGTATATCTACTCAGATGTAAGCTTCATTGAATTTAATGGATCTTACTTTCAAGAACCTGGACACAGGACTGCAGCCTCAGTTTGGAATAGAGAAAGGTACTCATGCATGTTTTCAGAAGTCAGTCTTTTACTAGAGGCTGCCTGACCAGCTACAAAGACTATTTTTAGCCTTGGCACAATCTATTTTGTTTCTATAGGAAGTGTATAAACTTATTAACAGGGCAGTCCTATTGTTGCTAGATATTAGATGGTCATAGAATTTTTCTGTATTCCCAGATATGAAGTCAGAAAACTATTCCAGCCTTACAGCTGGTGATACATGCTCTCTCCTCTTACAGCTGATGTGAGAAAAGAAGGGCCCACTACATCCCCAAGGTCACAAAAGCAATGTTGGAGAAGGGCTCTGGGGAGCTTTCCAATGAGAGGGGAAAGGACAAGACTAGTACTGCCAAGATAAGAACATAAGAAAAGCCATGAGGGTTAAGACTGATGGTCCATCCAGTCCAGCACTCTGTTTGCATGCTGACAAACCAGCTGCCTGTAGAATGCCTCAAACAGGAAGGATGCAAGAGTTCCGCCCTGCTCAAGCTCCCCAGCAACTGGTGCAGACATACCACCTCTGATAATGGAGATGGCACATAGCCAGCAAGGCTAGTAGCCACTGATAACTTTCTCCTCCATAAATTTACCAAATCCTCCTTTGAAGCCATCCAAACTAGGAACCATTACTACTTCCTGTGGCAGTAAATTCCACAGTTTAATTATGCACTGCGTGAAGTACTTCCTTTTATTGGACCTGAATCTTCCACCACTCTGCTTCATGAGATAACCCCATGTTCTAGTATTATGGGAGAGGGTAAAATGTCTCTCTCTCCACTTTCTCCATACCATGAATCATTTTAAAACACCTCTATCATGTCTCCTTTTCCTTGTCTTTTTCTAAGCTAAACAATCCCAGCTTTTGTAACTGATTCTCATAGGCAACTTGGTCCAGCTTCTTGAACATTTTAGTTGCCCTTCTTTGTACTTTTTCCAACAAAGTAATGTCCTTTTCCAGGTGTGGAGACTAGAACTATGTGCAATATTGTAAGTGCGGTCACACAAAAGTTTTGTATAAGATAAGTACAATCTTAATTTTATTTTCAGAAGCTTTCCTAATTATGCCTCACATGGAGCTTGCCTTTTTCACTGCAGCTCCACACTGAGTCACCATTTTCATTGATCTGCCCACCAAAATCCCAAGATCTCTTTCTTGATCAATCAGCTCAGATCCCATCAGCCTATATTTGAAGGTGGGATTTTTTTTTTTTTTTTTGCTTTCACATCTACACTCCTCTTCCCCTCCGTAGGATTCCCATAATCTTCCAACTTCAGAGGATTATGGGTCTCCCAAGTGCACCCTAAATTGGCTTAGAAAGCTAGGACCTCTAAATTTGAGCCAAAAGACATACTACAGACTTTCCAATTAGCTACCTGAATGGGATGACAACCTTCTGTTAATGCAACCTATTTTCAGAACCTACAGTTCATGCATCTTTTACAGAACTGCAAGACAACCTACCACATTCTGCTTTATGACTTTGGGAACACATCTTGTCTTTATGCCTACTTTTGGGATAGTTCTTGTGTTCCTGAAGAGAGATTCTTCTACTAGTGCAGTCTGTGCTCTGTGTATGATCTGGTAAACAAGTGGTATAGTGCAATCCTGCCATAGAAAGCATGCCCTGAATAGCTTCTTCCTCCGTACTAGTCGAGGTAGGACATTCCCTGAAAAAAAAAAGTGGAAAATAGAATGTTCTTTTACAAACATAAAATATGTTAAGATTCCTATGCAACAGAATGCTTTGCTTTGAAAAGTACCCGTTAATTTTCCCAATGGTAAATCTCCCATTCTTAAACTCACCTTTTACTTGCAGTTTCATTTCTAGATGGCTTCTTTGTGGTTTGAAAGAGGTAATTTTTTACTTTAGATTCCTCTTTAACATTTGAAGTTACTTCCTGTTTCTCATCACCTGAGCTTTCTGACTCCTCTAGAGAGGAATCCTTTTGCTGAGGACAGAGGGAAGGAGGGAAATTTGAAAAAAGAAGCCCTAAGCATAAACATATACCATCATTTATACTTAATATTTTCATCAAGTTGTTACCAGATATATGAATAAAGCATACATGACTGAGAAGATGTGTGCAGGGCTAACACCTTTGCTCCTATCCAAAATGTCCAAGTATGAAACCCTAATATTGAGATTTTTCTTGAATGGGAATCCTAAACCTCTTAAATTTTACACCAGAGTTCAGGAAAAAGCCATCCTCAAAATAAGGAATAACTTTCTAGTAATTGGTAGTCTTGGGATCACTTCACAAATATAGGACTTGCATTTGGGTAAGTGTACTGATTTGACTGAAAAGCACTGCATTCACTGATATTAGAAATGGCTCGTTCATATATTTAAGACACCAACCATCTTATAATGCAGTTAAGGAATTATTTTGGTTTTATCTAACTTTGTCAATTTATTCATGGATTTTATTATTATTGGTCTTTGTAGTTGAATGTTATATTGGGCTTGTATTGTTTTATGCTGCTGGATTTTAACATGTTGTAAGCCACCCAGGGAGCCTATGGCTAGTGGAGCAGCATATGAATGAAAGGAAGGAAGGAAGGAAAGAAAGAAAGAAAGATAATACCAGGTCACTCTACTTCTTTACTAAGATTAGTTCATTCACTTGGGAAGTAGGAGCACACTATACAAACAAGTTCTAGAAGTACAGGATCAACTGTAGGATAAACAAAATATGGCAAGACTGCAAAGATAATCTAACATGTACACATAGATGTCAGTTTAGAATGAAAGGCTTCTCTTTGGAGGTCAGATCTTAGACAACAAAAGATCATGCAAGTGTATGCTTGGTGTGCAGCTTGACATCAGTTACAGATCTAAATATTTAAATATTAAATAAATTTTAGAAGGCTTATCATACAAGACAGTTTCTACATAACTGACTTTTTATCTAACACATTTTGTAAATATGCATGAAAAATATCTTGTCCACATTTCCATTAACTATGTTTAGAGCTAGATATTATCTGAATAATAAAAGCTTTACATTTCATTTGACCATCACCTACAATATTCAATTTATTACCTGGTTAGTGCAATCAGGCTCAGATTCTTCTGAATCAGAAATATCAGAGTATTCTGAGTTTCCATTCCTGAGTTCTGATTTCACACTTTCGAAGAACACTGGAAGGGGAAAGAGAAGAAATAGTAGGAGATTTGCCACATATTCTCTCCTATATGATCTCTTACATGTTCTAGTTCCAATTATCCCTTTCATCCTGTAATTGCACACTGCTTTGGGGCCAGCTGAACACTTTTAGTATGCACACACACCCAAATAATTATATTTGCTGCTGCACTATTAATATAAGAATCAAACCTAAGAAATTACTTCCAGCTCTAGGGATTACGTTACTTCCTCAAAAACACCATCCTGACCACCAGAGGATACGATACTCACAACAGATTGTCATATTCTTCAAACCCAAGACAACAACTTCATTGAGGCTTTTGAAAAGTTCCACTGAGTCTCTGGCAAGAGCAGACAAAAATGATGCCATTCCTCTCAAGAATGATCATGAAAGCCCTTTTATGTGATGCACAGAGACCATGAAGAAGAACATATTATGTTGTGGCAGCTGTACCCTCCTTACCTTCCCCACGGTCTCCTCCCCATCTCCTGTGGACTTTCATCATTCTACTTGTAAATAAACTATTTTTCCTGGTCCATGTGAATCAGCTAAGTGTAATGTGTACAAAGACCTTGAAAAAGCTTTTTATCCTGCCAGTTTCAGCTGTGTCTTCCAAGCTGCTCTTCTGCTTTGGTTGAGCAATATTTCCCAGAAGACTATCAAGGGAAAAATCCTTTATTTATTTGAAAGAACTTAAACAGTCATTTGACACTTCATATTCTCTTAACAAAATTCCTTTGTGTTTGTACAAATAGATACCAATATTACCACCACTGCCTTTATGGTACAATGTACCCACAGTTGATAGCCAATTCTTCCCAATAACTAGAGCTGTAACCTGAGCTCCCCTCAAATGGCCTTTCTTACACAGAGTACCTTGCATTCAGCCAAAACAAGTTACTGCAAGTGCTTTAGCAGTTGCAGTCTACCAAGCCTGCTTTCCATATGGCATTGTGGATCCAGCAGAAGAGGTACAGAGCAAGTTCCACATATTTCTTACCAGAAAACAAAAACGTGTAATGGAGAAATAAAAAAACTGCTGACACAGTGACGGACCAAGGAATTATAGAATGTAGATACTGCCACAAAGCACCTGGGATGTGTGCTGGAGCTGTCAGGACAACCATGGAAAAGACTGGCAGAACAAGTCACAGCAAACATGATAATCTGTCAGTCATAGCATGGGTCGTTCACTGAACAGTCAAGACTGCATATCTTTGGCTTAGTGTGTCATGTTAACCTTTCCAATGTTAAGCAGATAGGTACAATAGCTCTGGATTATTTATCTGAAGAAAAACAAACTTACTATTCAGTGGTTTCTGCTTCTCTGCACTGCCATCTGCTTCCTGGGAGTTCTGATCTTCTGTCTTAACACTTCTTTGCTTCTCTGACTGCATCCTGTCATCCTCATCTTCACTGTCTGCAGTGTAAAGGCTTGGATCTCTAAAGGGGTGCCTCTCATCTCTGTCACAAAATAACCTGTTATAAAGGGTATCCAATGGAGCTCCCCCTCATCTTTCCCCATCTTTTTTGAAGTATAATCAATTTTCAGTTTTTCAATATCTTCTTAGAACAATGATAGTAAAAATTCTAATCATTCCCTTAAAAAGCAAATGATACAGGCAAGTCACTTTCTTAAATATAAAAGTCCACTTATGATCATACTGAATTTGGTTGCACTGCATTTTGCTTAGGAATTTTCAAGAACTGCAGAAGTGTTGGTTCTTTTTCTCCTTAATCTGTAAGTTTCTTTCCTTCCCCATCAGTTTAAAACAACCTAGGTTAGCAGGACTGGTGCCAGCAAATGGCATTATTTGATAGGATACCACTGATGACTGCCCTAGGCCCCTAGAAAAATAAAATAATTTTTCTAAGCCTGTGCTACAAGCTGCACCAAATAGCTAGGTCTAATCTCCATGTAATTCCCACAACACCCTGCCCTACCACTATTCTGCGGCACGTATCATGCGAAGAGAATACATTAGCTAGACCCAGTTGGACCAGCTTAGATTACAGCTGATCCCCACTGCAGACAAGGTGGTCCAAAGTCACATTGTTCAGGGTGTCTCAAACCTGGAGCTGGCCCAACAATTTACCAGTACACGGTAAGTCTGCCTTTGTTCCCCAAAGTGTTTATCTTCTGGAGTTAGCTTACATTTACGTATATCTGGTTATTCCTTCCTCAACCCAGATATGTCAATTAAGTACAAAATGGACAAGAAGTGCAAAATTGCCTAAGGCAAAAGACATGTAGCATGACACAGGCCAATATATTTTATACCTAATTATTCTTCCATTTGACAGCAAAAGCCGTAAATCATTGTCCTTCGGTCTCCATTCAGGAACAGTGGAAGACGGCTGAAGAGGCTTGTTAAATCTTCCATTTAATTTATAATTTGCTGTGTCCTATAAAAAGAGAGGGAAAGATAAAAGAAAAAGTTCACCTTTATTTAATGGTACTTTAGTAAGCTAGTTCTTGGTACAATCCACATCAGTGGTGGCTTGCTGCCAAGTCACAATGAAAACATCAATAGCAAGCAAAAAGAAAAAGAAATATTACATTATTAATAGCTCTTACAGTCAAGAAGTTAGTTTCATCTGTTTATCTTATATACCCAGAAGGGATTATTATAACACCTTCCTGCTCTACCACATTGGATTCCACTGTCTTTCTCAAAATTAACATGTCTCATTTATCCATCTTAACAAGTATTGGATGTGACATACCTTTAAGCATTACTAGAAGTCACAAGGCCTACACTGCAGTTTTATAGCTGAATTTTAACTTATCAGCACAAATATTCTTGAGTTTGATCATCACGTGACTTTGGGACTTGACTGTTCTTAGTGTCCTCTATCTTTTCCACCCTTTTCCCACGACTCTAGCCATTCAGAAAAGTGGGAAAGTAACAGCCACCCCATTTATGGGTGCACTGAATTTTAAGAATTGCCAAAACTCAAGTTTCGGTTTAGAACAGGACTTCTGACAGGGCTGAACAGGGTTTTTGACACAGACAAATTTCATGGCTACATACTTTCCAAAAACCCTGTTTAACCCTGTCCAAACCCCCATTTGACATGTGTTTAAGTCCAAAAATGTAACATACACAAAAACTGTAAATCTCAGGAGCATTTCTTAAGGGTAGCAAACCAGTGAATTTTGCTCCAATGTGCTCCTTAGGCACTTTTGAAGAGGGACGCTGGCATCACTGATTGTCACTGTGTAGATCATGAAAAATTATGTTCCCAAAATAACAGAAACAAAAGGAGGAAAGGAATTGTAGCCACAAATGGTGATGTGTTCAGTACTGGGAGTGGCGACCAGATGGTTCCTGGCACAGAATCTCCTGGGTTGACCAAGGAAGAAAGTGGGAGCTGGGGGGACAACCCATGGTGAGTCTGATAATCTGTCAGGCACGCTGTGGAGTATTTCTTGAACAACCCACACTATATAGCTTCTTCACCTGGTAGGCTGCTGTGTCATGTAAACTCAATGTGTCATTATACCTTCTATCACAAGCAAGAATTTCTGTTTTCAGTATGGTATCTGTTTTTTATAATTGCATGTTTTGGTTCTGCTTTATTTTATTCTACTATGTCGCAAGGTGTTTACTGCTTATAGCGACTGACCATTACAAGCAGTACAAAGCTAAAAATATCTAAAATAAAGGAGTAAAATACACATTTGGGTCAAAGCTATAACTAAAACATCCTTCATAAAAACATCCCATGATTAATTGACTTAATTTGTCAATTAGAGATTCACCTCTGCAGTCCATTGCTACTTTCTTCACAATGCTAGGTCTGTTCTGGTACAGAATACTTGCCTCTTCCCATGGGGACATCTCCACTCTTTTGAGAACTTCCTTTGTATGGAGTTCCAGGATGTCCAAATTGGTAGGCGTTTTGATGGCATGGTCTCGTAGCTTCCTTGCTTTTCGTCTGGAATGATGAGCGGAGGCCGATTCATTTGATGATCGTGAAACTTGGCACACACTAATTCCCTGAGTTTTAACTGGTTTGCTGTTCTCTTCCTTTAAATAAGAAAAACTTATTTAGAGCAGCCTATTTTGATAGTTCCATGCAGTTATTACAAAATTTTCCATTTCAAGTAATAGCATAGCAGTATAAGAAGCCAAAGAGTTTGAACTGCATTCTTCCAACCCTTTTCCTGTATTGTGTCTAGTACAACAGCACCTTATGGGACTGAGTGTACTAAGAGACAGAGAATTTTATACTCCAGGCCAAAGTAATTTCCATTTCATTCAAGTTATCCCTTACAGCAAACTTACTTTACAGTTTTTTCATAAAACTCTGAACCATGAATTCTGAACTGTAAGACAGGGCATGCTATATTTAGAATGTTCTTTGGTCATATGAGGTTGCCAAACTTTTTTACCATCATAATGCTTCCCCTGCCCCCCCCCCCCCCCACCCACTTACCTCTACAGAACGAATCACTTTAGAGAGTTCTTTAATAAGCTGTCCAGGCCTAATATTGTCCGGAATTTCAAAAGCATGTTCTGTTACAAGCTGTAAGCAAAATACGGAAATCCACTAAATTCTCCTAAATACTATTCAAAATAATATACACAGAAAAATTACTACAAGGTAATGTATATACAAGGCTCTTCTTTTAGAGATAAAGCATTAGTTCACTAAAAATTTTGATTGTACATTTGAACTTACATCTTTTTTCATCCATAACTTTAATGCACTAAGTAAAGCTTTTACTCCTTGTATCAAGAAGGTTTGGGGCTGAAAACCATCTTCTCTCAGCTCTGGAAGAAAACACGTAAATTAGATGTACATCAGTATCAAAAAGAATTTATCAGCTGATTATTCTCTCCACCTTTGGAGCTATCAAATATGATCCAAGAATTCATAATGATAATGAACAGTAAAACATATCATACAATCAGAGAGTAGTAGAGCTGGAAAGGGCCAGAAGGCATTCAGGTCCAACCCCCTGCTATAGCAGGACACTAAGTTACACCACCTTTTCCTACAGGAAAGGAAAGGCAAAGAACAGAGCAGGCTCTGATGAAATTACAAAAATATGCATGATCCTTGACAAACAGTTACAGCAGGAAAAACTAAAATAGTCAGGGCTGATAATGTCACTGGAGTGGGGGAAGCCACACACCCTGACATCATCTGCACCTAGACTGTTGCATTGGTTCAGGGAGGGAACAATCTGGCCCTCAGAGGAAAAAGGGTCCCCCACTCCTTCCGCAGCTACCTACAGTATGGGGATACTATTGAAGCATGTTAAACATACACTTAAAACAAATACTAAGTATCTTTGGGAAATTTGGAAACTTGTGTGCAACAACTGGATTTTTTTTTAAGCCATAAAGTTATCCAGCTGTTCTGAGTCTGCAGACATTCCTCCTCCCTCAGTTATTCCAGAAGCTATTCCAGAATGTGATGCTTTAGGAGCTAGACACTTTCTCCTAATTTTTCAGTCTATACAAAGAAGTACCCAAGTCAAAACTAGCACTAGCAGAAATTATCCTGCACCAGCACAATTTCAAGAGCATAAGCTGATGCAACAGGATTCCCCAAAACACCCATTGTGCTAGTTAACACTACTGGCATCAAACTAAAAGGGCAGAACATAATTTATATAAGCTATTGTGTGTACCTGGATATTGCCCACAGTCGTTAATTTCTCTACTTAGGCCATAATCCTATCATGTTTAGACAGAAAAATATCTTATTAATCCCAGCATTTCCCCCACAGCCATGCTAGAAGAAGAAACTGTAGGGCTTGTTTCTGTCTTAAAATGCATAGGATTGCGCCCATGCAGTCTCATTTAACTTGCATGCTTTCCCTACTTAACAGCATTTGCTTCCTCTCTCTGACTTATACATCTTCCTCTCAAAGTTAAAAATGTCAAAATGGAGAATAAATCTGTTCTCTAATTAATCCCACTTTCTAGTAATCTATTCAAATGGATCATTAAACTTAATTTTAAAGCATTTGCCTATGATCTTTTTTTAAAGATCTGAACTGTTTTAAAGACCCTAAAGTAACTCTAACTATTACTATAAAGGCAGAGAGATGGTGTAATTGGTAACTGAAGAAAGAAACATGACTTGTGCTACTTTAAAGACTAACAAATTATGGCATTACTTAGCTTACTCTGTTCTGAATCAAGAAGCCAGCCTCAGCCCCCCTGGCTAAAGGATAATTACTACCTTATCAAATAGGGGTTTTTTAGTATTACAAGGGCATAAAGTACTTTGAGAGCCTAAACTGCTATGAAAAAGGGTAGCATTATTAATATATCCATTACTGGTCCTGTCTTATTATCTGGAAATTTAAGGCCAATTGCATTTTCCTTGTACAACATTCATAAACATTTTTATCTCTTTCTTGGAAGTGAAAAGCTGACCAGTGTTTTACTTTGCTATTACTTGAATTACCAAATTATCTTGTGGCACCTTAAAGATCAACAAATTTGTTATGGGATAAGCTTTCATGCTCCTTCATGGATCACTGCCTTGTCGTGGCGAAGGGGTTTGTGTAGCTCAATGAAACTATGAGCTATGCCGTGCAGGGCCACCCAAGACGGACAGGTCATAGCAGAGAGTTCTGACAAAACGTGATCCACTGGAGAAGGAAACGGCAACCCACTCCAGTATCTTTGCCATGAAAACCCCATGGACAGTACCAAAAGGCAAAAAGATATGATGCCGGAAGATGAGCCCCTCAGGTCGGAAGGTGTCCAATATGCTACTGGGGAAGAGCAGAGGGCTAGTACTAGTAGCACCAGAAAGAATGAAGTGACTGGGTCAAAGCCGAAAGGACACTCAGTTGCAGATGTATCTGATGGTGAAAGGAAAGTCTGATGCTGCAAAGATCTATACTTCATAGGAACCTGGAATGTAAGATCCATGAATCAAGGCAAGCTGGATGTGGTCAAACAAGAGATGACAAGACTGAACATCGACATCTTAGGAATCAGTGAACTAAAATGGACAGGAATGGGTGGATTTAATTCAGATGACCATCAGGTATACTACTGCGGGCAAGAATCCCTCAGAAGAAATGGAGTAGCCTTCATAGTCAATAAAAGAGTAGGAAAAGCAGTACTGGGATACAATCTTCAAAATGACATAATGATCTCAGTTCGAATCCAAGACAAACCATTCAACATCACAATAGTCCAAGTCTATGCTCCAACCACTGGTGCTGAAGAGGCTGAAGTTGACCAGTTCTATGAAGTTGACCTACAACACCTTCTAGAATTAACACCCAAAAATGATGTCATCATCATGGGGGATTGGAATGCTAAAGTAGGAAGCCAAAAGATAACTGGAATAACAGGCAAGTTTGGCCTTGGAGAACAAAATGAAGCAGGGCACAGGCTGGTAGAATTTTGTCAAGAGAATACAATGGTCATAGCAAACACTCTTTTCCAACAACCCAAGAGACGAGTTGGGTTGGTCTACACATGGACATCACCAGATGGTCAACACAGAAATCAGATTGACTATGTGCTCTGCAGCCAAAGATGGAGAAGCTCTATACAGTCAGTAAAAACTAGATCAGGAGCTGACTGTGGCTCAGATCATGAGCTTCTGGTTGCAAAATTTAGGCTTAAATTGAAGAAAGTAGGGAAAAGCACTCGGCCACTCAGGTATGACCTAAATCATATCCCTGAGGAATATACAGCAGAGGTGACAAATAGATTTAAGGAATTAGATCAGATAGACAGAGTGCCTGAAGAACTATGGACGGAGGTTAGCAACATTGTACAAGAGGTAGCAACTAAAACCATCCCTAAGAAAAAGAAATGCAAGAAAGCAAAATGGCTGTTTGAGGAAGCTTTACAAATAGCTGAGGAAAGAAGGGAAGCGAAAGGCAAGGGAGAAAGAGAAAGATACACCCAATTGAATGCAGAATTCCAAAGAATAGCTAGAAGAGATAAGAATGCCTTCTTAAATGAACAGCGCAAAGAAATAGAAGAAAACAATAGAATAGGGAGGACCAGAGATATCTTCAAGAAAATTGGAGATATGAAGGGAACATTTCATGCAAAGATGGGCATGATAAAGGACCAAAATGGCAGGGACCTAACAGAGGCAGAAGAGATTAAGAAGAGGTGGCAAGATTACACAGAAGAACTATACAAGAAAGAGCTTAACGCCCCTGATAACCACGATGGGGTGGTCACTGACCTTGAGCCAGACATCCTGGAATGTGAAGTCAAATGGGCCTTAGGAAGTCTGAGCAACAACAAAGCTAGTGGAGGCAACAGTATTCCAGCTGAGCCATTCAAAATCTTAAAAGACGATGCAGCAGAAGTGCTACACTCAATATGCCAGCAAATTTGGAAAACTCAGCAGTGGCCACAGGATTGGAAAAGATCAGTTTACATTCTGATCCCAAAGAAGGGCAATTCCAAAGAATGTTCAAACTACTGCACCATTGTACTCATTTCACATGCTAGCAAAGTGATGCTCAAAATCCTACAAGCTAGGCTCCAGCAGTATGTGGACCGAGAACTACCAGAAGTACAGGCAGGATTTCGAAGAGGGAGAGGAACTAGAGATCAAATTGCCAACATACGCTGGATCATGGGGAAAGCTAGGGAGTTCCAGAAAAACATCTACTTCTGCTTCACTGACTATGCTAAAGCCTTTGATTGTGTGGATCACAACAAATTGTGGCAAGTTCTTAGAGAGATGGGAGTACCTGACCAACTTATTTGTCTCTTGAGAGACTTATATGCGAGTCAAGAAGCAACAGTGAGAATTGGACATGGAACCACTGATTGGTTCAAAATTGAGAAAGGAGTTCGGTAAGGCTGTATACTGTCTCCCTGCCTATTTAACTTATATGCAGAGCACATCATGAGAAAGGCAGGGCTAGATGAATCACCACTTGGAATTAAGATTGCTGGGAGAAATATCAACAACCTCAGATATGCAGATGATACCACTCTCATGGCAGAAAGTGAAGAGGAACTAAAGAGCTTCTTGATGCGGGTGAAGGAGGAGAGTGCAAAAGTTGGCCTGAAACTCAACATTAAGAAAACTAAGATCATGGCATCCAGTCCTCTCACTTCCTGGCAAATAGATGGGGAAGAAATGGAGGTAGTGACAGATTTTATTTTCCTGGGCTCCAAGATCAGCGTAGATGGGGACTGCAGCCAAGAAATTAAAAGATGCTTGCTCCTGGGGAGAAGAGCTATGGCAAATCTAGACAGCATACTAAAAAGCAGAGACATCACCCTGCCAACAAAAGTGCATATAGTCAAGGCTATGGTTTTCCCAGTTGCAATGTATGGCTGTGAAAGCTGGACCATAAGGAAGGCTGAGTGCCGAAGGATTGAGGCCTTTGAGCTGTGGTGCTGGAGAAGATTCCTGTGAGTCCCTTGGACTGCAAGGCAATCAAACTGGTCAGTCCTAGTGGAGGTCAACCCTGACTGCTCTTTGGAAGGCCAGATGCTGAAGATGAAACTCAAATACTTTGGCCACCTAATGAGAAGGAAGGACTCCCCGGAGAAGAGCCTAATGCTGGGCACAAAAAATGACAAAAGAAGGGGACGGCAGAGGATGCGGTGGCTAGATGGAGTCAATGAAGCAGTTGGTGTGAGCTTGAGTGGACTCCAGGGGATGGTGGGGGACAGAAAGGCCTGGAGGAATGTTGTCCATGGGGTTGCGATGGTTCGGACACGACTTCGCGACTAACAACAACAAAGCTTTCATGAACTGCAGTCTGTATCTGAGATACCAGACAGCAATCCACAAAAGCATGTACATAATAAATTTGTCTTTAAGGTGCCACAAGGCTCTGCTATTTGTCCTGAAATACACTAACTGCTGCCCCTCCAGAAATTAAGATAATGTATCTAGTGTGTGACTAGATGCAGACACTGAGCTACTCCATTATACTTAGGGTAATATTACCGGTATGAATAGCGCTTGTCTCCCAGTCTTTCTATAGGACCAATTACTTGTCCTGTATAGGTAAGCAAGGGAAAAAGCCAGTTTAACTGACCAGGAAATTAGTGCTTTCAGATTTGATGTTTAAGATGTATTTAACAAGGACCTGGCTGCCTGGAAAGCAGGGTGTAGACATGTTTTCAACAGATGCACACATGCAAGAGCACTCTCCAGTATCGTGCCTGTTAAACAGTTTTGAGTTTAAAGCAAACTTTGCACTTACATATTCAGTCTCCTGTTGATGGACACTGATAATCCAGTAGTCAGTCTTACATTTACAAATGTTAATGCTGTCAAGCATACTTCTTCAGGAAACAGTTATTTGCAGACTCAAGCAGCCTGTCAGCTTTGGTTATTTCTTCCCAGTAACCTAAACTTATCTTAGTTTCAGATCTGACTGCTTTGAACATCATTTACTAAGCACACACTTTGCTAATACTTAGGAAAAAGCCAGCATTAAAGAGACTGGCTGTGGCCTTAAATCACATTTGACCAACCTGCGATGTCTGGGAGCTATCTGTGCTGTCAACAAAAATGCACAAATCACCAAATTACTAATTGTGATGGGGATAACAGCATGTGGGCACAGTCATCCCTGTGCACTATCCTCCCCGTGGAAACTGTGTTCCTCAGAGCCACCAGAGAGCTGTTTGGTGGGCTGGGATCAGCAAGGAGGGGGAACCTGTGTACCTCAAGATGTTGTACTCACAACTTCATCATACCTGACTACTGGCCATGCTCATTGGGTTGATGGAAGCTGGAACTGAATATCTAAGGGACTACAAGTTCCCTGTCGCTGCTTTAGAGGGATGTGCATTAATGTGAACCTGAAGTAATTATTTTCATTTCCATATAATATTTCACAGTTACAAATCACTGCTACCTTAATATACACCTCCCCACCTCAAACCCCCCCCCCAACACCTTCCTTTGTCATACCTTATATTCTACTATGGAATGGAATAGATGGAACCTATGGATTTTTTTTGCTGCAAACATTTTTAATCAGTAAAATTTTGTCATACTTCAAAATTGAACAAAGTAACTATGGTGACATTATCCAGTTAAAATGTCTGAGTAACTTGCTTCTCCTTTTACTGTCATATGCATTAGGCATGGCTTTTTCTCAAAATGATAATAAAGGTCTAGCCTCAAATACTTCTTAAGATATGAACTTTGTTACCTTTCAATGTTTCCAGTAAGTTTTTGGCCACAAACCAACAGATGGCTTCAAAGAAAGGAAATTTGAAAAGATCTGGGGTTTTTAGCCTTTTCTCCATTTCATAACACCTAAATAATCAACATAGAAGGATTATTTTATTTGATCATTGTTAAATATGTTCACCCAAATTATATGCTATGAGGCAAACATGAAGCAACCTCTGACAAACAAACTACATCAACATGCAAGGTCGAGTGTAGTAAGACCAGACCCAACAAAGTTCTATTACACTTATTCAATCTCTGTGTTTATCAATCAACTGCTACATGTGCAGCTACGAAGCTAGAGTGTATAAATTAATAAATAAACCCAGAAAAGACTGCATTTAACATATTTTGGTGCTAAAGCACATTTAGAACAGTAACACTCAAGCAAGATTGACAAAAAATATTTTCCTTTTTCATAGCTGAGCTTACCAAATATAATCTCTGTCATCCTATTAAATGTCAGAGGTAAGTAACTCAGAGAAAATAGTTTATTTTCTCCTGGAGATCATTGGTGCAGTAATTAATCCACTCCTGGAAAAAGAGCTGTCCCTCTCTAAGAACCTCACACCATTTCCTTCCATATAAAAATATGATACCAAACGAATGAAATATTTTCAAGCTTATGGAAGATCCTTAGATCCTTATATTTAGACAAAAGTGAATGTTCCAAGACTAACCTGAGCTGCATGCCAATATTGAGGTTGTGCAAAAAGTTCCCTCCAAAAGCCATACAATCCTGAGAAGTGAGCACAGCATGAATCCAGCCTGAAATGACAAGTGAAACCATAACTATCTCCACTATAAAATGTGCTGCATCATTCTGAAAACATGTAGGATGTTTTGCAGGATAGCAGAGCTGATTTGAAGAACTGATAGACTACTCAAGTTGGCTGTACTGATATCACTAATCTAACTAAATGGCAAAGACACTGGCACCCTATTAAACTGCCTTTAGCGGTAAGCAGTCTGATAAAAAAAAAAAAGTCTGTGCTTCCAGTAGCTCACATTTTTCCACTTTCCTATGCACGTCTTGGGAAAGAGGGTGGGCAGGGGGAGGAGCAGGAAACTGAGCAGAGCCAGGTCCAGCCAAATTGGGTGATCAAGAAGCCAACTTCTTTACAAAAAAAGATCACTTTGCTTTCATGTCAGAGCTCTACTATTGACAGAGGTAACAGGAAAATAAAATGAAACAACTTTCTGCAGCCTCCCTGGGTTAATGTCCATTATGGATACTTTCTTCAGTTTAATAGCAGTCACCCCACCCTCTAGGACATTGCACAGGTAAGGTTACCCACGTTGAACCCACAGAAATATACACTTGCACAAGTTAGACTAAATTTTTTAAGCCTGATGAAGAGATTTGCACACATTTGGAACACAAAACAAAAAGAAAACAACAGGTGGTAAATCACTGGCAGCTGTTTCAATGTGCCTGTTTAGCAATTTGAAGAAGCTATCACTGGCTATTGACTCAGAGATTCCCCCTAGAAAAAGGGGGAAAATGCAGGGAGAGGAGGGGGGAAATGTGGTGGTGCGAAAAAAATGACTTGTTGCAGTGATGGACACCAAAGCAATGACTGGCACTCCACCTGGCTGCATGGGCATTGGCGGAGCAGCTGACAGTAGCAGTGGCCTGGAGGGGCATCAAGAGGAGTTGCCAAGAGGTTCTGCTTCCCGGTACCTATTAAGGGGTTGGTTGTCTAGCTTTAGATGACATGTCAACCCATCATGGGTACAACAATTTCTTAAACAAGACATTAGTTGTTAGGTAGCTTGTACCCTTTTTAGAAGTCAGCCTGCAGGAAACTGTCCTGATTTATACATGACAACCCACCATGGTTTGTAAAGCACAATGGACTGTCATATCATGTGAACCCAGTCAGCCTGCTATCTAGTAAGATAAATAAGGAGAGGCTTCTCTCTCAAATTTTAAATACACAAAGAAGGACCATGTGCAAGATGGTAACAAGTCATTAATATTTCAACTATTTTCTCACTCCTATTTCAGAGCCTTTACCTGTCCCACCTGTTGTCTCATTTCAAAATTAACACAATATTAAAATCCCAAGACACTCTCCTGATTTGATCTGTAATAGCTAAATACATTGGCACCATTGGAAATTAATTGCACTAAGAATTCTCTGACCACTAGACTCCCCATACACAGAATGGTACTTTACTAGGTAAGGCATTTTACCTGTTGGAACAAATAAGGTATGTCCTTGCTTCACAACACATTTGTAACACTTGTCAACTTTATCTCCAAAGTACACCTCACTCTGGGTGACAGACGAACTCCAGGATTCATAAATTGCAAGGTTTTCATTAGTAGGTTTGATCAAGTAGAAGATCTTCTCTCCCTATGCATAAATACATGGAATGAAAAGCTGTACATCTTTAATTTATTTAATACCACCTATTAGCTAAAACAGCTCTCTTTAATGCCACTTAGTAATGACTATTAAAGTTAAACAATAAACATGATGTTGATTTAAGATTGCCATTTAAGAAGAATAAAGAAGCAAAAGTTAAAGGGAGTCAGGAGATGATGGGATGGAATGCATCAGGAAATATCTGCATTCCTACTCAACTGAGTATGGAATTATTTGGGGTTCAGCAAAGCAAACAACTGAAAAGCATAAGATTAGATAAGGCTGGGCTTTAAAAATTAATTTCTCTAAATATTATGCCCACTAGTGTTTAGCCTAGCTTTTTAACGCTATCAGGTCACAGAATGATAAGAAATGTGATAATTTTCCTCCATTCCTTTACTTGAACTAATAGTTTCAACACAAACTGCAGATGATAATCTTCAAAATTATTCTTTAAATGAGAACACTATATATTATATATTTTGGAAGTAACCTATGTTTTCTTACCCAGAGAACATGATACCAGACAGAAGTGCCCCCAAAATCAATATGAAAATCTGTGTAGCTATCTTGAACTCCCATTAAGCAATACTTTTGAACGAATGGCTTAGGAAAGACTGAGTCATCTGGCCAGTAATTTTCCACCCATGAAAGTTTTCTGGCAATTTCAGGGACTTCCACTAATTCAGACATCCTTAAAAAACAAAAAACACACAAAATTAAGTAAGAACACAGTGATTGAGTTCCAGTGAAGGCATGGAGAAGTTAAAAAAAAATCCCTCTCTAACAGTATTTGACTGGTATCATCAGCTATGATGAACAGTTCTACAGTAAGAGACAAAGAAAAGAGCGTATTGATTCAAAATAAAGTGTAGCATGTTCTCAGATTTGGGACTCACATGATACACTATGTCATCATGGTAGATTTAAATATGATCAATAAACAATATAATTTCTAGATCAAATATTTAGTTGTGAGTTTAATGCTTTAACTGTCATATTTCCCCCAAAATTGTCATTTATTTCAAAATATGAAATATTTTGTCACTCTGGGCACATTTGAATGTTACACAAAGCTACTCCATAAATAAGATATGCAGCATGGGTCGTCTTTGGAACAACCCAAAAAGCACTGGCAGATGATCAGGTGCATTATGTTCTCTGCCTTCCTCAACAACCTTCAACCAACATCTCAGAGACTTCCACAGCAGAACTGGTCTAATCTACTCCTTCTCACTTCAATAACTATCCCATTTCATTCACTGAGGGGGTTTGGGTACTTTTGGATCCTCAAAAAATGCAATTGATGTAAATGGCTTGAAAATGGCTTCAAAAGGCCAGCCAAAAATAATAGTCTGCACATTTTTGGTACCTAAAATGTTGTTTAAGCCACTCCAATGTACCACGTAAGTATTCTGAAGCGGCTGTCACTGACTGCAATTAGGAGTCATGACTGGGGCAAGGAAGGGAGATGTGTTGGGTTCAGCCAACAAGTCTCCAGGGACACTGGGAGGAAGACCAAGGAGGAAAGCTAGGAGAGACAACCCAAGGTAAGCCTAACTGACTGTTTGGCATACTGTGGTTGTGCAAACTCACTCCTATCACAATGTCATTTCTTATTATTTTCACCATTTTGTTTTTATTTTATTATTTAACTTGGTGCTTGCCTTGAGCTTAATTCAGGATGTGATTCCGAAAATTGAAATAAATAATTAGGACAAACAATATGTTAGTCTCTATGTTGTTTGCTTTTTACACAAACCAAATATTCTTTTTTAAGAGTTAAGTATATTGCACAGATTATAGTTGAAGCGCATATGACAAGATGACACAACAAGGCAGGCTCAGTGGGTTATCTTCCTGAAACATAGGTCAGCTTCTCATGAAGGCTGACCCAGTGTATGTGATGACTTACCACTCCCTAGTTCTCTTCTGATAGAGTCCATAGAACTTCATTCACCTCATTCATTACATACTTATAGAAAGAGAGTCAGTGTGACATTGTAATTACAGTGTTGGAATGAGACTCGAGGGACCAGTCACCATTCAAGTCCTGAGAGTCATTAGGTAAACTACAGGCCAGTCACTGACATTCAGCCTAAACTACCTCACAGAGCAGTTGTGAGGATTAAATGGAGAGGAGAAAAAGGATTACGCAAACCATTTTAGGTTCCATGCAGGGAAAAAAGCATGATATAAATATGATAAAGAATTAAAACCCTGAGAAAGTAGTTTTTTTCCAAGGCACTTTGGCTTCCTTGAATTGTACATCTTTAATGCAATATATTTGAAAATGTATCATGGACTGAGTTAAGGGATTGGATTTGCAGATTTTATTTTAACAGAGTTATGCTAAAAATTAACAATACTATTTTTAAAAAGAGTTCATTATAACTGAAACATAAAAAATGTTTTTGCTACGCAACAATCATATATAGCCCAGTCCTTGTTCTATCAAAAAGTGGGTCAATGGCACTCATTCACTCTTTCAAACATATTTTTATTAGAATAATCCTTGCTAAACTTTAAACATGAGAATCATAGTAATTCCTGTTAAATACAAGGATAAATGGATCTGCAAATTTCCCCCTGCCACCTTCCAAAACCAACTTTCCTAGTTATCACTGCAAGTCTTTAAGAACATCAAGCCATTATATTGCTACTTGTAATAGTCTGTCTTTAAAATTATGCTTTTTCTGTTATAACAGGAAATTCAAACAAACTTATCAAAACAATATACTCACTTTGTATCTGAAAATTCTAGGCTGATCACATTTAATACTTTTGGTCTTTCAGAGTTTGTGAAGTACTTAACATAATTATGGAGCTTCATTTTACTGTCTGCTTGTCTTGCCACATCAATAACATCTATCACTTTATCGCCACCTGTAAAAACAAGACATTTTAAAGCCTCTACATAAACAGGAATCAGACAATAAATGTTACTGAAAACCACATTTATATATTCTGATAAGACCTTAATTTCTACTTAGAAAATTACTCTAATTCAGTTGAAGTATTTCTTATGTTTAGATTGTGTCAATTTCATACACTGGGGCTGTCCATAAATACAGATAGTCTATCAGTTTAAAAACTGACTGAACTATCAGGAACATGCAGTGCACTTTCCTTTCCCACTTCACAGAAAACCTACAATTGGCTCCTTCATAAAATATGCAGCATGACATGCTAAGCTCCAAGTTGTTTAGGCGCTAAACAAATCAGTAGTTAGTCCCCTCTCCATGAAAAAAACCACCCCAAACAAACCATGGGTTAGCTACAAGGTTGTTTAGCCCATAAACAACCAAATGATCTGGGTTTACACATCACACTGCACAACCCACAAAGAAGGCAATAATGGCCTCGGGCAAGATTTTAAGTCAACAATTTTTAAGGATTTCAAAGCCATTAAATCATCATTTCATCAAAACAGGTCATTATACAGGGTGGTGCAAGGAAATGGGAAATGTTGGAACTAGGAGTTGGTGACCCTGGGGCATCAGCAATTGTTTGGAACCAGTGCGACCTCGTTTAGAACCCCTTGCCATTAGGTATAATGAAGCAGTGGAGTGGTGTGCAATGAGCATTCTCTGTCCTTTAATAAGAATGTTGACTGCTGTGCAAAGGGAATTTTGGCATCATTACCAGTTAGGACATCATGATCGTGTCCCATCTGCTCATGCAATTACAACATGGGTACATAATTTCAAAGAAACAGGTTCAGCCTTTAAAAAGAAGTTCCCAGGGGGTGTTCAAACAGCCCACACACCAGAGAATATTGATGCTGTTTGAGCTGCCATCGTGAGGAGCCCTTGCCGCTCTGTTCAACAACACACATCACTGCTACATTTGGGGCGACGAAGCACATAAAGAATACTGCACAAGTTGAAGTTCCATCCCTACAAATTGCAAATTGTGTAGGAACTGAAGCCCAATGATCACGTGGTGCGTCAACTGTTTTGTGAACAATTGCTGGCTAAAGTAAATGAGGACGCCAATTTCTTTAACAACTTGTGGATTTCGGATAAAGCCCATTTTCACCTTAATGGATATGTTAACAAACAGAATTTTGGAACTAGAAGTTGGCAACCCTGGGGTGTCGGCAATTGTTGAAAAGCCAAGTGTACCGCACACAAGCTGCAACCATTGCTGAACTAAAAAGGAGGTTTGAAGAGGAAACTGCTGGCATTCCTCTTGACATGTTATGAGCAGTACAGAATTTCCACAACAGGCTGTCAAAATGTGTACTAAGAAATGGACAACACCTTCATGTTATCTTCCAGACATAAAATGAATATTGAATATTTATTGCCATCATTAATTGCATATCCTGTACAATACATTTCATCATAAAATATATTTTGTAACGTGTTTATTCGTGCATTGGACATCAATTGAAAATTTCCCACTTCCCTGCACCCTGTATTACCTTCTAATGATAGAAAGCATTTCAAACAATATGTGTACAGCACTGAAATACTTCTTTAAAAAGTATTGACTTAATTCCATATAAATATATAAACCTGAAAGTTGTCCCTCACATATTCACTAAACATCCATTTTATTATCAATCTGAAACTGCTGTTCCAAAGACACTAAACATTTACTTTTGGAATATTATTATTAATTCTGATTCCATTAGTCAGAAAACAGACATTTAAACTAAAGTAATAATTTGTTAAAATTCAGCTTAAATGACATATTCTCAAAACTTGCCACAGGACCCTGCAAATGAGAAACAACAGTATCTTAGCTTCCAAGCATGAATGTTCATCTTTCCTAACAGTTAAGATTGACTTCAATTTTAACTGCAGGGGTCTGAAAACCACACATTGTTGTCCCCAAAGATGATTGGGGTTTTACTGACTGAAAGCTGACAAGTTAACACTCTGTACACCACATTCACAGAACAAGACTAGAAAAGGTTAAACCTCTATTAGCAAATGCATACATCCCCTTAGCTAGCCCCACTTCAAAAGACTGGAACCGTGGTCTTCATGCTTTTCAGAAAGATGGCCATTTTTACTTGTATTTTGAAGTGCAGTCCATACCTACATATCGTTCCACATCAAGAACAGAAAAAGTAGAGGGTGGAAGACGAAGACCTAAGCCATCTAATTTAGGAATCATAATGGGAACATCAAACCCATGCTTCTCCAGGTATCTTTGAGTCAATTGGCTACCATGCATTTTCAAAATGATTTCATCAGCACTAGAAAAGCAAAAAAACAAAAAACAAACTAACATTTTAAAATAAACCAACAGTAGAAATCAAGACAAGTTGGAGTATTTAGCTTTACTGAATTCAAAAGCAAAAGTGGATGAACATCTAATAGTTGCAATTAAATGAAGTAACAGAAGCATCTTATATTCCTGTTAAAATTCAAGCCTTTCACCCACCTTAACATTTGTAGTGTACATATACATAATTTGGGTATTTTCAATCCCTTGCTTTAAGTTACTTCCATGTTGTAAATTGCCACTGCAATTCTAATCTACAGAAGTTAATAGGATTTTTTCCATGATGACTGTCTCTAGCATTATCATATGCTTGCTTAAATAAACCACACTCAGACTCCTGTGGTTTCTAATGGGGTAAACTTTAAAGCATAAATGCAGAATTGCTGTTTGAAAGTGCTAGATACACCAAAGACTTTTCCCTCTTTACATGACTTTTAAGTTCTAATGCAGCATATCCTACCTTGGGAATGAACGAGCACGTAGCTGTTTAATAAATGTTCGTGTTCCAGCTTGAACTGGCTTGGAACCATCATCAAATTCTGTATAGTCATGTCTATGCCAGTTCCTTCTCTTCTTCACTAGTTTGTGAGAAATAAAATATGAATTAGTTTCTAGAATTAATTTTTACCACCATATTTTTGGTGTAAGGAATCAGAATGTTAGTACTGGAGAGACCCAGATTCGAATCCCCCAACAGTCATGAATCTCCTCAGGTGATCTGGCACAAGGCACTAAATCAGCTGTGAAATAAGTAAACAATCAAATAAACCACAGTGGCTTGTTTTAATGCCTGGCACATGTCAGGCACAACTGGCTGTGGTAATGTTGTCTGAACCTGGTAACATGGCTTATTTGAAAGGGAAGTAACCTTACAACATACATCTACAGAGCTGCTGGCAAAACTTCATGACCATTAAAGTTTCAGTGTTTAAAAACTGAGAAATATTATTGCTACAATAATTTGATGAGCAGAGAAGTATTACTTAAATAAATGCTTGACTGGCATCCAATCTTCTCAACATGTTCACAAGTCACATTAGTTTTAAAAAGTTCTAAATCTTGATGCAAGTGAAACAAAGGCACCTAGCCAATCTCTCCACAAACAGCAATAGCTACTGTGCTGTCAAGCAATCTGGGACTAGCAAACATTTGTGTTTGCCTAGATAACCAGGTTACCAAGGGCTAGCACTCACAGGATGGCCAGCATGTGGAAACTGTTTTCAATGGATCACAAGAAAAGTACCTCAGCACTACAAACTAATGTATGTAGAAACACACCAAAGGGACCAAAGCATTTTCTCCACACCACCACAGGACCATAGGGAGAAAAAAGAATGTGGTATCTTTGATGATGCATACAGTTTGTTGCATAAAAGCAGCTGCTATAGGGAGCCATTTAAAGCTGCCTCCATGCAGAAACTGTTTTGTAGGCACCAATCCTCTGTGAGCATATTTTTGTGCAGAATATAGATCATTCTTTCCATGTGTACACACCTGTTTCTTCAAGCTCAATGACTACTTTGGCAAGCAGCCAACAGCATCTGACAGTTATTAAGGTAGGCAGCTGCACTACAAAAGGCACAAGACAAAGCCTCTAATATAACTGAACCCCTTTAAAGGACAAATTGGTCAGTCTGTTAAAAGACTAGTGTTACTTACAACCAGATATACTCTTACAAACTGCATTTTGTAAAAATTGTGGTATTATTCTATCTAAAGATTTTAGATAATATCTATCTAAAGATATTATTTTATCTAAAGAATTATTTTTTTAAAAGGAGCTGACCTCCGTTTCAACAGGTAAAGAGAAACAAAATTCAGTCACAGTTGTTATATAGTGTTTCCATATGGATAATGGGCTGAACATCTTTCACATTTCTGTACTCTCTATATGATTTGCCTAAATGTGCACCAGTAGCACATACTTCACTTGGATGATAGACTCTCTTCTGCTGAACATAGAACAGAAATTCTAGCGTTTACTTTCTGAATATTTTTTTTCTGATACATCACCATATTACTTATACCTTACTCTATAGGATCAGTTTGTACACTCATGGTAAAAAAACCTTTAGTAATAAAATACAACTTTCAGGCTTTTCTGTAAACTTTTTGCTTACAGACAAAACAGCCAAATCAAGGATATGGACAAACAGTAAATTCACAGTGCAGAAAACTTGGTCTACTCTCCAATAAGGAGCTTCTTTTACCTTCCAAAGGGTCATGCAAATTCTGGAAAACATGACTGGCCCTAACTACTACTTAATTTTTTCCAGTGCTGAGATTGTCTGCTCTCTGCTGTACTGTATGCTTTTTTTTTTTTTTGGGGGGGGGGGTTATGCTCTAGGAAAAACAGATTTGCCCCCATACGGATGGTATTAAAGAAAAACTAATTTATGGAGGGAAGTGTATGTAGTTTCTACAAAAATAACCAAATAATATCTGGGGGTTTTTTAAACTAACAAAGAAGGGGAAAAAAGTGTTGTGTGCTAATTTTCATTTTTTAACTGCAAAATCCCATAAAAGGATTCTATCTGCTTAAATTCAATTTGTATTATTTCTACTCTAGCACATATTTATACATATATAAATAATATTATATATTATGTAATATAATATTACATATATAATATTAAATATTATATATATAATATTAAATATTATAATATTAAATATTATATATATATTATATATAATATTATATATATATATATAATGTTACATTGTAATTTATTGTCTTATACACTCTAGTTTATAGATTTTAAACCACGCCACCATGTTGCTATCACCAACTGGTTTCCAAGTGCTTTACTTTTCCTAATAAGGATGAAAGGGAAAATGGAAACCATTCAAATTTCTTTGGAAGACAAAAGGATGCAGTTGGCAATAAGTCATGGTAACTTGCTTGTGAGTAAAACCATATATTTTGCACCCAACAGACAATCATTCAGGATGAACTCTATTCCCCCCTTAGAGGACCAGATTCATAGTCTGGGAGTGCCCATGGAAGACTAGGTAGAAACTGTGTCCAGAAGCAAATTTGCACAGGTATAGCTAGTGCACCAGCTGTACCCTTTCCTGAAGAAAGCAGCCATAACCACAACTAAACCTTTCCTTGTTGCATCCCAGTTGGATTATTCCAACAGACTATACACAGGACTACTGTTGAGAAGCATTCCAAAATTGCAGCAATGCAAAATGCACAAATCAGAAATGCAGTTTTTTGGAGTGTATTTCTCTGATATTGTTTAAATTGCATCATGTTACAGTTTGTTTCTGGGTTCAATTCAAGGAGCTAGTTATACATAAAAAGTTCTAAATGTCCGTTCCTGAACTTTTTCCTATTTCAATCTTTTTACATATAAATAGCTCTTTTCAGGCTCTCTGTTAACAAGAGAGAGACAGACAATACATGTGTGTTGTTTAAGCTTGTAAACCACCTTGGGACCTTTTAAAGATTGGAAGATGGGGCATAAATGATTTTATAAATAAATAAAACCAACTGCATCACTACTTTAAAATCCATGACTTACTTAAAGAAGGTCCATGAAGAACCGCACAATTGGGACAGTGGTACACATCAATGTCAACAGCATGGTGCTCTTCCACTCTGACACAACTAAAAAAGAGGGGAGAAAGGCATCAGAAATTCTTAGCTACAATTGAACCTTTATAGGAAAACTATCAAGAATTCTCTCTCCCCCCTTCCCCCCAACTTATACCCTTCATAGATGCCAGACACTGGACACAGTTTCAACTTTTTTTATTGGCCTTTTAGTAAGACCTAGAAAATAAAGTATGCTTTGACCGTAATTATTCTGTAGTGGATCCTGCAAGTTATTTTAATGAGACTAAAGCCAGACTTAGAAATAATGAAAGTGAACCTGTTGTGCTTCGGGTACATCAAGAGTCACTAGAGACAACAATTATGCTAGGGGAAGTCAAAAACGGAAGAATCATAGTATAGTAGAATATAGAAGGCCATCAAGTCAACTCCCTGTTCAATGCAAGTCTTCACATTACAACATCCCTGACAGATGGCTGTCCAAAAGCCTCTTGAATGCCTCCAGTGTGCGAGAATCCACAACCTCCCTAGGTAATTGATTCCTTGTCCTACTGCTCTAACTGTCAGGAAGAAGAGGACAATCAACTATGGGATGCATCAATTCCACAAGGGAAACCACAGCCTTGAATTTACAAGAGCTAACCAGAGGTGTCAAGGACAGGACACTTGGAGGCATTCATTCACAGTATCACCATATGTTGGAGATTACTTGACTTTGATAGCACATAACAACAACAACAACCGCATGACTAACTTATCATTCAAGATGGTAAGTGCATTATGTGAATAGTTTCCTCGTAATCTACCTGTTTTTGCACCTTAAACCACCCTATCTGTATTTTCCTAGGAACTAAGTAACTATTACCTTATGTGGTAGCAGGAGGAATAGTGTGAACCCTGGATTCAGTTCAGACTAAATTACGGTCACTTAGATTTTAATGGGAACTAAGTCATAAGTAACTTGTCTCTTTGATTTCAAGAGGATACATTAAACTAACTGACCCATCTAGCATCTGATTATATAATGTCATACCTGCAAGGAAAAAATGTTAATATCCTGCATCAAACTGCAACTAGAACATCAATACAGAGGTGAGTAGGAGAATATTCACAACTGTACATCTGAAGTAAAAGCCAGTCTAATGTTTGCAAATATATCATCAATTTAAATCACCTAGTGAACTGTAGTATGTTTTTTCAGGTGTGCTAAGAAACTCGGATAGCTGTTGATAAATTATCATAAAGTCCATATAATAGGAATGTGTGCTAAACTTTCATTCAATAATATTGCTGTAAATGCTCATTGTTAAGCATTATTTTGAGCATCAGCTTTAAACAACTTTCCTGTGAAATAGACTCATTCTGTCCTATCCACTGAAATGTGAAACTCCAGCACTTTCTGTCTTAAATTGTATTTATTCTGGAATACTTTATGTTGAAAGTGTTGTAGAAGTAGTATTACTTCTCACTGCAAGTTTAAATGAAAACATGTTTTTTTAAAAAGCAATGGACAAGAGTTTTGGATAATAGACACAAATGTTTGTAAGTTTCATTTTTATACTGTTTACCTAAAATGCAAATAGTTGGATTTCCCCAACTGACTGAACATGTCAGCACATTACTTGTAGATAGTCTTGGCATGTGAGTAACTGACCATCCAAGCTTAACCAAATTAATAAAGTACCTTATCACACATACTCATTTCTCCAACTTACCCTATATTCTATCCCTGTTATCATTATCAATATTACATTACATTTAAACCCTGCCTTCTTTCCCTCTTGTAAGGAACATAATGTGGCTTATTCAGTTCCATTGTATCCTTACAACAACCCTGTGAGGTAAGGTTGGGCTAAGGGTCTGTGACTGGCTCAAAGTTACCCAGTGAGATTCACAGTCGAGTGGGGACAAAAACCCGTATCTCCCAGGTCCGTATTCCAACACTAACCACTATACAAGCTATCCTTAACCTAAGATGTAAATAAGCGGAAGCCCATCCTCCCACAGGCAGAAACACAGGCAGATCACCAAAAGCATGAGCTACTGCCATAAGCAGGCTTTGTTCTGAAAGGAAAGGAAAGGAAATCACAATTCTTGGCTGCAATCTAATTAGCCAGTGGTTATGAAATAAAAGTATTACCCTCACATGGGCTTCTAGAGGGTTTTTTTTAAAAAAAAAATAGGAGATGGGGTTTCACAAAAGAAATGGCTACTAGTCTTGACAGCTGTACATTACTTCCAGTACACCAGATGTTGGGTAACATGAGGCAGTGGGTGCTATTGCACTTCAGTTCTGCTTGTGGGCTTCCTATTGGCATTTGGTTAACCACTGCAGGGACAGAATGCTGAACTTATCATGTTTTCGTTTTAATCCGGCATGGTTCTTCTTTTGTTCTTACTGACAGGCTAGAGTGCCTTCATTTGATGTAACTGTTTCTCAAAGAGCATACCCTACTGATGAAATTACTAGGGCATCTTCCTAATAAGAGTATGGAAGCCACCACATACTTTCAGCTGAATACTCACTACACCATCCTGGACTGCTACTACATACCATTTATGTGAGTAATGAAGCTCTAACACCACAAATGGGCTGCTGTGCCAATTTCAGAAGAGCAGGAACAAGTAAACAGGCTTGATCACTAACAATTGTCAAGCAACTATCAAGAACGTTTTGCCTGCCTCCAAAAGTGCAATATGCAGGTGGCTCCTGAATGAACTAGCCAAATATACAAATGGTTGCTAAAAGACCAACCTGCTATCTCTCCCTTTCCATCATGCTACTTTGCTGCCTTCTTCCCTTGTCCTGTACAAGGCTCCATTTCCCGCCCAAACATCTGCAGATCTTCCCAAGTCTCCCTACTGACACTTAGAGGTTGATTCCACAAGAAAAGGAACTAAACCTTTAGTTGTAGAGAGAAGCAGGGGGACAGTAACTTATCTCAACTTACTTACATATTCTTGCTCTCAATAATAAGCTTCAGGCTGTAGATCACAGTTATGCATATATGTTTGGGTTTATGAACAATGTACGCCAAAAGCAGGTGTCATCTATGAATTCCTTGGTATACAAAATATCATCCTTCCACTCCCCACTTTTTTATTTTGAACAGCCTTAAAGATGAATAAAACATGTAAAAATAACAAAGCATGTGAAGTGAGTTCAGTAACCTACTTGCAGCTTGCCACCAAACAGCTTTAGATGAAAATAAATAGATTTTATATTAAAAATTCATAACCGTTTCCTACTGTAGTTAGCTTTTAAAATAATGTGGATGTGATTTTGTATAGACGCTTTTTGCTTTTGTGGCAACATCAGCATTCTACCCTGCTGAACAAGAACGAACTCAACATTTTCCACAAGATTTGCCAATTTAAAGGCCTACTTTACTTAATGTCAGACTAATGGAGATTAAATATTAATTTCATTCAAAGTAGACCTTGACCTGGAAAACTAGTGTTATCTATTTAGAACCTCTAGTTCCAGTATGAGGCAGACTGATGGTACATGAAACTTCTAAAGCTTAGCCTGACATATTTTATGGCAATGGTCACATTACTGATATCAATACAACACTCAAGTGAGTTAGATACCCTTTATTGCCAGTGCCTCTACCTTCCTGTTTCACCTCACTGTTTAATGACCCCACGTGGAGAAATGGACAAGCTGAGCCCACACTGTAAATCTGTATTTAATGATGCAATGGACAGAAAGTGCAGGGCAATTGTGCTTTCTGTTTCCTTGGTGCTTCTGCAATGTATGAAAGCATCAGGTGTGGAGGTGTTTTCAAATCAGACTACACTTTCAGTCAAACAGGTCTGAGTCCAATCCAATATCTGACCAAAAAAAATCTGCCATAAGCAGCAAAATCTTCAAAATTTCCATGGGACCTATCAAGAAGGAAAGGCTAAAAAGGCTAAAAAGCAAGCCACTTTAAAACCATGGTAAAAATAATGTATTAAAATCTTTTCAAGTGAATGCATTGTGGCATTTTCATTATATCAAGAGCTGTGTTACTTAGGTATGGTGGATTTATCAACTGTAAAACTATCTCACTATACAGAAAGTTTTAATGTGCGATGACAACAACCATATCCCAGCTATTCCCAGTGACTGGAGTTGATACAGTGATGACAGTACATATTCTATCTCCTATCTATTCATCTGACTACAGGTCTGAAGTGCATGTTCCTTGTGTTGGATCAATGGCATAAACTGGAGATTTTTGTTGGTGTACCACCCACCCCACCATCTCCTAGTCTAGTGTATGCCCCACTACCTGTGCTAGACTGATGATATGGTGAGACAGTGCCATGGTTCTCCTTAGCAGCTCTAGGTGAGGAGTCCTCAGCATAAATGTTGGCATTCCCCCACAGCCAACAAGGAGATGGTAGTCCAAAGGAAGGGGTCTTTGAATCAGACCCTCTGTCATAGTCAGATCATTGCCTGCTGAGATTTAGAATAACAGCAGCTTTCCCCCTCTGTGAGGGTAGCAGACCTATTAAAATGGCCCACTCCCAGAGGTTAATGGATTCAGATGGTTTCCAGAGAGCTCAGCTCTCCTGTTAAAACCCTGATTGATTTGTGGAAGGAAGACATGACCTGGGCAGTTGACAGAATTGCTCCTAAACATCCTCTTCAAAGTACTATTCATACTGTTCCATGTCATCCTCTAGAGTTGAGAGTGATGGAAGCTAAATGAAAGACAGCTTAAGTAGAGATGGAGAAAAACCTAGTGGATGAATCAAACACTGGTGTGTACCTATGGCCAGAAGCACTGAGGGCATCAAAGAAAATACATCTTGCTGCCTCTATTGAACCCTCTAAGTACCACCCACCAAAGCTTTCTTGGGTTGTCCGAGGCCAATTATGTGCTGGCTCTAAAGACACCTTCAATTTGTTTGAGGTTTGCCTTAATCCATTTGCACGGCACATCCAGGAAAAAACTTCTTCCATCCACTTAGACTTCAATGTTGTAGCAAATGAACTATCTACAGCACATGCTAGAACTGTTTTTCTTTGTTTTTGAGAAAATTGTTAGTACAGCTCAACA